TCCCCCCCCCCCCCCTCTATTACTCCTCCTTCTGTGGTGCGGGTTGGCACTGACGGGCGGCGAAATCGGCGTCGCAAAGGCAGCGGACGGATCGTACAACGCGTGCTTTGATGGCGGCGGCGAGGGTGACGCGGGCGGCTGGGTGGCACACGAAGCCGCGTGGAGGTGGCGCCAAATTTCCCCCACATGCGAGCAGCCATGTGCGGGGAGGCCAGCCCCGCTCGCTCCGTGCGCCTGCGCCGCCGCGTGGAAGGACGCACCGGCACCGTGGTGATGCACCGCGGTCAGACTGGGCGCCGATGTCGGCATCGGGGCGTGGGCAAACACTGCCTCAGCGGTCGCAGCCATCATTTCGGTTGTCGGAGCAGCAGCTGCGACGCTCGCGACCACCGACGATGTCACTGGCGCTGCGTAGGACGTCGGCAGCTCGATCGCATGGTCGCCCAGAATGAGCGGCGTGGTCGCCACGGTCGTCGTCGTCGTCGTCGTCGTCAGGGTAAAGGCAGCAATCGGCTTGGCCAAAACAAAAGAGGCGGTCGAGCCGTGACCAGCCTGCTTTACGTCCGTCATCGTTGTTGCTGCTGTGGTTGCATTGAAGGCAGCAGCAGCAGCAGCAGCAGCAGCAGTGGGCTTGTAACCATGCTCATCGGTGGGCTCAGTGTCAAGAGTCGGGTCTGCGCTGGGCTTGTTCGAGGCGACGTCCGTGTCATCAACCTCCGAGGCGTTCGTCGATGATGAAGACGGGAACGAGCCGACTTGAAGCAAGCAGAGCCGCGGTCGACAAGCACCGCCACCACCACCACCAGCAGCACCACCAGCGGTAGCTGACAGTGCACTCACTTGGTCGTCGTGCTCTTCGCGCTGCGGTGGAAGCGTCATCGTCGTTGGCAGGTTCTTTGGGCTGTGATTCTTTGTGTTTTTTGCGCCATGTTGCGTGGGAAACGAGTATCCGACTGCTGCCTCATCTGCGACGAGCTGCTCGTTGCTCATCACAGCCGAGACGTGCTCGTAGTGACTGTTGCTGCTGCCCAGACTCGGGTTGGGCGGCAGGGTGGCATGGGCTGAGGCGGTGGCGTCGTCGCTGTGTGAGCAGAGCGATGTGTTGCTGCTGTGAATGCTTCCATCACGCCCTAGCGCCCCAGCACTGCCGCTCTCCGTGCGCCCAGTCGCTCCGCGCAGCCGTGAAAATGGGTGTACCGATGCAGTCACCCCGCTGGTGCAAGCAGAGGCGCTACCTCGCAGGGCATCACCACCACTGCTGTTGCTGCTGCTGCTGCTGGCTTGCTGACCCGGTTCGTTGCTGCAAACCATGGCCGACTCGGGCGTCGACTCGCAGCGCTGCAGCAGCGCCTGGAGATCGCGCGTCGTGGTGCTCGATCGCATGCCCTCGCCGATGCAGGTGGTGCTGTGGCTCACGTGGAGGAGCAGACCGCCGCTCAGATGGTTGCTTCGGCGCAGCGCCATTCGGACAACGAGGCTTTTTCCAAAAAAGCACGCTTTTTGCTAACTTTGCTAGTAAGCTAAGGCATTGAAGAGTGCGGCCTCGTCTAGCAGAGATTGCATGTGGTCGTAGGATGGTGCTATTTTCTTTGGATTTATTGATTGTTGTGCGCATTGGAGTCTGGCGCTGAAGGGGGCGTCAGGAGCAGGCACGCATAGAAAATGAGAAAAAAAAACAAGGCATCAAAAAAAAAAAAAAAAAAAAAAAAAGGCGCGAACTATTCAAAACGACGAATCCATTTTTGGTGCTGCCAAAGTCATTGTCAATGGAGGCCTACGCTCCCATGCTCGTGATCATAAAGCAGCCTATTGAAGCCTATTGAATGTAGTCAGCAAGCGTGGGGTTGTTTGCCAGAATGGATGCAGCGTCGTTGATTTGTTGCAGAATTCGGTTCAAAGCGTAACAACCTCGACAAGACCAAGCACAACAAATAACCGCACGAGCTGGACTTGCTCCTGGCGATACTCGTTCAAGAGCATTGCTTCGCGGGGGATGGGAACATCGGAAATGCGGAATTGGCGAAGCGTTTCAGATTCGAGACTGGGTGGCGGCACGTCAATGTCCAGCATTACCATTTGCTCTTGATGGCGGATGCGGGCATCGTACTCGAGATGGACTGTGGACAGCGAGGTGCGGGAGAGAACAAACTGCATTGCAAACAGCAATCGTCGAGCAACGGGGATGGCAAGGCCGTTGAAGACAAAGGCCGCCTCCGGGATGGGGTCGCGGTACAGCACGGGAGGTAGCAGCAATGGGTGCAATAGCGGGTGAATGGTGTTTCGGGTGGCATTCAAGAGTTCTCGAAGCGAATCGGACAGCCCGCCCCGAGCTTCAATGTACTGCAGTTGGCCCTCAGTCTTTGGCACGGCTCGCACAAGCGTTGATTCGGTCAGCTGTTCACGAATCAAATCCAGCTGGTCGAATGCGGGCGCAGAGGCCGGGCGCGACTCGGTCTCGTGCGAGGTGATGAGCGAAGACAAGGCGTTGCTCACGACCAGCCACTCACTCGAGCCATAGGCTGGCAGACCTGCAACGTCAAACGGACGTTCCATGTGCTGGTCCTCGGATAAGACAGTCTGCATGTCTTCCCAGTGTGACAGCACGCCATTGTTCAGCATCCGCCATCGATGCCAATCCGGCGGCACGGGGCCGGTTGGGGGCAGTGGAAGGGCCGGCGCATCAATGCGACCGCGCTTGTCTTGCTTTCGAGCCTCGCGTCGAATGCTCAGCTGCTGCTGCTCGACCAGGGCACGCCGCTGGGTAAAGACTTGAAAATTGGCCAGAAAATCTTGCCAAGGCTTGTTTGACAGTGCCGTGGCAGCCATCCAGCCCTCATCGTGCAAAAAGACGTCAAGCATTGTGGGATGAAAAGGCAGGAGCGCACGAGGAGGCGACCCTTGCGGCTGGATGTGCATGGGTGTCAACACATCGAGCGACGCCAGCTTCTGGGCGGCGTCCGCGACCAACGGATCGTCCCACACACCGGGGCTCCACGCGCTGGGCCAGTTCATGGAAAAGGTTTCGAGCAGCAGCTCCAAGCTCCGAGACAGACTGGTTTTGACGCTGCCATGCGTGCTGTCGACGACTGGCGACTGTGCGAGAATGCGCACCAACTCTCGCACCGTCTGAAATGTGGCTCCGGAAACAACCGTGTGATGGCCTCCCCAGCAGCCCAGCCGCAGACTTTGGCGGAAGCGGCCGTCCGCGGCGGTGCTGCGGTCGATCAGGGTGTGCAAATAGTCTTCTCGCACCTTCTGCTGCGAGACATCGGCGAGCACCGCTTTGGACAGGGGCGAGTGCGAGTTGGTATGCGCTGCAAAATACACGACCGAGTGCATGAGGTCTCGCATTGTCGAGCCTGAAGGATTGAGGCGCACGGTCAGATGAAAGTCTTGGTCGTCTGCCAGCGACTCGACGTCGTAAATCCAACCGCGAGGCACATGAAGCAAATCACCCGCTTGCAAGACCACCTGGTGCTCTGGCGCATCCAGCTCGACGCGCTTGAATGTCTGTCGGCGAGCCAGCTCTTTGGCTGCGAGTGGGTAGGCCATTTCTTGGCGGTACAGCCGCCAAGAGCTCTTCCCTTCCATCTGAAGAATGATGAGGTTGTCGACATCGTACCGAGGAGCGGAGGCACGTGCAGCGCGCGGAGCCAAGTGAGCAAAGCCCGAGACTCGCGTCCCGGTCAACCCGCCGAGGTAGTGCAACAGGCGGTCGACCTTTCGAATAAAGTGGGATTGCAAGTCAATCACGAGCGGCGCGCCCGAAGCGTAGGTAGCGTGTGGTTCCTGAGATGGTGCATCGAGGGTTGGAAGTGAGCTGAGACACTGCAGCAAAACCAATAAAAACCACCAATAATTTAAGAATCGTTGTGTGAGTGGTTTTTTTTTACCTGTGAGGATGCTTGCTGACTGGTCGGTCCAGTCTGTCGCAGCGAGGCAAACCACAGGGGATGGTCAATGTCGTCGCGGGAGAGCAGATCGGCGTAATAGTCGTGCACTGGGACAGCGGGTGAGCCGTCCGGACAGACTGGCAATGGAGGGTGTCTGTTTGCCTCATTGTCGGAATACTTGTCGCGCTCGTGGTTTGCGCGAGAGTGCTCGGCATCGCTTGTATCGGTCTTGGCAGTGGATCTTGAGTCTCGGATGACGAAACGCGGCTCATCCGCAGCATTCGCATCACCAGAATCGGACTCTGGATGGCAATCAACAGTGGGATTGGGCGGCGAGTCGGGTGCCGCGGAATTGGCGGACTTGCTGGCTGACGGCCGCTCCAGACCAAGGCGGAGTCCAGTGCGAGCATCGACATGGCGGCATCGGTGGACGACGAGCGGCGAGTGGTCCCAGTAGTTGTCGAGGAAGGCGCGGGTTGAGACTGGGTGCAGCAGGTACTCGAACAGCTCGGCGGACGTCCCCCCGACGCTGCCCGCATAGCCGTCGTCGCCAGCATCAAAGCCCAGGACTGTCTCGCGGCCACTCCCGTCGAGCGAGCCGGCGTCCCAGTCGATCACTTGTTCAGCAGCACCATCGCTCTCTGCTGTGATTGCCCACGCAATCTGGCTCGTCACCGCAACACTGATCAGCAGCAGCAGCAGCGCCACCAACAGAAGCAGCCGCGCATTGCTTGCTTGGCGCATTTTGGCTCTTTTCGTTTGAATGACTTGACTGTGGTGGTTGGAATGAAGAGCGCAAAGGGGGAAGTGGGGGAATGGATTTGATTGGACTTTGACTGCAATTGGGGACTGCTGCTGCTGAGGATCCGGGTACTTTTTGGTATCCCACTCGAACGTCGTGTAGCTCGTTGCCCATCCCGAGTCAATGTCATAGCCACCTATTGAAAGAGAGCAGCGACGTGACAAAAAAAAAAGCAAACAAACAAAACAAAGAAATTTCAGCCAGTTTGCAAACAGCATGTTATTGTGTAGAGCTGATCGGTTATTCTCAGACTTTGTGTTTGTTTTGTTGTTTCCCATTCCTTTTTTTTTTTTTTCTTCTTTTTTTTTTCTTTTTTTTTCCTTTTTTTTTTTTTTTTTTTTTTTTTTTTTTTTTTTTTTTTTTTTTTTTTTGTTTCTGTGCCTCTGCATTGCATTGCATTTGGGGGGAATGATGAGGTCCTGGCGTCTGCTGGTCGTCGCTCTGACGGTCGCTGCGACTGTGACTACCGTGGTTCAGCATTGCGACGCTGCTGCCGGCATCCGCTTTGCCCACTTTGGCATGGACGACGCCAACACGCCGCTGCCCAGTTGAGTACCAGCGTCGGTCGGTCGGGGAGCGATGATTGCCAGCGCTCTTGACGTCCACCCCCGCCTTCCACCTTCTACCTTCCGCCGAGCTTGATGACGAAGCAGAGTATCGCGCCAAGTAGCTCCCATTGAATGGAGGCTGAGATGGGGGCCCCAGCTGTTGAAGCAGCGAGGCAAACCGCAGTGAAAATCCGCTCCAATTTAAAAACTCAATCCACATTGGAATAGAGTCAGGTCACCATGTCGGGTCACCTCGCTTGACGTGGAGAAGACAAGAGCAGTGCATTCATCATTGGAAAGTATGGGGGGGGGGGAAATGAGTATGAGGGAAGGAAGGACCAATACCAATGGACTTGAATGAACAATCACAAAAGTCTCAGAAAGCCTCAGAAAGTGTCATAACAGCAAGATGAACGAGAGAGAGAGAGACTAACAATTCCTGATACAATTGCGCCGCACACTCTGGGTTTTTTTTTTTTTTTTTTTGCACACACAGAATTATCGTTGCGCTCGGCCAACCTCGACGAGTTTATCGCGTACAACATCTCGTTCGGAACGGCATACCCGAGCACTGGCTACAATGAGCTTCCTGTGGGCGTGCATGACATGCGCCTCATGATTTGGAATCAGGCCTCTGGGCAGGATATCGAGATTGGCTCGACCTCCATCACGGTCCAGGACCAAAACTCGTACACGATCTTTTGCACTGGCATTTACAAGTTCCTCATGGGTGAGTGCAAGGATGAGTGCTGCGTCATTGCATACCATTTGCGATTGCCATTGCTTGCAACGACCGATACAGTCAACAACGCCAATGCCTTCGTTCTCACTCGTATTCGTCATTCGCCATCTCTCACCGCAAAATCACAGCCCTCCCGGATGCAAGCCCGTCTCTCACAGAGATTACACACACTGCTTTCCTCTCTGCCGATGCGGTCAATGCGCAGCTGCTGCTGAACGGCGCAATCCCGTACGTTCCGTCCACCGCGCACATGTACATGTCCTTCGGCTACTACCCGGCCGTCAGCGGCCAATCAAAGTGGATGTACATGTCGTACTGGACCGACTACCCTTCAGGAGACTACAACACTGTCCCCGCATGGAACGCGTCCGCCATTCATGTTGTCGGACCTCTGACCCCCGCCGTATCTGGCGACCCGAACTCGCCCGACAAGTCTTTCGTCACGACTGCTCCGTTGGCCAGCATCGCACAGCCCTCCAACTCTACCGCCTCCGAATGTGTGCGCTCATCGCAGTGTGGGTATGCCTATCTGCCCGATTCGCGGCTAGCGACTCAGTCTCTTGACAGCGAGCAGTACTACGCCGAGGTGCTGTCCTTCAGCAATGTCGACGTGACTCGGGTGAGTGACTATTGCATTATTCATGATGCGATTCGTTTGCAGCGGTTTGTTGTGCGCAGTGCTGACTTGTTTTTTTTTTTTTCCTTCTGATTTTTGTTCTTTGATTTTTTTTCTGGCTTTTTTTTTTTTGCCGTAGGACAATGTCGCCATTCGTGGATTCGTCACCAAGTCGCAATGCATCCAGCTCATCCCGGATCACCGAACTCTCACATCCGGCGGCCGCGCAGTCATTCGGTTTGCGCACTTGGCGACGGATCTGGGTCCATTGTCCGTCTACTTGAACTCGGCGTCCGGCACGCCGTTGATTGCGCGAGTCGATCGTTTCCAAGTCTACGAGTCGTCCGCGATCGTCGGCACCTACTCTGTGGTTGTGACGCGGTTCGGATCGCTTCAGCCCCTGAACGTGACCGGCCGGATTGAGCATTCCTTCTTTTTCGGCGCCAACGGCGAGTACACCATTTCGTTATTCCGACCCAACCAGCACAGCCTTGATTCTCGCATTCTGACTGGCGGTATGTATGATTCTGCGGGCTGTTCAGTGATTGTTTTTGTGCTTGTTGGGTTTGCTGACCTTTTCTCTCCACGCACCCCCGCCCCCGTCAACCCTCCTCCATGACACTTTGATTGACCAAACCATAGTTCAAGGCACAAACGGTGCGGCCACGGCATCCGTGAGCGTCTACTTGTTAGCTGCCAGTTTCGTTCTTGCGATTCTTCCGTTCTGGTGATTTTGTTGCAATTTGTGTTTAGAGATTGTTGTTTCCATAGCTGATGATGATGTTGTTATTATCTGGTGATTTACTTTGTGTTTTTATGGCTTTGTTAAGAAAATGAAATGAAATGCTACGATTTTAACTTGGGGGGCAGAAGCACCCAAAAAAAACTGTACAAGAAAAACAAACTTGTCTGAACTCCATCACGTCCATAATGGGCCTGGTTTGGAGTCCAAGACGACTCGCTTGATCATATCGAAGCCCCACGATTCTTGGACCGTTGGCAGGATGATCTGTGCACCAAAGGCGGGAGCAAACGCAAACGTGACCTCAGTATTGCATTTTTCCCCATCGACGGAACAGAACGATCAACAGCTTCCCCTCTCTTCAACTCTACCTCGAACGGAAATGGGACGGATGTGTCGTTCTTGACAACGGGGATGTGGTCTTGCTTGGAATTGCAAATGAAAATGATGGTCGAGACGTGGCGGTGAATTTCGCTTGTCAATGCTGACGAGTACGAAGCCCGTTCTGCAAAAACAGGTATGCCAGTACAGCAGCATTGTGAATGACTGTTAATGCAGGGGCACGAGCGAGGGAGCCTTTCAGCCCCAAACTACTTACCGGCTTCGCTTAGAAACGGTCGCTGCGTGACAATCACATTCCATTGCTCCCAGTTTACAGGTTCGTCTTTGAAATTGAACAGAGTCTTTTTCCGTTGTATCTCGTAAAAGGAGAGCGACAGCTGCAGAGAGAGTTGGAAACAAAAGGGAAAGTTTGATCGCGAGGGGTCGGTTAAGAAGTGCGGCGTCAAAAAAATGCCAAATGCCCAGACTCAGCACCCACCGTCTCCACAACTACACTTTGAGTCAGTACATTGTCGAAACGCATCACGGAATCAAACTTTACCTGAGATCGCGACGAGCCACTTGTTTCAAACATTTTGGCAAACTGCGCCACTTTCTCGTTGACGGTGGCTGCCACCTCCTCGGAATCCACGCGCACCTGGATTTCCACAGGCGTCAGGATACGTTGCATACTGTTCAAAATTCGCGATGTCTTGCACAGTGCACGCTCAAAAACTCGGCAATCAAACATACGTAGGTCAAATCGAGGGATTCGCACTCGACGTCGACCGGACGCGCGCGGCCAAACTCGCGATGAAACAGGATGGTATGCAAGAGAGCTGTCGTTCGGTTTCAGAAATGGGAAGGGGAACAGTTGATGCCAGCAGGAAGCTGAATGAGGCGTTGAAAACCAACTGATGACAGCGCTGGAACAAGTGTTTTTCGTTACCCGAGACAGCCTCGCGCGTCTGTGACGGATCTGTGGTCTGTGGTTGCAAACAAGGACAGAGTTTGTTGAGCAAATGAAACGTCAGGGTGTTCGGTTTGCAAGGTGGATTGAATGAGAATCCAGCTCTCAATGCAAACTTCAGCCAAAATTTCGCATTGCATGCCGCTCTCTCGTCCTCATCCACACATCGCATCAGATGCAGCCCATGAGCAGAACAGTTGCAGCACAGTTGCAGCACAGTTGCAGCATCCACCAACCAAAAAAAAAAAGAGCTCTTACGATGGCGAGCGAATGCACTTCGAAATTCATCCAAAAAGCTCAAGCAAACTTGATCAAAAGCGGGACTGATTCTCTGAGCGTCTGAGACTTTTTTTTAAAAAAAAAAAAACACGACTCGGCATCTCAATTCCATGTCATTGCAGTTTCGAGACTCAGTCAGTCATTGTGTTGCTTTTCGCTCTTGGTATTCAATGGTAAAGCGCCTCAATGCAAAACGCAGTCAACAAAACGGCAGTCACTCATCTCGAGCTTGTACTTTGCTGCTTGGCAGTCTGTCACACTGTACACGGATCTCGGCGAGTTCAAGATCGAGCTGTTCTGCGACCAAGCGCCCAAGGCCTGCGAGGTGAGTGGGATGGACGAGAGCGAGAAGGTCGTTCTGATGTCGATCGCGTAGAGGCGAGCATACTTGCCCAGTCCCCCCTGCCATCCGACCCAGCGCCATTGTGATTTCCAACAAAGTGATTGGGAGCATTATGGTGAAAGTGGCGGATGATGGTTGGGAGGGGGGGGGAACAAGCGAGAAAACGACAGCAACATGAACTCCTCATGCTCACACAAGGCTCACCACGGATGCGGGTCTGAATACTCGTTTGACAGAACTTTCTAGCCCTGTGCGCAAGTGGATATTATAACGGCTGCACGTTTCACCGGTAAGGGATTTTGTTGTTACGTTGGTTTGTTTTTTTCAAGCTTGCTTTTTGGCGACCTTCATCGCATAAACCTTCCCTGATTCTTTGGATGCAATGAACAGAAATATCAAGGGCTTTGTATTGCAAACGGGCGATCCGACCAATACCGGAAAAGGCGGCACGAGCATCTGGAACCGAAAGTTTGAAGACGAGTTTGTGGATACATTGAAGGTGAGTTTATTCGTCTCAGTGTGTGTGCACCTGCGCATTGCTGTGTATGCTCAAAGCACACTCATTGGTGCAATGTCTTCTCTTGCTCACACAGCACAACGCGCGAGGAATCGTGTCCATGGCCACCAACGCACCCGACTCGAACGGCTCGCAGTTTTTCATTACCTATGCAAAGCAGCCCCATCTAGACAACAAGTGCACTGTTTTTGGGAGGTAATTGGCAGTGTTTGTCAATTTGTTTTCGTTGCCGACAATCCGCGATTTGCATGATGACGGTTTGTTTTGTTTGCCCCTGACTCGCCCCTGCCCGCGCGTTACTCTTTGTTCGTGACAGAGTGATTCATGGTCTCGAGACGCTGGATCACTTTGAGAAGGCTCCTGTTGACGAGAAGCACCGCATGACCTTCCCAGCGCAAATCCGGCGCGTTGCCATCCACGCAAATCCCTATGCGAATTGATTGCTTCTTGTTTCTGAGTTTGTTTCATAATAATCCATGCATTTAAGCCAGAAGGTTGTCCGGCGCTTCTTCCTTACTCTGATTCTGACGCTGATTCATTTTGTTGATGGTTGTTGTTATGACCATAAATGGTTTTTCTTTCTTTTTTCTTTTTTTTTTTCTTATTTCCTTGCTTTGTCTTTTTTTGGGATTTGATTTCACTCGTTTTGGGGTTTTTCTCGCTTCCAATCCTCCTGCATTCACCTCTCCCCATTTCCTCCTGCATTCGTCTCTGCTATCAGGCATCTGCAGCAAACCTCACTTTCCCCATTCCCCTCTCCGCTCTCCTGCAAATCCTCGCAGCGCAGCACAGCCAAAGGGCAGTCTTGGTTTTGTTTTTTTTTTTCTTCTCTCTCTCTCTCTCTCTCTTCTCCTTCTTCGCTCTTTCTCTGCGCTTGTGCTTCAGGATGTCGCGCGACCCACCCGTGCAGCGCTTCAAGGAGGGCATCATCATGCTCGGCAGCGAGCCCCGTATCAACACTGCCAAGTGGAGCCGCAAGTACGCCGTCGCCGATGAGCATGGATTCGCGGTCTATGTAAGCCTGAGCCGCTTGGTTTAATGTTTTGTGGCTGGCTGCTCTCTCTCTCTCGCTCTCTCTCTCTCTCTCTCTCTCTCTCTCTCTCGCTCTCTCTCTCTCTCTTTATCGCCAATGCATCTATCAGCATGCACATGCCTTCACTGCACTCGTGTGTGCCTTGCATTGGGCGGAGTGGCACACAAAAAGAGAGCGACAACTGTCCCTTTTTGCAACACATGTTTTTCTGCCTTTGGTCGTGTTCAGCCGGCGGCTCTTTCTGTGGCTATCGCACCACCGCGCCTTGCCACTGCTCGGTCCATCTGTGCCGTGTCGGCCTATGGAAGAAGACCACCGCCACCACCACCAGCAGCAGCAAGCAGCGACGCTGCGGTTCTTGCTTTTCTTCTTATGATTTTATGTTGTATTATTTGACCCCCTCCCCCTTCCCCTTTTGCTCCCCCCCCCTGTCCCTCGTCTGCCTCAGACGCCCTCACCCTTGCCCTTCCTCCGACCTCCATGGCTGTTTGATGCTCCAACCGCACGTCGCTTTGCCTTGCTGTCCCTGTAATGCCTCGCTCACCTTTTATTTTATTTTTTATTTTTATTTTTATTTTTTTCCTCTCCCCTTGTTGCTACCTGAGCCAGAGCCCGAGCAAGATGCCGCCAGCAAAGCCGCAGCTCCGGTTTGACTACATTGGCTTTTTCGACTTGAGGTGAGTTGGTCTCTCGCGCTCGAGCTCGAGATGTTGGACTTGGAGGAAGGGGGACATTTGCCGTGTTCGCATTCGCAGCAAAAAAAGACCGCCGCCCGTCGCGTCCCCTTCCCTCAGATCTGGTTTGAGCTGGTCTGGGTTTGTGAGTGGAAGGTCTCAGGCAACTTTGAAACATGGCACCAGTGACACTCTGGCGTGCATCAGCACAAGCAGACCACACAACACAGCCACCGCAGTCGAAAGCTATTTGACACAAAAATACCACCGAAACTTGAGCCACTTGTTGACGAGCTTGCCGACGTAACCGTCGTTCAGTCGTTCAGTCGCTCCAAGAATCGAGGAGACAACAACTCACACTGCAGCGTTCACTATTGCGGGTGAATGCAACTCGCAAACTCATCTCGCCTGCTCTTGGACTTGACCACGAGAGGGGCTGCGATCCAATCACAAACTGCGCAACTCACTCCGCCAACAACCACACACGTCTTTACTGACCATGTCTCTCTCTCTCTCTCTCTCTCACTCTCTCCCTCTCTCTCTCCCCACCACAGTGACGAATTCTTGCAGTTTGAAACGACCGAAGGAGAGTCGTACATTTTCCAAGCAGACTCGAGCTTGCCAGAGCACGAGCGCGAGATGGAGCTCGCCGCTTGGCATGTAGTCATTTCCATGTGGCGCGTCAATGTCATGTCATCGTTCGTCCTTGCCGACGCGCCACTCGCAAAGGTGAGTCATTTTCGTCCCCTTTTTGTGTTGTTTTTGGAGCCGGTTGTTGACCAACAACTTTTGAACCTTTCAGGTCCATCGCATCGGCTGGGCATTCCTGGCCATCCCATCCAAGCACGCCCAGTTCTATGTCTTTGTTGCGATTCAAGGCGACACGATTGATATTTACAAGCAAGCTCCCGTGAGTGTGCTTGGTTTTCCAAGTAGTGAATTTCGATTTCACGCTTTTTTTGTTTTTGTTTTTTTTTTTTTTTTGTTTTTTGTTTTTTTTTTTTGTTGCTCACTCCTTCCTCTTTTGGCCACGGCTTCAGGTCAAGAAGGAGCGAAAGCCGTGGCGATCGTTCAAGGCGATGCAGTGCCAGTGGAACTGGAACGAGAGCGCTGCCGAGATCGTGCCACTCTCCGATCCCATCGTCTACCAATTCACGTTCGGTAAAAGCGTCGAGTCGCTGGAAGAAGCACGACAAGCACACTCCTCGTACTGATAAAGTTTGTTGTGTTCTTCTGTATGCGTCATATGCCTTGCCGGCAGGTCGAATGGTCGAGACTACGCTGTGGAAGGAGTCATCCATTGCAGCAATGAGCATCGATCCAAAGGTAACTGTATTGTGATTACGCTCTCCATCCCTCCTGCTCTCCCTCCTCCTCCCTCGTCGACTCCAGCTCACTCATCTGTGCTCTGCTTTTCTATCCATGTAGGCTGCACTCACTGTCAAGGGCAAATTCCACGGCGACAAAGTTATGTTGTCCATCGCCTTGGCAACCGGCGTCACGTTGACTCATATTGAGGTGAGTGTGTTTGCAAGACTGCATCTCTGCTATAGATTTGTTGATTCTCACTTGTATGGCATTTTCACTCTTGCAGTCGAACGTAGTCGTCTGGCAACGCGACTTCCCGTTCATCCGGCAGGTTAGCGTGGAAGGCACAACTCTGTTGCTTTCCGTGAAGCCTGCTATTCATGGAGTCAACCAAGAGGAAGCCCCGGGTGCCCGTGAAGACTGCCGTTTGCAGTTCAAAACAACTGGCGACCCACTACACGCCAAGATGATGCTCATGAACATTGGCCATTTGCTCTTCATGCGTCACACACGGCTGCTCGAATGGCTGTCTCAGTACAGCTGGTTCTTTGGCTCGATGAATCGCATTGATGCCGAGCGCAAATTGCTTGTGGAGCAGAGTGCCAACTTTATCGTGCGAGCAAGCGACCGCTGGCGGTTTGACTTCACGTTGACCTTCTTGTGAGTGTTGATGGTTGTGTTTTTTTTGTTTTGCCTTTCCTCGTTTTTTTTTTTTTTTTTTTTTTGTGCTGTTTTTTTGTGCTGCATGTACTGTCTGTCACTGACTCTTTGCACCACTCTCTGTTCTCACTGCCCAGTGCCAATGGACTCATCCACCATTTCCGAATCGAAAACCGATGGACCAACTTTGTCATCCAAGGCCTCGTCTTTGAAAGCATCTCCCATCTGGTCAATTTCTACTCTGTCAATCCTTTGGTGTGCCGCAATGGCACCAAGGTCAAGCTGGGTGCCGACATTGACAGCACCTCGTCGACGCTGGCTCCAAGGCACGCTGGCGGCGTTCAACTCCGCAATTTCGGGGATTCCCGACGCGCATGCGACCCCAAAGCGGCCGAACGGCTCGCCCAGACCGTGCGACAGCTGGAGGTCGAGGAAGACTCTGAGGAGGTCTTTGAGCCGTCGGCCAACGGCATGAACACCATTTCGCGACCCAACACGTACCGACACCAGACCATCATGCAAGACTCGTTCTTCTCCGCCCCCGGCGGCATGCCCATGAGCGCGGCGTCGCGTGCTGCCATGCAAGGCAATGCGTCGGTGATGACTCCGCAGCCCACTGTCGGTCCTGCCGCAGGCGCTCGCTTGAACCAGAACAACGCTCGCATGTCCGCCGCGGGCCGTCCGGCTGCGTCGCCCTACCCGTTCGCACAACCAGGACAGCTGCCGTACCCGCAGCCCGGTCTCCTACCAGGCCAGCAACCGCTTCTCCCGGGCCAACAGCCACACTTTGCTCCGGCTGGTCACAATCCCTACCCGCAAAACGGCGGACACGTGCCCTATGTTCCAAACAGTCGGCCGGCGTACCCGTTGCCGCAAGGCGGCCACATGCCGTACCCATTGCTTCCGGGCCAGGATCCGAACAAGTTTGGCATTTCCACGCCACCAGGCGAGCAGCACGACCCCCCGCTGTACGAGGAGACTGCAACCCTGTATGAGCATTACGAGACAGTGTCTGGGGGCGCGCCTCCAGCGTACCAGCCAGCGGCGCCAGTTCGTGCTGCCGCGAACATTCCGGAGCGCTCGGGTTCGAGCGGTTCTGTTTCTGGCCGACCACGAGCCGCGCTCCGGCGGTCGAGCCAATCAGAGCAGCCACCCGCCTCAATCCCGCGCAGTGGCAGTGCCAGCCGTGATACTGATCTGGCTGCTCTGCTGCCCGTGCTTCGTACCCAGGAAGGTGTTTCGCGTGCCAATGACAGCGATGACGCGCTCGGAACTGTGGCCGTCTTCAAAACCACTCGCGCCTCGTCTTCGCGACCACGCACACCATCGCCCGTGTTTGGGGATCACTCGGAGCCGTTGGATGATGATGGCTCTCACATTTACGACAATGCAGACGCGCGCGGCCGGCTCACCAATGCCGTCATGCAGCCCATGCCGACGGCATCCATCTATGATGCCGTCCATCAACCCGATTTACCCATGCTGCCGCCCACCGTGATGGCAGCTCCGGAGCGCACGTCCTCCTTGAGATACTCTGTAGCGGCCGGCGCCGCGGATGTGACCCAGGCCTTTGCCTTCCTGGATACCGTCGAACAGGAATCCTCCAGCGAGGAATCAGATGACAACGACGACGACGACGACGACGACGACATGCTGGACGACGGCGCATTGAGTAGCCATTCGATGGATGATGACGATCGACCACCGTACAGCGCCTCGCCTCCTGCCATCCCCCAGCCCTTGCCCCAGCAATCCGAGACGTCGCCGCGCGAAGCAGTAGTGGCTCCGACCATACCGATGGCGCCGCCGATTCTTGGTCCTCCTCCTTCCTGCCCGGCTCCGCCCCCGCCAGTTGCCATTGCTCCGCCGGTTGCGATTGCTCCGCCAGCCGCCATTGCACCGCCAGCTGCCATTGCACCGCCAGCCAGCCAAGACCAAGCTCCTGCGGTGGTGGCATCCGCGCCTGCAGACTCGAATGGGGCTGAAGCCGATGTCACTGTGATTCCTGTTGCCCAGCTGCGGTTTGGAAAGCAGCTCGGTAAAGGAAACTTTGGCACCGTGATGGAGGCCATCTGGCGTGGTCCGATCGGCAAAAACCGGCTCGTTGCGGTCAAGACGCTCAACAAGGAGGAAATGCCAACCGACACAACCGAAACCCTCGAATCGCGCATTGAGGCGTTTTCGAGTGAGACATCCTTCATGGCGCAGCTGTGCCACGAGCACATTGTCCGGCTGCTTGGCGTGTGCATTGAGGGCGATGCCATGATGATGATCACCGAGCACATGCAACTGGGCTCGCTCAAAGAGTATCTCATCAACAACTTTAAGAATGGCGTGGAGCTCACTGTCGGCGAGCGTCTGCGCTTTGCCACTCAGGTCGCGCAGGGCATGGAGTATTTGGAAGCCAGCCGCTTTGTGCATCGCGATCTTGCGGCTCGCAACGTGCTCATGTCGTCTCCACAACTTGTCAAGATCACGGACTTTGGCATGTCCAAGATGCTCGACGAAGGCGATGATACCTATATCGCTGCCAAAGGTCGGTGTTATAATTGGTTGTGGAGTTGACAGATTGGAGATTGGGGTCTTTTTCTGACTTGTGATGCTTTGGTTTTGATCACTCAATAGGCGGCCAATGGCCTGTGCGCTGGACTGCCCCCGAAGGCTTGTATTACAAGACCTTCACCTCAAAGTCGGACGTGTGGAGCTATGTAGGTTTTTTGCAAGCAGGCATGTATTGTAGAGAAACCATCTCTTATTGACTAACTGACTGACTGCACCGTACTGTCTTTACCTTCCAGGGTGTCACCGTTTGGGAAATCATGACCAATGGCGAACAACCTTGGCCAAAGTTCACGCCGCAAGAGCTGTGCGATGCATTGGAAGCCGGAGAACGCCTAGCTCGTCCGCTCGACTGCCCCGCGGATTTGTATTCTTTGTTACTGACCTGCTGGGATCTCGAGCCCGAGCAACGCCCCAACTTCCAAAAGATTCGCATCGTGACCCAAAGCATGGCAGCTCAGTATGACGACGAAGACTGAGTGGCAACATGTGGTGCTTTCTTTTGATTATTATTATTTTTATTTCGGTCGGTTTTGTTTGTTTGTTTGTTTGTTTGTGTGTTTGTTTGTTTGTTTGTTTGTTTGCATGCGCTGTTGTTTCGTGTTTGCGATTTTATTTTGCTGTCTGATGATTTGAATGACACCATTTGTTCAACATTCAAGTTGATTGGCGAGTGATTTCAATTGTGGTGACATGCTCAGCGTCGGCTACGGCGATAATGTCGGCGGCCACCAAGGCCTGCTCGAGCACAGTACCGGCTTGGCGGGCTCGAGCGATTTCGGGGATGAATTGTCCAACGCTGCCAAAGTATCTGCCGATGAATCGCAGCGTTAACGCATTGATGAGGGCCATCGCGGCGGCCGGATCCATTTTGCCCGACTTGCCCATTCTTCGAAGAACCTGCGGGAAAAAGAAGGGAAATTCGGTAAAGTTTTGATGGCCAGTGTCGCGCACTTTGAGCCAGAGCCCCGTCGGCGTCGTTTCTGGAGCGGCAGTGCGGACTTGTTCGAGAAGAACGTGCATCAATTTGCGAGACTCGTCAAACAGCTCGGTGTCGATCGAAAGGATTGGCGGGAAGTTTGGGATGGGGTGTCGCGCCACGTTCGGGCCGATTGGGAACATCCCTGCATGTATGTCGATGACAGAAGTGGCAATCAAAATGAGCAAGAAGGCAGAGTCAAAAATCATCAAGTCACGTCTGTCGTCGCAGCTGTAACTCACAAGCATCATATGCGACCACTGCCCGAACACGACGATCCCCCTGCATTGCTGCATAGATGGCTGTCGCAGCTCCGAACGAATGTCCGATCAGCAAAACTCGGGATGGATCCAGCTTTCCTTTGAACGAGGTAATGCTGCACAAAACACAACGGGTAGAGGAAACTGAGCCAAAGTTTGTTTGCAAAACCAAACAAGCAACAACAAAGAGGCATTCCTCGGCGAAAAAAAAACCTTTCCCTACCTGCCAACACCTCGGTCGTTCAATTCGTCAAGACCCGCAAGGAGCCGAAGCACTTGCGTTGTGCGATGGCGCAACTGCCGGTGCCGGAAGGAGTACAGCCACTCGTCATCACTGCGCGATGGCCGCTGGTAGCGAATCTCGCGGCCGTCGGGCAGAACAGTGTACGAGGCACTGCCGTCATGGAACTCGGGACAAAGCACGACAAAGCCAAAGGATGCCAGCTCTTTGCAGATGATTGCATTCGCAGTGCGCGAGCCACCCAAGCCGTGGCAAAAGATGGCGACTGGAAATTGGGCATTTCGAGCAATCGGACCATTTTCGGTGGCGTTCATCTTGATCAGACTCAAGTGCGACACGAGAAAGTGGGCGGCCGCTGGGATGCCAATGAACGAAGCATAGGCCCTCGCCGATTCGCCACCGTGGACGAGATAGGACGCAGGCGAGCGCTTGACCAGATCGGCATCCGCGCCTCCAGATCGTGCAGCAGACTCTTTCAGGCGCATCGGGTAGAAGACCTGCACACAGAACGGAGTCGACTCGGCCGAAACATTCGGAGGTCCAGCCACATCAGCCGGATAGGTCGGCTGTGGCAGTTTCGCATTGAGATGAACAGTTGTGGTTTGTGTCGGCCAGTCCAAGCTTTGTGTAGCGACGTCAAAAGGTCCCGACGGTATCGGAAACGTTGTGACGGCAAACTGTCAACATAAAAGGCAAAACGAAATGGCGAGTTTAGTTGTCAAAGGACCGAAGAAGCGGCACGAATGAGAAGGCAACGGTGGACTCGAAATCCAATCCGACATTCATTCGAGATCTGAGAGTCCCGAGAGTCTGAGAGTCCGAGAGTCTGAGACAATAACAATCTGCGTCCGGAAAAAAGAGGTCAAGCTTGTACACGAACTCACCATGATGCCAAGAATGGCCGAGATGGCTGCAAACACAATCACGAGCACGATGGCCGAGGTCGACACGACGCCGACGGGCGGAATGGCAGCGGCGAGCAGCAGCAGAATGTCGGCAAAGTACAGCGGAGCCAACTGCCAGCGAGGTCGCTCGACCGCCACGTGCACAAGCGCCAGCAGCAACGGAACAGCGCCAAGAATGAGGTAGGCGACGGGCGGCGTCGGCGACGCGGCGTTCTCGAGGTGGAAGGTGTACTCGCGATCGCGCAGGGCGTCGGAGGCGGACGAAGACGAGAAGGCCGCGGCGTCGGAGGAGGAGGACTCGCGGAGCCCCGCCATGGCCATGGCTGGTGCGTCGGCAGTGCCATGGAACGGGTGGTTGGGTGGATGGGCTGGGTGAGGGCTGGCGTCGTGGGCCGCCGTGAAGACCAACGCGAGTGCGCAGACGACCGTACTGATGACGGCTGCCGTCTCGATCGGTCGCATTTGGATGAAGGATTCCAGGGATGGGATGGGGGAGTTGAGACTGCGTTAAGATGGATGCAAGAGAGAAATTCGAGATGATGCTGATGCTGATGATGATGATGATGAAGATGACGACGAAACAAAGACAAGATACGAGAAGTTACTCAGATTGGATTGACAGCATTTTTCAGTATCGACGACGCGGCTGGGGCTTCGGACGACGTCCAGTTCGCGTCTCTTCAATCAGACCTTCCATGATGCGCTCGGCACACTGGGCTTGGAGTTGCTTTGCGGCGTCCCGGTCGGGAAACAGTTGCGGGAATCGATAACTGTCGGAATATTGAACGGGTGAGCAATCCAACCCCGTCGATCTCACGAAGACAAAACGCGTACCTAAGCCACATGTACAAATCCAGCATTTTGTGGCATTGCTCAAACTCGTTCAGCACACTCGGGGCTCCGGAAGTGGTGCTCGGCACAGTGATGGCTGCGAGCGTAATCGGCCGATTGGCTTCAAATCCAGTGGCAAACTAAGCGTAGGGGCGAGTGTCAGCAAATTCAAACGTTCCAAAGGCAGCAACAAGGGTGGGAAGTCTGCGTACTGAAAGCAAACAGCTTCGCATGTAGTCGTTTTCGAGGTTTGCTGGGGCCAGGATAAAAGTGTACCGATCCTTGAACGACAAGTTCAGAGGAGCGAGAAGTTTGATGGCCTCCTGTGTTGTTGCAACGAGAATCACAGCGATCAGTAAAGCATTGCAGAGCAGATCCAATGTCGCTGCGAAAACAAACAAGAGATTCGAGAAGATCAATCGCACCTTTCGGTCGGAGGAATCGCACATAAAGTATCGCTTGTCGAGTCGCGCCAAATCCTCAAACTTGGTGAAGAGATCGAGCATGTCAGCACCAGGGAGTTGCTTTGACAATGCCTCGAGCTGCTCAAAATTGGCCATCAGTCCAGCCTAAAAGTGGACAGGGCAAAAAACAGAGTTTGGTGTCTCAACGCATGCTGCGACACAACCATCCTTTCTCTATTCCTCACCTGGAGCGAGTCTGCGGGACCATTGAACTGCTTGATCAATATCCCCATGTCCTCGGGCTCGAATCTGAAGCGCAACGTCAGCGCATTAGAAGGACCCCCACGTCAAAAATCCAAAACATTCGCTCGACATTTCAAAAACCTCACGTTGTAAACTCGCCGCGGGGAAACTTGGAACGGAAGCGACCGGCGCGACCTGCAATCTGGCGCACCTCGGACGGCGAGAGTGTCACGTTGCTCACGCCATTGAACTTTTGGAGGGTGGTGAAGATGATGCGGCCAATATTCAGATTCAAGCCCATGCCGATCGCGTCGGTGGCGACGAGAATATCAAAGCCACTGTCGGGCTGATTGAAGAGGCGAGCTTGCTGCGCCCGGGTTTGAGGAGGAAGCGAGCCATAGACGATGGCACAACGAAAGCGGGTTTCCCGCTCAATCTCGGCCTTCCACCGGAAGAGCTCTTTGCGGGAAAAGGCAATAATGGCATCTCCGCGCCGAAGATTGGCCAGATTGCGGTTGATGGAATGAGGCGCCACGACCAATGGCGTCAGTCGCTCGTATGTGTGGACTTGGACGTCTTCACCGGTGGACTTGAGCAGGGACTCGACAATACTGAGGGCTCGAGGCTCGCCGCACACGTGAATCTCGTGGGCGGCAAGACCCAGGAGCGCGCGCGTCCACGCCCAGCCGCGATCGCGGTCACCAATCAGCTGGACTTCGTCGATCACGGCCACGTCAAAGACCTTGTCCACGTCGGCCATTTCGATCGTGCAAGCCACGTGCGATGACTGAGCCGAGGATGTTGCTTTCGTATCACCTCCATCATTATCGGACTGGGAGGATGAGGTCTCTGCTGCTTGGGAGGAGAAGATGCTGTTCAATGTCAAGCCTATGGACTCTGGGACCTTTGGAGAAGCATGATCCAGGCCAAGGATGGCTGCAGTAGACGCGTCGCCATCCATGAGCGAGATTGGATTGGCGCTGGCGACATCACCTTTCGGCAAGTGCGGCAACCGCAAAAGTTTGTCGAGCGCCGAGTCGTTGAGCTCCTGCGGCTCGTCTGGTCGACCTTTGCCTGATTTTCGATCTTCACCAGTGACAAGATCGCATGGGATGCCGTGGTTGTTGGTGTCGTCATACACCTCTAGCGCGAGCAAGCGCAACGGCGCGCAGTAAATGCCGCGGTTTGCCTCGCGAAACCGTTTCAGTGCGCTGTACGTCTTTCCGCTGTTCGTGGGGCCTGCGTGGAAGATGAACTTGCGCTGCATGCTCCGTGCTTGGTGGTAGGTCAGCTGCGGTTGACGCATGTCGGAGATTCGCGAAACGACCGACTGGTCCAATGTGGTTGCGCGATACCGCACAAAGTCTTGTCCAAATGCCTGCATGGAGCTTGGGTATGTTTCTGGAAGGGGAATGGTTGAAATTTCTGCCAGGTGCGAGAAAAGGAGCGAAAGTGAGATGGCGAGCAACAGACGGGCTCAGAAAATGGGAGGAGAGAGCCGTACCCGATGTAGGGGCACGCATTTGAGCAAGGTGATACTGAAGCACGGTAGCTGTGGGCTTTGGAACGGATCGCGACTGCAAGAGCTGTTTTGGAGGAGGGTGTAATCAATGAGTTTGAAAACTGCAGAGCATCTGTTGATCATGACGCTAGAACCACAAACCTGAACAAGATAATGATCCAGGCCTGACTTGAACTCTGCGACATTCATCCCTGCCTCCACAGCCATCCGACTGACCGTCGAGTTGGACATCAGGGCTTGGACCAGAGCAGCAACAAGCCTGGTCTGTTGCGCTTTGGGCAGGGAATAGGCTGGATTGCGCCTGACTGGAACGGGCTCCGCTTGAGGCGAGGAGGTCAGACCTTCGACATCTGCGAACAAATCCTTGACTGGATTTTCACTAGTCGCCTTGCGCGGGCGGGCGTGAGCCTCGGGCGTGAGCCTCCGGATGAGACGAACGCTGCAAACGCGGCTTGAACTCAAGGCGCCCCGCAGGTGGAACGGGCGCTCCATTTCGGAGTCTATCGTCATGTTGTCGTTGTCTTGATGCTTTGCCTTTGGAATTTCTTGCTAGCTTGGTCTTGGAGGCAGAAGAACGCCGGCTCTCGTCTGTTGCATCGCTCGGTCGCTTCCCGGTCGCTTCCCTTTCGCTGAACGCTGTATTGCGCGACGCGCTTTCATCGAATTTGGCCTGGTCTCGTACTCGGAATGATCTTGCGCGTCCATTTCGGCCTGTTCGTCGAGTCCGGTGAGGCTCTGTCTTGACGATCGCCGTGCCAAGACAATGCTGTTGGCAGCGAGAGTCGACAATCCGCGCGTCATCGTCATCCCAGGTCCATTGCGTCTGTTGCCGTGATAACTGTGGGCCATGCTATAGTGATGGTGGCAGCTGTTCGTTCGAATCGCAGTCGAATAGAGTTCAGCTCGCGGTGGAGGCTGCAGGGCGATCGCGACTGATGACCCAGTCCCCGAGCCTCGTGCGAACGACGACTGCTGCAGCGACGACGAGGACGAGGACATGTGCCGTGGAAGCAACAACGCAGCTGATGATAGAACGGTGCAGATCCGGCGTCCGAGTGGCAGTCTGTTCGCCAGTGCGGCAGTCCGCCTCGTGCTGGTGGTCATCGTCTGAGGCAATGAGACGGCCACCACTGTCGAGGTCGCTGAGAATCCCATGATTTTTGTTGGAATCTAGCTTTGGGATGATATGATGTATATTATCAATGCAAAACAAAGCAAAGCGCCTTAGGGTTTGTTGCGGCAGCTCGAGTTACTTGGGACACGCAGAATAAGACGAGTGATCAAATGGCCGAATGAAGCAGTGCTGCATGTATTACGATGAAGAGTCTTGCTCGTGCAGACTTTGCTGAAACCTCTGAAATGGATAGGTTGCATCGAGCGTAATGCGATTCAAGTCGAGCTCGGCTTGTAACTGTGCAAGCTGCGCGAGTGCAAACGCCAACAACCGCTTCTGTCCCATTCGGTAGCGGATGGCGTGAAGCTCGCGAATCAATCCGCGCATTGCTGGCGATTCAGGCTCCGTTTCCTCGAGTCGACGGAGCACTCGCTGCTCGGCAAACTCGTCGCTCTGTATCACAATCGGGTCTCAGCCATCCAGAACGAATAAAAGAAGAAATCAGAAACAGCTCTTTACCTCAATGGTTGTCGCAAATTTTGCTTGGTTTCGCTCCAAGCTGCGTTGAAGAAGCACCGTGGCAACAAGCTCCGAGTCGACAGAAAACGGGCTGTTACTTGCGATTCCTTCCTCGAGTAAAAAATCGAGTTGATCTGCAGCAAAGGACAGCTGGCGTGAGTGGGACAAACTCGAGCGAAACCTCCGACCTGAAAACCTCACCTTTCGTCGCAATCATGACCCGTAGCGCAAAAAGAATGTCAGGATCAATAATATCGCCATGCCAGCGGAGCAAAAAGGGATGGTTTCTGTTTGAACACAAAACAGTAAGTTTCAAAGACTACGACGAGAACCAAAACCCAGCCTATGCCTTACTCTTGGATGCCGCGCAATTCCAAGAGGTGCTCGCGCAAATCCATGAGAGGATCATTGGTCTTTTCACGGTCAAAGTGCAATCGGACGAGGAATGTGTCGTGCTCGTTGTGCGGCAAAGCAAACCCGTAGTGCAGCAGCAACACTTCATTGGAGTGTGCTTTGTAGTTGAGAAACATCTGTTAGAGCCAAAACAAAAAATAAGCAAGGTGTTGGAGGGAATCATTCGGCAAACTGCAAAGCAACTCGAGCAACACGCACCTGCTCTCCAGGCAGAAAAGTTTCGTTGCCCGAGATCACTGCGCAATTGAGATTTTCCACAGAGTCGTCGTAGTTCCCGCTGGAAACGTCGGACGCGTCGCCAGCTCTTCGAGTGTAGGAAAAGGCGATGCTCTGCGAAGACCAGTCAGAAAGAGAGCAGTTGTAGAGCACAGAGAAGAGATTGTCACAGCTGCTCACCTTTGCCCCGTTGTGATTGAAGAAATCGACAAAGGGTATCATGACCGTGCAAGGTGCGTTGTTCACCGACATTGTCAGTCCGCGAGATGCCAGCACCATGAACGCCCACTTGAAGTCGTCGTAAGAAAAGCGATCAGCAACAAACGAGTCGGGAAATCTCTGCGCAGCGAGTGATTCAATCGGAGGTTAGCCAAGAGGGAAGACATGGATGAATGCGATTCCACGCCGTACTAATCGTAACGCTGGCAAGTCAAGCTGGTCGTACTCGTACTCGATGAGCGCTTCCAATTGGCGAATCGCGTCTGGGAACAGCGAACAAAGCACAACATCAGCTGCGTTGTGACACAATCCAGCAACTTTCAAACCTTGCGTACCCCGGATGCTGGTGTTGTCGAGCTCCATCAGTAGCAAATCGTCCCAGAAACCAGCGCAGTCGAGCTCTCTGCGAGTACAAAGTTCCATATTTTCATGAGGCTGGAACTGGGCGCTTTCTTGCCCAGCCGCTGCACAATAGAATCTCGCCTTACCTTGGGAAGAGTTGAAACCAGGGTTGCCAGAACGAATCCGGGTCAAAATACTCGTATAGAAACAATAGTGACAGCTTGGCCTCTTCACGGGCGACTGGTCGGACTGCTAACGCAGCCATCATGGGCGAATCTGCGGAAAATCCCGCATGAGCACTTTGCTGCTGTGAATAAACGGGCATCAAAAGCCGCACCTACCCAAAAGCGTGAATCTTGCAAAGAAGGTTGACAGCGGGACGGACAACAGCGGTGTGGTGGTTGATGCTTCAATGGCCTGACTGGCGAAAATGGACAAGCCCTGAAATAACACGAAATCAAACACGACAACCATCAACAGTAATACGGATGAGTGGTTGAGCATTGAGCATTGCTACAACTGTGCTAAATTGCTGGCCGACCATTGTTGGGTGCAATCGGAGCTCGAGTGTCTTTGCCCCAGCGTCCGACTCGCCAACTTCGATGCCTTCCTCGCTGGCCCATTGCAGGAACTCGTCCAGTGCGTCTTGCATGAGCGGAGGCACAGACTGCTGTTGGGCGAGCGCGTCAGTTGTCGTCAGATCACCAGTGTCGAGATCATTGTTCGCTTCAGTGTACTCTAATCCAACCACTGCTGATGCTGCTGCTGCGAGTGCTGTCAAGCTGCAGACAGCAGCAGCGATGACGATGCACTGCAATCGCGAGCCACGCATCCCAATTGATGGAGGGATGAATTGCAGTCAGCAACACAGAATCACGACTGAGAATGACTCGCCTCTCAGCCGTTGAGACGTGTTGTGAGTGAAGTGAATATCACAATCTTAGACTTGTTGTAAATGGATTCGATCTTTGGCAGATTTTGCGAAATCTACTTTTCTGAACACTTTCATGCGAGAACAACAAAGCAAGAGAGAAAGAACGAACGAAAGAAAGAAGAACGAACGAAACAAAACTGGAAGAAAGAAAGCAAGAAAAGAACGAAAGAGGAGAAGGAAACTAGGGCACGACGTGCCTGTATCACGGTGTCGAAGCGGATGGCGCGGAGGAGCTGCTTGCAACATTGACGTTGGAAGAGCTGCTTGCGGCATTGCCAACGGAAGAGTTGCCTGTACCATTGCCAGGGGCAGCGATGCTGGGAGTGTTGCTCGATGTGCCTGCGGAAGAGCTGCTTGGAGCATTGCTATTGGAATTGCTGCTGATCGAGAACGCGGCGGAGGAACTGCTTGCAACATTAATACTGGAAGAGCTGCTTGGCGCATTGCCAGCGAACGAACTGCTCGAGAAGGAGCTGGTGCAATAGATAGGATCTTGCGCATGCTTCGGACAGACCCAACGAACCTCACCCGTGCTGAGCACAACAGCTCGCTCCAAACCAGCAAAGGACTTGTACTCGTCTGTCTGGGACAGAAAAGCAGCCCATTCCCTTGCTGCCGCTTGGGAAGAGTGTGTACTTCTGAGGAAACAGCAGATGCATGCGCCGGCTGCTCTCCTTTCGCGCTGGAACCGTTTTTCTGATCAGCGTGGTCGAGCAATCGCTGCAAATACGGAAGAGCTTTGAGCGGGTCTTGCAACGCATTGATTGCCGAATCAACCGCACCCGTTACATTTGGTGCACCGGCCAAACTGGCCAGCTTCAAGAACGGACGCACCAACCGAAGCAGACTTCGAACACGAGAACCATAATCCCTGAGCCAACGGGGAAGATCTTCAATGGCGTAGCCTGGATGGTGGTCGATACGATGCCACTCGGGCTGGCTGTTGGTACCCATGTGAGCGCATAGCAGGTGCGCAGTGTGGCTTGACTTGTAAAGATCCGTGAGTTTGGAATGCCACTTCTTGGGCGGAGGTACCACGACAAACAACAAGGGGCATGGTTTGTCCAACAAGTCCAGCTGCATTTGGACTTGACTCGTGAAAAAACGAGCGATTTCGTCTTTCTGCTCCTGTTGCAGGGATTCTGCCGCATCGAACCGCGAATCCAAAGCTTTGGCAAGCTCATCAATGCGCCTCAAAACTGTAGACAGGATCAGCCGATCACACGCGACAGGATCAGATTTGACTGCAGTTGAAATCGATTCGATGATGCCATCCAAAGCCCTATTGAAACGCTGCAAGTCCTGCGCTGACTGAGCGGCAATATTTTGAAGCTGCTGCACTCCAGAGGAAGTCAGTTGCTTTTTGACTTCGCGAACAGAATGGATGGTCGCCGCACCAACTTCCTGCAATGTTTGCGTTCCAGATGCAATCAGTTGTGCTGCGACAAGTGATGCAACTTGCGTGGCTGCTGTTTGGATCTCGCTCGCCGGTGCCGGTTGCTGCTTGAGTTGCCGGAGCGCTTCGACATCCTCCGGCGTAGGTTGCGAAACAGCGTTCAAGCGACGCTGCAAAAGCGAGTGGAGAACTGGAAGCCATTCCTCCTTTGGAAACGTGATGTGCGTGTGCGAACAAGATAAGTTTTTCATCTTGTCAATCACCGCGTCTCGAACTTGAGGTCGGAGCAGCCACCTGCACGGTTTGTCATGAGGCACCTGCATGGGACAGCGCAGGTAGGTTTCCCACGAGATTCCAGGATACCAATCCGAGCTGAGCTTGTCCAATATCTCAATCAGAGTTGGAAGCAGTTTCTCTGGATGTTGCCCGCGAGCGGTAAACTCGAGGCGCACATTGGAATCGTTTCGATGAACACGGAGTAGTGCTCGAGGACCGCCGTAATTGACCAGAACAGCATCTTTCCACGCCGTCAAACTAAATTGCCGCTCGTGAAAGCGCACAACCAGCCTCGCGAAAAATCCCTCCAGCAAAAACTTGGTCTCCATCACAATAGCAACTTCATGTGGCTCGCCCGCTGCAGGCTTCAGAGACCATCTACTAGGGTCGGATTTGTAGGCTGGCAGGTACGAAGGGATGACATAGCGAGTGCCTGCGCTTGAAGCAGAATCGGCTCCAGGGTGATCGGCATCGCTCATCTTGTACAAGAGCTCGTATCGCTGAAGAAGCAGCACAAACTGATCACAAATCGTAGAATCGATGCCCTTCCAAGCGTTTCGAAGCAGATTCTCTCGAGTCACGATGCCATCCTTGACCCATCGATCTTGAGGTTTCTGGGTAATCACTCCAGTCAGGACTGTTTTCGTGAACCATTGAGGGTTCAAGATGACAATGTCGTCCAACGAAGCGAGGAGAGTAGCAGGTTGCAGCGCGGGAACATTGGACGTGCCTGGGGTAGCCGAATTGGCGAGACGATGGAAGACGAGCCAGCCTTGAAAACGCATGAGCTGCATGAATTCATCGATTGCTTGCCCGCTGAGATTCTGCGACTGGCCAAGCTTGACAATTTCATGCCATCGACAGAGGGGTGGCTTTTTCTCGGCGGCCAGCTGATCGGCTTGCTTCCGTAGCGAGTCTCTGAACTGAAGATATCGGCCATCCACCGGTTGATTGTAAAACGGCATCTTTTGTCCGGCTTGAAACAATGCAGTCTTGAGTTCCGGCATGCTCGGTGCCCCCGTAGAGTTCCGCGCGTTAATGTAGAAGGTCGAACGCACATTAAACGAAACACTTGATTCTTGTAAGGTGTTGAGCAAATTAGCAAGATTGTGGTGTTGCTCTTGCTGCCGCTCCGAAGTGTATGACGGATCATCAATGTGGGTTCCAACGAGAATGATATCGGCGTTGGGAACGCAAGCGTGCAAGCTGCGTAGCCAAAAGGCAAGGCGCGAATTGAGGGATAACTCTTCCCGCGCGTCAAACAGGACCAGGTAGACTGTTCGTTCACGAAGAAAGAACTGGTGCGAAACCAGATAGACTTCTTGACCAGCGAAATCCCAAATGATCAAAATCATTGGGGATTCGCCTTTTTCACGCAGAACGACTGTTGAAATATCAATACCATCGGTGGATTTGGCAAGATTAAACACATTGGAGAAGGCCTGTCGAACATAACCGTCGGCGATTCCCCTAACAAGTGAGGTCTTGCCGACTGAAGGATCGCCAAGCACGACCACGCGAACTTCCTGGCATCGAACAGAACCAGATCGCCGCTGGTCATCAATGCGTCTGAATTTGGAAGGAAAAGTGAGAGCAGAGTGGGTCGTTGGTGAATAACTCGAACCAAAAAAAAAAAGAAACTTACAGCTGAAACTGCTGATTCACACGATGGCGCAGAACTGTTTCCTCCACATAACCGATCTGATTATTCGTCAGACTAACGATTGCCCAGTGAGTAATGACAGTGCTGGGCATTCAACATTTAAAACGCTTACTTGAGACTTTGCAAAGTCTTATTTTCTCGCAGTGCTTCGGAGATGGAAAGCGCGCCAGCGTCTCCGATCTGATTGTCAGTCAATCTGAAATTGATTGTCAGCAACAAATCATGAGAACAAGGCAGCAACAGATTTTGGCTCCTCACTCGAGACTGGTCAATGAAGTATTCAGTCTCAGCTCGGTTGCAATCACTTGACACTCAGCGTCTCCAAGCTGGCACTTGTTGAGCCTGGTAATTCAAACATAAATACAAAGCCACTCCATTCGTACTCCAAAGAAACAAACATAACTTCTTCCCGACTTACCAAAGTTTCACAATCCGGGTGGTTTGCACACCTTGGAGGATCGTCTGCAAGTACGGTGCAACCTGTAGTCCGCTCAAGCTACGCAAGTGTCAATGATCACCGTCGAATTACATGAAGTCACGTTGCAAGCTCATACTCAAGATCTTTAGTTCCGCTATGAAACCCATTGTAATGCAGTTAGAACTAATGAAGACAACATCCAGTGCAGGTCGTTCTAAGCGGTCACCTTGACTCGTTAATTGCTTCACGAAGCTTGGTTAGCTGCAGAAAAAGGTCTGCTGATGGCTTTGTCTGTCGATCGATATCAAGACTACAAGCGAATCAGCAAATCACGCCAAAACTCAATGCAGATGACGAATGGCAAGCTACATACTCGAGGCCTTTCATTGTCGAGTTGAATAGCAGTGCTTTAGCAATGGCTTGCTTTGCATCATCACCAATGTGATTATCGTATAGACTGTCAAGCCATCGTTAGGACACAATTCAACAGCTCTGATCTGTAACTCAATGTCATTCATCACTGGCCGTCAACTTACTCGAGCTCGGAGAGCCTCGAGTTCACGATGAGTGCTTTGGCAATTGCCTGCGCTCCACTATTAGACATCCAAGTGGTGCGCAGGCTGTTGCCAAATCATTAGTGCATGGATGAGGTAGCGGATTTGTCAATCGATCTCACTCATCACTAGCAATCAACTTACTGCAGTTGGATGAGCGTTGCGTTCACCTTGAGTACTTCGGCAAGTGCCTCCGCTCCATCATCACCAATACGATTGTTGTGCAGGCTGTCAAGCTATTGTCAGCACCACGATTCGGAACCTCTGATGCGTCAGTCGATTTCATCATCGCTGGGAGTCAACTTACTCGAGCTGGGTGAGCGTCTTGTTCACCCTGAGTGCTTCAGCGATTGCGCGCGCTCCAGAAGCACCAATTTGATTGTTGTGCAGGCTGTCAAGCGTTTGTCAGCACGAGGATTAGGAAACTTTGATGCGTCAGTCGATCTCACTGGAAGTCAACTTACTCGAGCTGGGTGAGCGTTGCGTTCTCCCTGAGTGCTACAGCAATCGCGTTCGCTCCACCAACGCCAATCCCGTTCGAACTTAAGCTGTCAACTCGTTGTGAGTACCACAAATCGGCAGCCGCGCTGTCATTCGATGAATGATGTCATTCATCGCTACCAGTCGACTTACCCGAGCTGGGTGAGCGTTCCGTTCACCGTGAGTGCTTCAGCGATTGCGCTCGCTCCAGCAGCACCAATTTGATTGTTGTGCAGGCTGTCGAGCTATTGTCAGCACCACGATTGGGAACCTCTGATGCGTCAGTCGATTTCATCATCGCTGGGAGTCAACTTACTCGAGCTGGGTGAGCGTCTTGTTCACCCTGAGTGCTTCAGCGATTGCGCGCGCTCCAGAAGCACCAATTTGATTGTTGTGCAGGCTGTCAAGCGTTTGTCAGCACGAGGATTAGGAAACTTTGAAGCGTCAGTCGATCTCACTGGAAGTCAACTTACTCGAGCTGGGTGAGCGTTGCGTTCTCCCTGAGTGCTTCAGCAATCGCGTTCGCTCCGGTTTCATCAATCTCGTTCCATCTTAAGCTGTCACCCTGTCGTAAGCACCGCGATTCGGCAACCCAAATCTGTCACTCAATCTGGCAGTCGACTTACCTGAGCTTGGTGAGCCTCTGGTTGACTTCGAGTGCTCTTGCAATTGCCAGCGCTTCAGCTTGGCCGATCTGTTGACGTTGGATGCTACACTCGACTCTTTGTCAGCATCGTAATCCAACCCTTTCGTCTTTCTGACTCTTTGCCATTCTTACCTGAGTGTACCGCTCGCATTCTGGACTTGCTCATACAGCTCGCGCTGCGTTGCCGTCATCTCTTGGTCAGTCATGATGCCGGACCTGAAAATAAGAATATGAGCAAATAAGCGGTTTGTGCTGTGCTCCATTGTCTCGTCACTCGATTCTCTCACCGTCCCTTTCTCTTCAATGTCGTTTCAATTTGCGTTTCAAGCCCACGTCTATTTTCATTCTGGGCAAAAAATTGTCGGTGTGCTGCTCTATGTGGTCGTTTGAGTTGAGAGAGGTCCTGATCCAAGCTCTCATTATTCTCGTTTCGTTCAGTGAATGAATCGTCCGAGTTGCTGACCTGCTCGTCAGTCCCAGTCCGCGGCTGCGCTATGCAACTTTGCAAACTGCCCATTTGTCACTCCGAGGGCTGATGCTGCTGCTCTATGCCGATGGACAAATTCAAGCTGTGCAAATTCTAGAAGCTGCGTTTGCTGTGTTTCGTGACAATCGCCGCTCACTTCATGACCACACGAGCTTCGAGGGGTCGCTTGCTGCGTCATATTAGGACAGTCTTCGTGTTGTCTCCAGCTTCGTGTTTGTCGGAGTGACAGCCCAACAGCGGCCCAGAAACGCGTCTAATCGAATCGGCTCCCATTGTTGATATTGTTGATGGGGGAAAAATTGAACAACCTCACCTCAGAAATCCAGAAACAAGAGTGAAGTGAATATTCTGCTGCAAGATTTAGCAATTTCAGTCCTCAGTTTTGCTTTGTGCACTTCCATTCTTATTCATCAATTCTGAGCGACTTTGCAATCCCAATCCTATCAATCCTATCAATCCACTCACCACCCCACCTCTCCCCTTTCCCTTCCACTCTGGCGAACCGCGCACGAATGAGCTTCCTGCTAAACCTTCTTCCGCCGCGAGCGCTGTTCGGGGGCATCTTCAATCTGACCAACAGCATCATGGGCGTGAGTCTGCTGGCAATGCCATTGTGCTTCTACCAGTGCGGCCTGGCGTTCGGCATGTTCCTCTCGCTCCTCGCAACCTTCCTCTCGCTCATCTCCTGCAAGCTCATGCTGCACTCGTCGCGCGTCTCTGGCAGTTCGAGGCGCTCGGTCTCCAGGCTCATGGTTCGGGGGCTCTCTTTTTGCTTCTGTTGCTTCTGTCACCCTGCCTCAGTCTCACTCACTCACTCACTCACTCACTCACTCTCAATCTCTTGCTTGTATGTTTTTGATTCATTCCATCCCCGCTTCTAGGCAAGTGGGGCAAGCTCGCCGTCGAGGTCTGCATCATTGGCCTGTTGCTGGGCTCGTGCGTCGCCTTCTTTGCCATTGTCGCCGACATACTGCCGCGATTCGCCTCTGTCTGGTTCTTCCCAGACCAGTCCGCAGTCGCACTGCGCACTCCAGTCATGTCCATCCTGGCAGTCGCCGTCGTCTTCCCGCTCAGTCTCATGCGGTAACCAAAGCTCGTTTTGAGTGGTCTTTGATGCTTTTTTCCATCTTTCACGCCCTTCGCAACGGAACCACAATCACAGTGGTGATCATTTTCACAAGTCATCATTGTCACCAACGACGACGACGATGACGACGACGACAACGACAACAACAACCAATGCACTCGTCGTCGTCGTGTGTTTGTTCGTGTGTTTGTTTTGCTCAAGCAGCGAGTGAAGACATCGCATTCGTCGAAGATTGACAACGCGAGGAACCACAAACTCAGTTCCCACTGGTGCTGAACGAACGAACGAACGAACGAACGAACGAACGAACGAACAGTTCAAGAAGAAAACAGAAGACAGGCGAAGAGGAACCTCTCGTCACTGGTGCAGAAGAAACGAGCAGTTCTTTGTTCACAAGAAACAGTGGAGGATCGTCCTATTGCTCAACTCACTCGTTCATCAATTCCCCACACGCATTCGCAATGCAACGAAATTCACTCACTGTCGCTCTTTTGTTTTCATTGAACGCACAGAAACGTCTCGAGCTTGAGCCCGCTCAACGCAATCAGCCTGGGATTCTATGGCTGCTTTATCGTTGCGCTCATCTACAGCATTGCCAGCCCATCGGAGGCAGAGCAAGCACCCGAGGGCGCTCCCTCGAGCGAATTGAAGTGGTTTGATCCGAGCGGCTTTCTCTTGACGCTCCCCATCTTCTCTCTTGCCTATACCTGCCAGTTGTACGAGGCGCTCTAAGCTCTTTGTTTCTCTGTTTTGTGGCTGCGCTCTTGTTCGTTTCTGACGCAGTCGACTTGATTTTCTTTCCTTTCACAGCGGCGTGTTTGCCGTGTACGCTGGTCTGCCCAACCCAAACCACAAGGCCATGAACACTGTCATCAACTATTCCATCTTTCTGGCCTCATTCTTGTATTCAGCTGTAAGTCTTTCAGCTGCAAGCTGTCTCTTGAACTGCCGTGTTGAGGTCTCACTCTGGTCGATGGTCAGGTCGGCGTCTTTGGCTACATTGCCTTCTCTCACGTGGACATTGATGGTGACCTGCTGAACAACTTTCCTGACGGTGTTGTTTTCTTTGACATTCTCAAACTCGGTACGAGTCACAGTGTCTCTCCAGTGCCTCCCTACACCATCTGTTGAATGCTCACCTCTTGCGCTTATTTTCCAGGCTTCTCCATCTCCATCATCTTTTCCTTCCCAATCACCGTCTACCCATGCCGCGCCGCGCTCAATACCCTCATCTTTGTCCCGAATGCGCCCGCGAGCACAACTCCGGATGTCCTGCAATCAGCCGCGGCACCAGAGCCCGTCATTCCCGGCGCTCGCTTCTTTGGCTTGACTGCTGGCATTGTCTTCTCGGCCTTGATTGTCGCTCTTGCCATTCCAGAGGTCGCCACTATTCTCTCCTTCACCGGCTCTACAACGGGCACGTCGCTTGCCTACATTCTCCCGGCGTCGACCTTCCTGGTGCTGGTGCGCGCCGCCGACGTCAAGCCTCGGCTACGGCGCATTGCGATTCTCATTCTCGTCCTCGGGGTTGTCTGCTGCATTGGCAGCACCGCGTTGGTTTTGTACAGCACCAACCCTTTGCCCGTGAAGGAAGTGACCAACTCGGTCGACATTCCAATTGAAGGGGACACTGGAGTGAAGGAGCGTGATGTCTCATCCAGCCTCAATCGTTCCATTTCGTCGCTCTCTTTGCAGTCATTTTCTCGTCTCCCGTCCGTCGTCTCTCTTCCGATCTCGTCATCCGCAGAGGCAGGTTTACCGCCCAAAAAATCCCTCGTCAACAAACGATAAGCTCACTACTGTACGATGCTGCCAGGAATCCGCTCTACAAACGATAAGCTCACTACTGTACGATGCTGCCAGGAATCCGCTCTCGTTTTTTGGTTTTTTTTTCTGTTTTTGTTCGTTAGATTAGATGTGTTTTCCTTGCGTTTTTTTGTCTTTATTGAAAATTCACGCTTTCGACTTCCACGGCCACTTTCATTGTACTGTGTTTTCGGTTTGTTTATTTGTTTGTTTTTGGTTCATTCAGCATAAATTAGGAGTCAATCCATCGCACGGTGACCATGCACATCAAAGCGGCAATGACGAGGGCGGACGAGGCCATGGTGGAAGCAGCATCTGAGGTGGCTGGCACAAAGTCATCGCCTTTGCCGCTGCCAGTTCCAGTTCCGGTGCCAGTTCCGGTGCCAGTTCCAGTGCCAGTTCCAGTGCTTGTCGACGTGGAAGTGCTCGTTGAAGTTGACGTACTCGTCGATGTCGAAGTGCCGGTTCCAGTCTCTGTGCTCGTCGATGTTGACGTGCTCGTCGATGTAGAAGTGCTCGTAGAGGTCGAAGAGCTCGTAGAGGTGGAAGTGCTCGTGCTAGTGCTGATTCCCGGTCCGGATCCCGCGCCTGGGAAGAGCTGGCCAGGCTGGATTGTGCCACCTGTGCTGACGATGCGATAGTACCAGGCACTGGCTGCCACCAAGTTGACCACATATGAATGGAATGGTTGCAATACCCAGGAGGCAAAACCAAAGGTGAGCTCAGTCTTGATGCCGCGAGCGTCGAGCATCTTGATGAACGCCTGGAGGGCGGCGGGGTCGTACAACAGCAAATCCTCCGCCTCAAACAGCATGGTGTGAAAGTTCCAGTAGGGTGACCACTGGTCAAGGAAGGTCCACAGCTGCTGTCGATCCGTCTCGCTGTGGCCAAGATCAAACTGCCACAGATACAAGTACGCATCCTGTCGTCCACTGTTGTACGGCGTGCTCGACGGTGGGATGTTCAGCAAGGCGGCGTACTCGTGCACACCCATGCCTTTGAATGCAGTTGGAAACTGAGTTTTCAAGGTCGCCTCGACTTGACCGAGAATGTTGTGCATCACGGCCGGTCCTTCCTCGTAAAAGGTAGCCGAGTCCAAGCCAATGTCTTTGGATTCGACAGAAACGGCGCACTCCTTTCCCAGGGAGCCCAGGTAGGTGCACTGTGGGACGCAGTTTTGCAAGATGGCTACAATCCGGAGAGAGAGAGAGAGAGGCAAGGCGGGAGGAAGTGAGTCATACTTGGCAAAATCCTTCGTTTCGTGTTACTTTGCACTTACTGTCATATGTGTCACGAAAGTCCATCATGTTGACGCGCGGCATGCGGTCAGAGAGCTGTAGCACACGAGTAGGAAGCACAACAGCCACGAGAAAAAAAAAACACAAAAGAAAAACCCAACAAAACAACGCCGTGAATTGTTTGCAACCGCCCCCCAAACTTGGCAACCTGTAGCAACACAACCAAGTGTGAAAGTGCCAGCAATGCACCAGCTATGGACTGCGTACCAACTTGAACGCTGACTTGGTCTCGCCGTTGTAGGTCGTGGTCAAGGCGTCGTACCAAACGGGAATATCATAAGTCATCGGAATCGGTGCACCTTCGTACGCCCATGCAGCCTTCATCTTGTCGGCCAGTTGCAGCTGCTGCTGGACGCACGATGCTTGGTATGTTGGATCATTCCAGTTGGGCAGCGACTGCGGTTCAATATCAAAGTGGATGCCGACCGGGGTCCCGTTCGCAGCGAAGGCCCCGCGAGCATTGGCGAGGAGGAAGAGGATTGCCGCGAAGAACGCCATAGGAAGCACAAGCACAAAGCCCGAAGGGCGATTTCGCGCTGGAGCTGTTCGCGGTGGCGACCCTTTCGAGCGAGGCGTGCGAAGCATGTTTTCAAGGTCAGGTGTTTTGACTTGTTGTTTTGCGATGTTGCCAAAACGTTGCAAGCGACGCAAAGGGTTTGAGAAGAAGAGATGACAGAAAAAAAAGTCAGCTCAATAGGAAGAAGGAAGGAATTAAAACGACGACTGAGCTTGGTCCGATGCAACGATGGGGAGGAATCGAGAAAAAAAAAAAACAAGAAATCTACGTGAGTGGGTTTGGCATTTTTGTGGTAGGAACCTTTTTGTTTTTTGCTCCTACTTTTTGGTTTGTCCTCCCCCACGTGGCACAGGGCACATCTGCTGCCGTGTTACCAAGATTGTGCGCAAGAATTTCATCGTTATGGCAGCATAAAAGTAGGTGTTGGATTTCCGTCCGTTCGACATTGGGAAAACAGACAAACAAACAAACAAACAAACAAGCAAACAAACAAACAAAGCGATCATTGTGGGTTAAAGACACAGATTCGACAGCATCGCTTGCAACGCATTCTGGCGAGCGTCGTCGTCAACCACCGTGACATCTGACAAGTCGAACAAGACAGCATACAACTGTTCGGTTGGGTGGTAAGTGAACAAGCCAACGTGACGCCAGTGCAGGTCGTTGTGCTCAAAGCCACAGTTGGCCATGTGCTGGACCGCGGCTTGAACTGCAGCTTGGACCTCTGGATCGCTCTGATCAGCCTCGGTTGCCGGGGAAATGTACGGCATGATGACCGCCCATGTGTGGTACTCGATGACCCGCACATCTTTGAACAGGACGGGCCAATCACGATTGCCCCAGATTGCGTGCCAGCGTTGCTGCTCTTCCTTGCACAACGTCTCAGCCGTGGCTTTGGGATGTCGCAACTTCACCACGCAGACACCTGGACGGGCTTCAGTCGCAACTGAAGCCAACCACGCGTCGCCATCACGACCCTGGCCGAGATTGACAAAGCAGTCCAAAGACGTGGCTTCGGCACCCCGAGCTGGGGTATACCGCCACTTGTTGAGGTCCAGCGATGGCATTGCCTTCTGTTCGTAAAAGTACTGGTAAGCGGGCGACTTAGTTTTGTCGTCGCTGTCTTGGCGAGAGACGGAAGCCTCCGTCAGCCGCAAACCAGAACAAGCGCCGTCAAAGCTGGGTTGGAAAATCGTCCAGTGCCACGCCTTGTAAATGACGCTGCGAAGGATATTAATCAGAAGTGGCCCGTCGCCTTGCAACTTTAGAACGCGAGTCGTACACAGAAATCGATCGGGCTCTGGTTTGCTTTTCACGCGATCAAATGAAGATTGATGCGGATTCGAGAGGTTCACGGAGGGCGCACCAGGACCCAGAGCCGTGCGGGTGGAGCGAAGCTCGCCGAAGCGATCATTAATCGCCCTCTCACGGCGTGCGGGTTGTGTGGCGTGTTCGTCGCTTTCGATTTCAGCTATCGTTGTTGCACTCGCACACCGGGTGGTGAAATCATCCTCGCACCAGACAAAACGCCACTCCTCGTAAGTCGTGAGGATGCCAAAGAGCGGTCTGACGCCATAATGCAAATGGCAACGATGAATGCAGTCGTATGTCTGACCGGCATTGTACTCATCTGCCATAACGGAGGAGCCTGGCATCTTGACTTCGACAATCACCAGCGGGCGATCGCAGTGAGTGAGAAGGAGAACATCTGGCGACTGGCCGAACATGGTTGTATTGACCTCCGCCAGGATATTTAGGTTGAGGGTGAACGCAAGTGAATCGAGCACGAGCGCGACGAAGCTTGCCAAACCGTTTTCACTGGAGATTGACTTGGGAATCTGGGCTCGCCGCGGCTGTACGATCAAGCCATCAATAATCCCGAAATCTTGCGGGGGACGGTATTTTGCTTTCTCGTGGGTTTTCGAAACGCTGGTTGAAGGGCCAGTGTGCTGGATGAGAGGAAACGGAGGGAGCGAGGTAGGAAACACGTGCTGCCCCTCGGCTATTTTCAAACGCAAGGCAAATGCAGTCAGCACAACGCACCCTGACTCCAGTCACAACATTTGGTCGGCTCGCTCACTTTGTTTCTCCAAGGCGCGCTTTCCTTGCTCGGCGGCCAGCCTTTGCTTCTTCTCGAGCCTTTGCTTCTTCTCGAGCCGCGCTGCCTTCTCGGCGGCCAGCTTTCCTTGCTCGGCGGCCAGTTGTCCTTTTCAGAAGTGAGTTCTGCCGTGAACAGCTTGACGAGAGCGTTTCCCCACACAAACTTCGCGAGCTCTGAAATTGAGGGGAAGCCTTTCGCGACAAGCGCAGCTTTCATTTTGTTTCGTTGCTCGGTGCTCGGCTTCGCCACGGCCATGTCCTTCTGCAGAGCCACTGCATCAGCCTGAAGCTGCGTGATGTTAGCATCGAGCTGCGTGATTTCAGCATCGAGCTTGCTGATGTGAGCATCAAGCGCAGCAAACTGTTCCGCCAGAGCATCCTGCTGGTGGGCGGCCGGAGGAGCGCTTTCAGCGATGACCAAGCCCGTCCTCAGCTCGGAAGCGAGTGTCTGAACCACGGGATTGTCGCTCATCGCCAAGAAGGACGCGGGGAGGGGAGAAGAGGAGGGGGGGGGGAAAAAGAATGATTCTTGATGATCAGCCGAGCTTTGACAAGGAAGTGTGCAACGAGAGGACATCACCTACCTAAAGCCAAGTTGACAAACATTTCAAGCATGTCCCACCAGCTAGTCATTCTCCGTCTCTCTCTATCTCTCTCTCTCTCTCTCTCTCTCTCTCTCTCTTTCTCTCTCTCTCTCTCTCTTTTTCACTCTCAACTATTTCATTGCATCAATTCAATGTGATTTGTTTTGTTCAAAAACAAAAACCAAATCGGATTGCTCTAAATTCGCATCACAAATCATGATAGCTGACAACTTGACGGCTGCTGGTGCTGTACGCATTTGAAGCTTGAGCAAGCTCGGGGGAACAAACCTGGTGTTCACCAGCGACCGTTGTTCGTCTGGAACGAAATTGTTGAAAGTGCTTGATTAGAGGAGCAAGAAACAATGAGGTTTCGATGCTGCCTTTCATGGCCAAAACAAAAACCAATCTCATGCACAAAACAAAATGAAGGTTGCTTACCTTGTTCGACGCAGCAATCATGGCAGGTCGTAATGTGCTTTTCAATAAACTCTTGCCCTTTCAAAGTGACTTGGCACCGCACTCGGTCATCCCCTCCCCGCAGTCCCTTGTCCTCGCCCAACCATCATGCCAGTGGATCACCTTCCTAGTGGCATGCGTTGCACAATCCCAGCGGCCTTTACGCAACGCGCGCAACACGCTTTGGTTGCCCCATTCGCACAGGTGATCAATGCACACTCTTGCTCTTCCTCCGTTTCCTCCTTCCTTCCTTCCTTCCTTCCATCCGTCCTTCTTTTTCCCCGTTCTTCTCCTATTCTCCCTCCGCCCCTCTTGTCGCTTTCTGCTCTTGTGCACGGTCACGCATGAGCACACAGCACGAGAGACGGAAGTTTTCTCTTTGCTCAACACTTCATTTTCTCCGTTTTTGCACAAGTTTTTATCCTCCGTGCCTGCCTTTTAAGCCGAATCGCCAAACTTGGTCACTCCTCAGTCGTTTTTTTCTCATCACACAGAACTAACAAACCCCCAAAACTTCAAACACACAATGTCTGGCGACGGAAAGTACCACGTGCACTACTTTGCAGGCCGCGGCCTCGGCGAGATTGCCCGCATTGCGCTGTCGGAGGCTGGCGTCGAGTTTGAGGACCACCGCTTCGAGTCCCTCCCCGCCGATCTCAAGGCCACGACCAAGTTCGGCCAGGTCCCGCTGCTCGTCACCCCCGCTGGCGACCGCATCAACCAGTCCACTGCCATCCTCCGCTTCATCGGTGCCACCCACGGTGAGTTCGGATTTGCCATACATAAGGATTGAACAATCTCCCCGATATTTTGGGGGGTTCACTCTACCTTTTTAAAAAAACAGCCTCATATATATTTTTGAAAAATTTTCCGCTTGATGCTCACCTTGAAAACGATCGACGGACGCTGATCATGCATGTTGAACAGGCCTCAGCGGCAAGACTGCCCTCGAGAACGCCGAGATTGACCAGGTCATTGAGGGCGTCAACGACATCCGCGCCAAGTACCGCGCTCTGCCCGCCGATGCTGCCAACGAGGAGCGCATCAAGTTCTTCAGCACCGTCCTGCCCCAATGGCTCGGCTACTTTGAGGCCATCCTCAAGAAGACCGGCTCGGGCTTCTATGTTGGCTCGAACGTCACCATTGCCGATCTCTACGTCTACGTCTCGTTCGACTCTGTGATCAACAAGACTGCCGACGCACAGCCCATCGACGCCTTCCCGCTCGTCAAGGCTCACCTCGAGGCCATTGCCGCTCGCCCTCGCATTGCCGCCTGGATTGCCAAGCGCCCCGTCTCCCAATGGTAAAAAAAAAAACACAAGACATTTTGGGGTGCAACGTTGAGAATAAGAGATTAGTATGTTCTTGAAAGCGTGTTGCATGACAATGTGAAGCAAAAAAAATACAACAATGTTAATTCGTTCATTGGCATCGGCAGCTTCTATTTGTTGCTTGGTTTGTTTGAGGTGGATCATTCCTTCATTTGCATCAGCCACTCGCACTTTGTTGCTCGGTTTTTCGACTGTTGCTCAAGGCAACTGAGCGGTGCGTGCCACGTCAATGGCAGCCAACCCAAGCTGTGCCAACTGGGTCGCAGCAGCAGAGTCGCTACTGGTCTCAACCGACTCAACATCAACCTTGTCGCTCGCCGCGTCATCAGCACCTTGATCAAACTCGGGCGATCGCAGCATTTCGGGAACTCCTCGGAGAACAGCGCCCAGCTGCTCCTGTGGAAGGTCGTACAATGCTTGGAGGGTCTCGAGATACGTGTTGAGCTGGCCCCAGTTGTGCATCCGCGTGGCACGCCGTCTCACGGCAGCCCACGATGTCCAGTCGTTGCCGTGCTGCCAGAGTCGGAACTCGCTGTTCTGCTTAAAGAATCCTACTTGTTCAAAGTATAGCCGGACGACCTCCTGCTCGGGCAGCAGCGTTTGCGACGACCATCGTACAATGTCCCGTCGCGCGCGCATATCCATGTGCAGCAAGAGCGCGTCAGTGAAATGACCCATGCGCGCCATACAGCTGGCATAGTCTGTCGGGGGAAGCGCAGCGAGCAGCGTCTCGACATCTCGAGCAGTCAAACGAGGCTGCTCGTTGGTCAGGGCGGCGGCGTCCCGCGCAAGCAGCGCTGTGAGCGGGGGGAGGCGCGCCTCGCGGCCGTACAAGCTGTGCAGCAAGGCCTCGCGCGACTGCTGGGGCCATTTGTTCGAAGAGTCGGCAGGAGGCGCGCTGCCAAAGTGAAGGGCGACCAGAACGTCGAGCGCAGCCTCCGGCAACCCGATGCGCTGCAGGCTGGTGACCACCAATGTGAGCATGGCGGACGACTGCAAGGCGGGCTGCAGCTGCTGAAGCACAGAGTGGAGGACATTCGCGGTGGCCGTCGGGCTCGCATTGTCCCAAGCAACCAGACTGCCGACGTGCGACAACCGGCGATTGGCCTGGCTGCGATCAAAGTCGGTCGTCGTGGCAAAGTACAACGAGGCAGGCTGGAGCTGCGAGGACGCGCACACGCGGAAGGCGGTGGCCGCGGCGCTCTGGCCGTCATTCTCCATCATCAAAATGGATTCCGCGAACGACCCGGTGCCCATCCACCACGCGTCAAAGGACGGGGCAGCATCGTTAGTTGGCTGCTGCTCGGCAACAGTAGGGACGCTGGATTTTTTGGCAGCATATTGGTCGAGTGCCGCACGGGTGCTGGATCCTGGGAAGTGCTTGGCAACAAACTCGGAGAAACGCTGGGGAAGGACGGGGCGTACTGATGCACGAGCCTTCTTCAGCGAGGCACGCGCGTCCGCGCTCGTCGTCCACGAGGACGATTCGGTTGGGAGCCGGGTTGACGACAGAGCATCATCATTGGACGGCCGTCCCCAGCTGAGCACGGGCTCGCCGCGAAGCAAGGAACGCAACAGCCATGCCTGAAGCGCCAGTCCAAGCATGTCCATGTTTGCTGGCTGCTTGCAGCGCAGGAGGACTTCGAGCATGCGCGATGGCAAAAGACGATCTGCCTGCTCCGAGGAATTGGCAACGGTCGACAACAGCAGCGCCGCGTCATGACGCTCGAAAGCCTCGAGCTGCTCGATGGCCTTGGGGAGTAGCGGCGATGTTGGTGGCACCTCAACAAGGAAATAGCTGAGATAGGCATCGACGAGCTGCGAGGCGTCGGCGCCGTGAGCGTTCACAACGTGCACAAACAGGTCGGTCGCTGTCGCAACATCCTGATACTGGACGAGGAGCTCGCGAATAGCGCAAGTTGCCAACAAAACAAGGCGGTAACGTGCCTCGAATCCAGGCCCGGCGGCAACTTCACGCACATAAGAGCCCAAGGCGAGGCGAGTGGACAATTGCTGGTATGTGGAAGTGTGCGCGCCGGATTTGGCGGCCAACACGTCGACCGCTCTTTGAGCGAGGGTTGAGGCTTCCATCAGGCGCTCTGCAATCACCGACCCCTGCGGGTCACTCAGCGCGTCTCGGAGCGCTGCAACAAGACGAAGCAGCTGCGATTTGTCCTGCTCCATCACAACCATGTTGAAAGTCGCCCGGTCGGCATGCTGGTTGGCAAGCCACACAAAGTTTGGTGGTACCGACAAGGCGCTGCTGCGCTTATGGGCGGCGGTGGCAGCCGCGGTACGTCCCTCTGGGGCGCTGGCGCTGGAACCGGACGCCGCTGTGGCTCCACCACAGAGCAACTCAAAGCCGAGCGCCTTCCACAACAGCGTGGCGGCATCCTTCTCGCCTCGCATGCTCAAAAGACGATGCACTTCGACCGAAATCACGTCAGACACCGTGTGACCAGCGGGGTAGCAGTCAGAGATGGCAGCCAGAGCGCCGTGAAGGTCGTGGTTTTGGATGAGCGAGTGGCAGATCAGCGCAGCGCCTTTGCGCGCCGGGAACCGGGGGAAGGCGTTTGGCAGATCGCGGGGTTGGACGCCGACCAACGCCGGGCCCCAGCGAACTGCTTGCTCGGCAGCCAGCTGAGCGAGGTAGGCTGACGGGGGCTGCGACATGAGCAACTCGTTGACGAGCGTGGACTTTGTGAATCCCAAAGGATCGCCACGCAAAAGCACGGACAGCGCCCGACACGCCGATTCGTCGAGGAAGGCGCGCGATTTGATGACGAATTGCAAAGCACGCTCAGCGGTGGCCGCGTCGCCCGCGGCAGCACACGCCACCAGCAGCCGGGACAGCGAGTCCGAGACGAGCGCATTCTTGTCCCCAGAGTACATGGTTGACGACGAGCGCGACCAACCAGTCGGATTTTTCGTGTCGGAAGGACTTGCTGGAGCCAAGATGCATTGGATCCAGTTGAGCGCGGATGCACGGTGACCGTGCTCCGCCAGAGCGTTTGCAATGGTTGCGTGGAGCGAGTGGTGGCCTCTGCTGATGGAGGTGCCGTGAAGCTCCAAGATCCACGCAGCTAGGCCAATATACTGCGGCACGTGCTTGGCAATGAGCGACAACATGGTTTGACGAATGGCTGTCACTTCCTCCTGCCACCCAAACCAAAACTGTTTGCTGACAAACATGGCAAGCTGCGCAATGACATGAGAAGGGTGGAGCAAGCCTGCCGGAAAGTGCTGGAGTGGCCAAAGCGAGACGAGTGCTGGATGCGTCGAGATGAGAAACTCTGGCGTCGGCTCGCGCGGTCGCAAGCGAAACCATCGCATCGCCCAGCTGTAAGGTAGGTTACTCAAGTCTGTGCCAGGAAGCATGGATCCGTAGTGGAATCGGGCTGCGACGCCAGTATTGGAGGTCTGGCCGCGTAAAACTTCCCACCAACCGTGCACAGGATGCGTTTTCAGGGATGCGTCGGGGATGGCGTGGGCGTTTGCCACCGAAGCAATCGACGCGCGCTCGTGCGGGTCTGCTGCCAGCACCAGCGCCATGAGCGTCTGGAAGGGCATGACGGGGGGAACGACCGTTGGAGCGGGATTGTGGAGCTTTGGGACGGCTTCGATGACGGCCCGCATCACGACTGTCGGAGACCGGCTGGAGTCGCGTTCCTTCAAGAAGGAACCGCGATCAAAGCGGGTCAGGTCGACTGCGCGAATCGGGGTTTGCTGGAAGGTCGGGGACACTTTGAGCAGCATGTACCTGTCTGCGTCGTTGACTGGAACCAAAAAGGCCAGGCCCTCAGCGGCAGCGCTGGTCGTGTCCAGGGCCAAGGCGAGGCGAGCGATCGACATGCGCATGGCGAGAACGGGCGGCGTGTGCAGCAGATCGGTCTTCCAGTTGTACGACGCCTCGTCGCCCGCCGCTGCCTGCCACGTTCGTCGATGTGCGGTTTCGGTTGCCTCTAGAATTCGGGCGGTTGCCAGAGTGCCTTCCATGACAAGCAGCGCCTGAGCCTCGAGCGCGGCGAGTAGTGCCATCCGGCCAGCACTGGGCACGTCGCACGATGCGATATACCGCAGGATGCGCTCCGCGAAGGTCGTGATCAGCGTTGTCCGTGCTGCTAGCTGCGCAGGCGCCTGAGCGTTGTTCCGGGTGACGTCCAAGGCAGGCTGCTCTGCGAGGAAGGCGAGTCCGAGCTCGTAGCCAGCGGGACCGGCCAATGTCGGCAGTTTGCCCGGAGCAGTGTTGTCCGTCGCAGTAGTAGTAGTAGTAGTAGTAGTAGTAGTAGTAGTAGTAGTAGTAGTAGTAGTAGTAGTAGTAGCAGTAGTCGTAGTAGTAGTCGTAGTAGGGGTGATGGTAGGGGTCGTGGCAGTGGTCGCACTGGTCTCTGCTCTTGGCTGGTAGCGGACTGCTTCTGTGTCTGCTCCGGCTGCCACGCCGCTGTTGCTGTTGCGGCTGCGCGTGTAGCTGGACTGCGATCGCGTCGGATGGTCACGCGTGTCTGTGGAGTGTGCGGGAGAGGGAGTCCGCCTTGGTCCTGGCCCTCCTTGCTGCTGCTGCTGGGAGCGATCGCCTCGTGGAGGATGCCTGGACGCCCTCGGCGTTGCTGGCCGCTGCCCGTGCGCCCGTCCCTGATCCCGCGAATAACGTGGAGAGGTAGAACTGGTCCGAGTGGTGGCATCAGCGGCGGTTGAGGACTGCGATCGAGCTGCTGCTGCCAGTCGTCCTACAGCAGCTGGGGCACGATGGCTGGCAGTGGCAATAGACGACCACGCCAATGAAGGCGCAGCCACAGCAGCGTGCAGCAGTCGCAATCGCAGCATAATCACACACAACGACAAGTGCAAAATGCAGAATGCAATGAAATAAAGAGAGAGAGAGAGAGAGAGAAAACGAGAAAGAAAGAAAGAAAGAAAGAAAAGGGGGAAAAAAAAAACAGAGACTGAGAAATCTGAGAAATCTGAGAATCTGACAACCGAAAAGTGAGAATTGAGACTTGTACTGAATTGGAAAGGTCCATTGCTCATTTTTGTCCATCAGTGAAGACAGGAGAGGAGAAGGGGGGGAAAGAGCATTGAACTATGAGTGCAGTACCATTACAATCACAATCGCAATGGAAGAGAGCGACGAGCATTGCAGATCACTCTCAATCAACATCAGCCGCTCGACTCGCTCGTCGTCGTCATCAGTGCCATGCATTGTACAGCAGTCGCAGCAGTAGCAGCAGTAGCAGTGGGATTCTCACACTATCCCGACTCCCTCTGCAGACGCGACCATTGGCACGACTAGTCCTCCTATTGGTACTCCTCGCATCAAGGAGTGCTGCTGCTGTCGCACATGACAGCGACCGCCTCCTGCCGTTCGGACCACAGCTCGCAGTGCACTCTGCTGGGATTGATCCTACCTGGGCCGAGCGCGGATTCTGCTTTCGCCTCATCCCATCACCAGCATCACCAGCATCACCACCAGCATCACCAGCATCATCAGAATCTGCGCTGCCGTACTGCCCGCTGCCGTTCAATCTCGCTGCAACGACGCTCGCTCGGTACGCTGGCTCGCCTCCGACAGCACCAATTGCTGGAGAATCAAAGCCAAACCCAGTCGTCGTCCAGCCGTGCCGTGGAGCCACGGCATCATCCGTTTCCAGCAGCCGATTCCCCGACGTGGAGTTTGATAACGCCATCGTCCCAGAGCTAGTGCGCGTGCGTTCGGCGCAGGAACAAGCGTCAAAGCAAGGCCAGAAGCAGAACGACCCGGCTTTCATTCTGCCGCCCACGCTTCTCAGTTCCCACGCCTACGCCAATGCTAAGCACGACAACGACAACCACGCCAACACCGACAACAACAACAACAACAACAACGACGACGACGACGACGACGACGACGACGAAAACAATACCAACAACCACCCGCCAAGATTCTCAACCGCTTACCAGCGGCATTCATTTCACATCCTGCAAGACATTCTCTACCCAATGACCGTCCAAGAGTTTCTGACAGACTACCTCGAGCGAAGACCGTTTGTCATCTCGCGAGCCACGCCCAAGAACAGCGAGCAGCTGGCTCGATTCGCACACATTGTTGACCGATTTTACGAGTCAACGGGCGGACGCGATGACATTGATCACATTGTGCCAGGCACATTTCTGACGCCATCCGACTTTCGCTTGGTGGATCGCGGCGGCCCGCTCATGAAAGAATGGCACAAAACCCCAAACGACATTCAGCCGGCGTACACGCAGCTGAACGCCACGACCGTGATATCGCACGCCCAATGGACCTTTCCCCGCACACGCACCCTCGTCAAGTTGCTCGAGGAGATTTTTGGCGTGCACACCAACGGCAACCTGTACTCGACGCCCAAGTTCTCTCGCGGCTTTACTCCCCACTATGATGTGCACAGCACATTCATCTTTCAGCTCTCGGGCAACAAGGACTGGGAAGTGTACCTGCCCGAAACAGTCCTTCCCATTGGCGGCCTTTTGAGTCAAAACTACAGCGGGCGCGCGTTGGGAGAGCCCGTCATGTCATTCTCGCTTCGGAAAGGCGACTTGCTCTACTTGCCGCGTGGGTGGGTCCATCAAGCCACGGCCACCGACGCACCTTCTCTGCACTTGACCGTGTCGCTCGGGCACACCATGGCCTACATGACGGCTGTCCTTGATGCATGCATGGAGGTTGCCGCGGGCAGCAAGCTGGCAGACTCTCCCTTTGTGCAAGCCATCACCCGCCTGGAGCAGATCACTGGATCGTCGACGGTTGCCTTCGAGGCGTTGCAAGTTATTTGGTCTGCGCTCGAAGAGCTGTTTCCTGTCGTTCGCATCCCAATCTTCAATTCCAACCTTGGAGGTCAGGCTGAACACGTGTACAGCGTTGCTTGGCATCGACGAGTCGTGCAAGTGCTGGAAGACGGAATCGAGCTGTTCGAGGCGGGAAACATTTTCCGTCGGGTCAGCCGCTTGGTCCCCGCGATCGGCCCGGCCAGTGTCGTTCGGAATGTCTACAGCACGTTTGTGCAGCAGGTGCGAGACCTGGCGCTCTACCGGCAAGCTGTTGACCTGGCACTCGCTCGCCTGGTCCCCTTCTGGTCGCCTGTGCCCTCGCCTGTGCGCAACTGGTTGTTTGGGTATGCCAACGCCCACGCCGTCAATCCTCGCCACCACGCCTGTTCCCCACGAGCACCCGAGAGAATTCATGGGAAGCAACAGCCGCAGCTCGCGCCGTGCAAACCGCCTCCGCGTCCTCGCCTGCCTTCGAATCTGTTTGAGCAGCTGGACATGCTCGACACGTTGCACCGCAATTCGACCATTGCTCCAGGGCTGCCCATTTGGGGCCGCTTGATGCATTCTGCCGACCTTGCTCCCAGCTTGAAGACAACGCTCTTGAATTGCGTCAAGACCCACAGCTTTGAGCAACGACAACACGCAGTCCGTGTGCGATGGGCGCGAGAAACAAAGGACTGCTTTGTGATTGGCCCTTCGGTGTGTGAGGCCTTTCCTGGACGCTTTGTCGCCGCTCTCGAGTTTCTGCTTTCTGCGGAATCGCCGTTTCTGTCGTGGGGCGCAAACCACGATGAGCAGACCAGCCCCTGGCGCATCGCCGACGTGCTTCACGCCGCCCAAAACCAACAAACGGAAGCCGAGTTATTTGCTCTTGTTCGTTTGCTCGTGCTGCAAGGCTTTGTTCGTGTCTTCTCTTCTGCCGCATGAGCCAGCTGGTGCGTGTTAACATATTCCGATTTTTTTCATACACATTGGAACCCAGATTTTGTGATTCTCAATTATTGACGCCAAACTCTCCAAAAACGATAGATTGCAAAACGGATTGCAGAAACAACACACAATTTTAATCAGATAATAAAACAACGCATCACAGGCACAATCCAACCCGAGGGAGGGCGGAGAGAAACAAAACATTCTAGGTGAAATGCGGCAAAACAAAAAACCAATGTTTAGCGCTGGGGCTCTTCCACCATTCGCAACAGGAGGCGCATGTAGTCGCCACTGGTCTCGGACTCGATGGCAGCGGCGAGCGTCTTTCCGTAGAGTTGCAGGTAGCGGTCGCGAATCTGAGAGAGGTCGACCTCGTTGCGCGTGACAATCATGCGAATCAAACCAGAGTCGTTCGTGCCCAAGCCCTTCATCATGGCTTGGCTGCGGGCAGTAAAGTACTCGACAGGATCGCGAACAACCTTGATGATGGTTGTCAGGGCTTTCTTGATGTTGAAGCTCATCTCGCTCGAGATGGCAGCCTCAAGGCTGTTCTGGCTCAGCTTGGCATACTCGTCCATCACGGCGCGAATGTGGGCAAAGCTGCGCTGCGTCAGAATCGTGATGAATGCCGCCTCGTCGGTGCCGACCTTGCCTTCGCCCGCCTTGTAGAGCGCCTGGGCGTCGGCAGTGGCGTCCTTGGGGTTGACTGGGCGGTTGCTGTCGGGACGCTCGCCCTTCATGAGCGAGGCGAGGAGCTGCTTAAAGTCGCCGGAAACGTCGTCGCCGACCTCCTGCTCCATGTCCTTGCTGAACAGCTTGCGGAAGGACTCGCGGATGGCCTTGATCTCGGGCCCGGAGCGAGTGCACAGAATCTCAATCAGCGTGGAGTCGTCCGTGCCCAGGCCCTTGATGGACTCGTGGATGCTCTCGGCGTCGTACTCGGAGCGCGTCATCATCAGCGCCAGCAAAGTGTTGCGATACTGGCCGCTGGTCTCCGACTTGATGTCCTGCACGATGGTGCGGGGAGCATACATTTGGTTGTACGCGTTCAGAATCATTTGACGCTGAGCGGTCGTGCGCAGGCAAAGCGCCTGGCTCAGTTTGTCCTCGTTGGTGCCAAGGCCCTTGAAGCACGTGCGGAGCAGCTTGGCGTCTTCTTCGGGGGAGGTGCGCTCCTCTTCCACGAGCTCAATCAGCAGCTGGCGGTACGAGCCAGACGTGTCGCCCTTGACCATTGCCGCCAAATCTTGCTTGAACGTCTTGGTAAACTCCTCGCGAATGTTGCCCATGTCAATTTCGGAGCGCGAAACAACAATGCGGATGAGGGAGGCATCGTCCGTGCCAATGCCCTTCATGGAGCGGTACAGACGCTCGGCAAAGAAGGCGTAGCCGTTGCGAATGCTGCGCACGATCGTGACGAGAGCGCGCTTGAGGTTGAAGGAGAACTCGCGCTCGATCGACTTTTCCAGATGGTAGTCGACGAGCTTGGTGTACTCAAAGAAGGCGCCGCGGAGACGCTCGTACGAGCGCTGGGTGAGAATCTCGATAAAGACGTCCTCGTTGGTGCCAACCTTGGATTCGCCAGCCTTGTACAGAGCCTGGGCATCGGCCTTGGCCTCCTCGGTGGTGTACTGGGGATTGTCACTGCGCTCGGCCTTGCAGAGCGCCAAGAGAAGCTTGAGGTACTGTCCAGAGGTCTCCTTGGTGAGATCGGCCTCGAGCTCGGAGGTGAACAGCGTGCGGTAGGCATTCTTGAGGGCAATGATTTGCTGCTTGGAGCGCGTGCACAGAATCTCAATCAGGACGGTGTCGTCCGTGCCCAGACCCTTCATGGCCTTGTTCAGGCAAGTGGCATCAAACTCGGCAGAGGACATCATGAGCGCCACCAGGCATTCGCGGAAGTTGCCCGACGTTTCGCTTCGGAGGTCCTTGAGCAAGTCCCTGGACAGGTTGGTCTCGTACGCCTTCTTGACGGCCATGCGCTGCTCGTACGAGCGACCAGACAGGCACTGGATGAGCTTCTTGTCGTTCGTGCCAATGCCCTTCATGGCCTTGCGCAGCGCCTTGGCGTCCTCGTCCGCGTTGAAGCGGGGATACGGCTTGACCGTGGCGCGAGGAGGAGCCAGAGGCTTGAAGGTCTTGGGCACGGCGACGCGAGAGTTGCACATGCCAAAGCCGAGCGTCGAGTTGGGAGGCAGGACGCCGTTGTTGAGACCGCGCAGCTGCTCCTGGTAAATCATCGTCAGAGCCTCCGTGTCGCGCATGTAATCGCCATCCAGGGCGGTCTCGACGAGCTTCAGAAGCAGACGCTTGTAGTCGCCCGACGTTTCAGACTCGACAGCAGCCTCCAGCGACTCGTCGTACTGGGCAAAGTAGGACTCGCGGATGGCGTTCAGGTCGTTCTCGGCGCGAGTGATGATGACGCGCTGGAGGGTGTCGTCGTTCGTGCCAATGCCACGCATGGCCTCGTGCAGGACCTCAGCAAAGTAGTCGGGAGCAGAGCGAACGTAGCGGACAATCGTAATGAGGGCCTTCTTGAGGTTGAAGCTCATCTCGCGCTTGATCGACTTTTCAATGTCGTACTCGCACAAGCGCGCATACTCTTCAAAGGTGATGCGCAGCTGGTTGATGGGACGCTGAGTGAGCGTGCGAATAAAGACAGCCTCGTCCGTGCCAGCCTTGTCCTCGCCGGCATTGTAGAGCGCGGTGGCGTCGGCCTTGGCCTGAGCGACATCGATGGCAGTCGACTCGGAGCGCTGGCCCTGGAGCAGCGTGAGCAGCAGCGTGCGGTAGTCGCCCGACGTGTCTTCCTTCAGGTCGGTCTCAAAGTCCTTGCTAAACTCCTTGTGGTAGGCCTCCTTGATGGCCTTGAGCTCCATGTTGGAACGGGTGCAAAGAATCTCCATCAGCACAGAGTCGGTCGTGCCCAAGCCCTTGACGGCACGGTTGAGGCTGCGCGCGTCAAACTCGGCAGGCGACATCATGAGCGTCAGCAGCGCCTGCTGGAAGTTGCCGGACGTCTCGGACTTGAGATCCTTGATGAGGTCGCGAGCGTACATTTGGTCGTACGTGGTGCGGATGGCAAGGCGTTGGGTGGTCTTGCGCACACCGAGAATGTCGACGAGCTTGTCCTCGTTGGTGCCGACGCCCTTCATGGCCTTGCGGAGGGCCTTGGCGTCCTTCTCGGGATCGAACGTGTCCTGCTCAATGAGGCCCAGAAGCGCGGTGCGGTAGTTGCCGCTCGTGTCGCCGCGCACAAACGTCTCGAGCGTCTGGCCGTAGGCCTTGTAGAACTCGTCCTTGATGTTTCCGAGATCAACCTCGCAGTGCTCCACGACAATGCGGATGAGGGTCGAGTCGTCCGTGCCCATGCCCTTCATGGCCTTGTACAGGCGCTCGGCAAAGAAGAGCGGCGCGTTGCGCACGTGCTTGGCAATGGCGAGCAGACCGGCTTGGATGTTGAAGGAGAATTCGCGCTCCACCGTCTTTTCAAAGCTGTGGTCGGACAGCTTGGCGTAGTCGTCAAAGACGGTGCGCAAGTGCTCGCTGCTGCGAGTGGCGAGAATCGAAATGAAGACGTTCTCGTCCGTGCCCACACGCGACTCGCCGGCGCGATAGAGGGCGGTGGCATCAGCCTTGGCAGCAGCGGCGTCCACGGCCTTGCCTTCCTCGCGACGCGCTTGCAGCAGGGCAACGAGGAGGTTGCGGTAGTCGCCCGAGGTTTCCGACTTGACGTCCGTCTCGAGATCGCGGTTGTACACGCGCGAGTAGGCTTCGCGGATGGCGCGGATTTGGCCATTGGTGCGGGTGGCGATAATCTCAATGACGGTGGTGTCGTTCGTGCCGAGACCCTTCATGGCCTTGTGCAGGTAGAAGGCGTCCAGCTCGGGCAACGGCGTCAACAGGGCAATCAGCAAATCGCGGAAGTCGCCGCTCGTCTCGCCGCGCAGGTCCTTGACAAAGTCGCGGCCAAAGTTGGCGTCGAACGCCTGCTTGATGGCGAGACGCTGCTCAAGCACACGCGAGGTGAGCACCGAGATGACCTTGCGATCGTCCGTGCCCAGACCCTTGAAGGCCTTGCGGAGAGCCTTGGCGTCCATTTCCGCGTTAAAGTTGCGCGCCGGGAGCAAGGTCGGCTTGTTGGCACCGCCAACCATCATCGACATGCGGTGCTGGAGCGCAGGGGAGCCCGGAGCACCGCCCGACAGCGGCGATGCAATGTAGCTCGTGGACGTGGTGCGCGTCATTGGCGAGATGGGCGATCCGCCAGCAGCAGCGTTCATCTGCGCCATGGCCGACGCGTGCGTCGCAGCCGACACGGGCGGGTATCCTGGGCCGCCCGCACCAGCTGGCATGGCAGCATGGTGGTGATGGCTGGCCATCTGGTCAAAGTAGCCCTGCGGCGCGGCACCCGGGGGCAGCAAGAGCGCCATCAGCATTGGCGGATAGCCTCCCGGCGCGCCCACCGGCGGGAACGTGGGCGCCAAGTTGAGCGGCGGCGGGATGTGGCTCGCGGCGGCGGTTGGGTGGTGCGCCGCGTCCTGCAGAAAAGTGCACATTTTGTATGGCAGAAGTGAGATTGTTGGGGGATTTAGCACATCGCCTTGATGGTTTAGCTTCTTGTTCTTGTAATTTGTTTCTATCGTTGGATGTCAACATTGGTGGTGGTATGGGCTGATTTGTTCGGTTTCTTCACACTTTGCATTTCCCATTTCCACTGCTCTTTGCTCCAACTCCCAACTCGCTCACTTTTTCTCTCCCCCCCCCCACTCTTTGAGCTCTTCTTGTTGTCTTTTTCCAATCGATTGTTTTTCCCCCTTGTTGTCAAGTGTAAAGTGGATGAATCATGTTCATCATGCATCATCACAATCACACAATGCGGGTTTGTTGTCTTCACAAAATGTTACCGCTCTTTTTTTGGTCTTTGTTTGCCCTTCTTTGGCCTCGTTTTCCATCTCTCTCTCTCTCTCTCTCTCTCTCTCTCTCTCTCTCTCTCTCTCTCTCTCTCTCTCTCTCTCTCTCTCTCTCTCTCTCTCTCTCTCTCTCTCTCTCTCTCTCTCTCTCTCTCTCTCTCTCTCTCTCTCTCTCTCTCTCTCTCTCTCTCTCTCTCTCTCTCTCTCTCTACGTCGCTCTGTGGCACTGCAATGCCCGATATGCACTCTGTCTCTCTCTCCCCCCCCTAGGAAATAGTTCTGAAGCTCAGAGGGTGGCAGACTCGACTGAGGTTGCAGATCAAAAAAGCGGGTTTGTTTTGTGATGTATTAGCAGTGTGCTCTGCATGTCTCTCTCTACGTCACTGTATCTGCGTCTCTTCGTCTTTCCGTCACTCACTTTCACAAACACAAAACACTTCATTCGCGCCGTTTTCACAGTTTTGAATGTTTGACTCGACAAAGAACAAAAACAAAAAAAAAGCGCCACCAAAACCGAAAAAAAAAAATCATGCAAAATTGAAAAAAAAAAACGTTTGTTTTGGTTTTTTTTTTTTTTTTTGAAAATCGATAACAATAAAAAAAGTGTAAACAATAATAAAATGTAAAAAAGCAGAGAAAGACGAACTTGTGAAGCGAGAGACAGGATTGAGAGACGGAAGAGTGAGGTAGAATGAAGAAGGAGAGAGTCAGAGAGAGAGAGAGCCAAAGAGAGAGAGAGAGAGAGAGCGGTGCGGAGCGTTACCTTGGGACCGTTGCCATGATGAAGCGATGGTGCAGAATGAGATCGAGCTTGCGCTCCTGCTCGCCCATGCGCGTGTGCAGGGCGTGCAGCTGCGTGTTCGTGTCGCCAGATGCACCCTGCGACGACGGCGGTGGCGGTGGCGGGTAGCCGAGCCCAGCGCTCATCGGTGGTGCAGGCGCAGGGATGTTCGGTGGAATCCCCGTAAAATGAGCCATTTTGAAAAAAATATAAAAAAAAAAACTGAACGTTCGTTCGTTCGGCTCGGCTTTTTGTGTGTGTGTTTCGACTTTGGGGGAAAAGAAATCGGACAAAAGGATATGCGTAAGATTCGAGACAAAAAAATTCAAGTCAAGGCAAGGAGAAAGATGATGGGGCGGGGGGGAATGGAGTTGAGAACGGCAACGATTTTTCGCTCATTCTGCCAACCCTGCATTGCCGATGGAAAGATCGACTTACAGGTATGAAACAAGATCGATTGTATACAACGATCAAAATTGTGCATTAATTTACAAAAATGGGGTAACCGAGAGAGAGAGAGAGTAATCATGAAAACAACAACAACAACAAAAACAAAACTCGCAAACATTACAAACCAAAACGCGCACATGGCGAACGTGCTGCGCTCATTCGGTACCATCGGCAACGGCGATACGTTGGGCAGGATTTCGGCTCTTCGGCGGCTTCTTGTTCGCCGGACCCTTGGGCCGCTGCTTGACGGCGTGATCGAGGCGGGAAGAAATGGCGGGCAACGACAAGTCAGTCGCCATGTCAATGTACTTGTCCCAGATCGCTGCGGGCCTGCGCAAAAGCTCGCTCTGTTCGTAGGGCTGAAAGCCACGAAGCTCGGCCGTCAAGCGCAGCTTTTCGTTCTCGAGCGTTGCAATCTGACGCGAAATCTCCTTGACGAGCTGGGTGAGACGAGTGCCAAAATGCAGAAAGTAAGTCGAGTGCACAGCTGACAACGTGCAAAACCCAAAAAAAAAATTGCAAGACTTACATCGCGCAGACGACTGTTCTGTTGCTGCTCGGCCTGGATGGCGTTCAGCTTGTCGAGAGACTCGATACCAAACAGCACTGCCGATTCTACAGCAGAGAGGTCTGCATAAATCTTTTGCAGCTTGTGCACCTGGTACTCGACAATCATCTCGATCGCTTTGGACTGCTTGGAGACATCAGCCAGGCTGTCCACCACCGAGACGTGCGACGGAGGTCGCAGAAGCGTAGGGCCAAACACAATACCCAGATTTCCCGTCGTCATGCGGTTGTAGCTCACATGTTGTGCCAATCTATGGGAGGAGAACGGTCAAACCAAAAATGAGTGCGTTGAATGGCTGCATGGATTGTACCAAAAAAACCTCAACAAAAAAAACCACATACCGAGCAAGGTGGAACACAAGCAGCTCGAATGTGTTGTAGTTTTCTTGCGGGAGACGGCCGACGTTGTTCAAAAGGGCCGACTGTTGCTCGTTCGGGCTTGTGATTTCTGCAAACGAAAATAAACAAAGAATAGTGAGTCAAACGCCTCTCCGTGCGACCAAACTTCAAAAGTCGATGCCTACCGGTCAAGCGCAAAAAGTCGTCGTAAAGGTCGAACGTCAATAGAGGCTCGGGCAATTCACGCAGCCACATCTTGAGCAGGCCTGCAACGACATGAACGTCGGCAGCTTCAATGATTTCCTCGGTGCGATGTGGTTCTAAGGAATGAATGGACGATGAGCAACAACAGTCCCTTTTGTTTCTTCTTTTTCTGCTTGCTTCTCGACAGCCCCTACCTTTCTCCAACTGTGCTCGAACAGCTCGAATAATGTTGACACTGGCAGAGACACGGTACAAGCCGTCGGTGAAGAGACCCTTGCGTTCAAGAGCCATGACGCACGCTTCTACAACGGCTGGAACATCCAGCGAGGACGACGCCAACTGTGCCTCCAGACTGGCGCCAAAGACTACGCCAGGAGTGCTGGGTCCAACCATGGAGGAGCGTGTGCTCGGGCTGAGCATCGACGCGGGGCGCGATGACTCGGAGAACGAGTTGCTCGCCGAGCGGGAGCAAGGAAGCACGACGCGAACAGCGCACTTTGGATGGCAGGTGAACTTGCAGTCCTCACAGACGTAAACCTTCTCCACCGCCCAGATGGACTGGTTGCAGTACTCGCAGGACTGGGAAAAGGAAGTAGAGAAAGAGGAGGGGAGGAGCATGAACATTAAAAGAGGTCAGAAACTCGAACAAAGGCATCAAACAAACAAATCAGTCATCAACGTACCGTGCCGCCTCGAAGCATGTTGTGGTTGACGGCGAAGCGATGTCCACCTTGCTCGACAAACTTGCGATTGGGCTTGCTGCGACCAGGAAGCAAGAGCTGTTTAAAGTACAAGTCAAAAATGCAAAACCAAAAAAATCAGTGAGCTTCACTTCTTCTCTTCCGCACAATCCTATTGAACCCTGACTGACGTATACCTGCTTCTTGCGATCGTCCAGACTTGTAGCGAGAGCGGCAGCCACGGACGAGCCGCTACGGGGCTTGGTTTCTTTGACGGACTCGCGACGAGGCAACGCCGAAGGGGCTGGAGAAGGTTTGATGGGGAGTTCCGCCGCCTTGACCACCTCAATTTTGGGAATGGAGACAGGGGCCGGTGCCACAGCGAGGGCTGGAGCTGCAGAGTCAGCAGTCTTGGCTGGTCCGTCATGAGAGGCAACAGCTGCAGTAGCACTGACGGCCGCACCGGGCGCCGATGAGACGGCTGCTGGTGGAGCCTGCGCGAGCTTTTCGGCACGCTTGCGCGACTGCGAAATTTCGGCGGCCAGCTCGACGAGGAGAACGCGGAAGCGGTTCATGCAATTGCCAATCAGGGCGACGGTCTTGGCGTCCGCGACACGAGCACGATGGTCTGTATCCCCCGTACCGCCCTCAGTGACTGCTCTGATAATCGGCTCGAAGGCCCGAAGCATGCGGACAGTGTTTACAACTGTGGCCGTGTTCGACGAGGCGGATGTGAGACCGAGGAAGCTGGCGTGGAACTCGGAGAGAGCGCGGTGATACACGCCGTCTTGGTGGGTGTACTTGGCACGAGCAAACGGTGGGCGCTTGGTTGCCTGGATCTTGGCAGCCATAAAGTCGGTGTACAGCTGGAGCTCGGCGGTGCTGGAGATGGTCACGTCGGGAACGAGCAAATCCTTGTATTCGGTGGACGCTGGAGGCTTGCATGCAGCCATGCTCAGCTGACAGCCCTTGTGGCAGAACAGGTTGCACACCTTGCATCGCAGTCCTTGCTTGTAGAATCCCTTGAGCGGCAGATGGCATCCAGAGCAGAGGGTCAGAGTCTTGACGGTCGTGCTGGAAAACACGTGCGTGCCGGCGGGCTTGTTCAGGGCGGCCAAGCTCGACAGCGCAGCAGTTTGCGAAGTCTTGGTCGCGCCTTGCAGCTCAATCACCTGATTCTCCTTTGCGCCCGACGAGCGGCGCCGAGGCGTGCTTGGAGAGGCGGGAGCGGCCACAGCCGTTGCCTTGGGTGCCACAATCGTCTCGGACGAGGTCAGGGAGGACGAGCTGCCCGTTGATTTGATTGGCTGCGGCGATGGAGACGCGGCAGCACGCGAGAGCACAGGGGACGAAGGCGCAGAGGCTGACGGTGGCGACGAAGGCGCACTGGTCGGCGACTGCAGTCCCGAAACTGCGCGGATGATGGGCTTCTCCACCTTGACCGCAGTGCTTGCGTTGCTGGTAGTCACGGTTGTCAGGCGTGCAATTTGCGTGGGAGCACGGGCGCGCATCGCTTGGGGTGACGTCGGGGAACGAATCAGTTGCGCAGTGTTAACAGCAGCGACGGAGGACGCAGTCACCACCGTCACATTCTCAAATGAGGCGGTCGAGCTGGCCTCGGACTTGATCAGCATCAATGGGTTTGGTATCAAAACACGCGAAGAGCGGTCGCCCGGCTTTGATGTCAAGGCGGACGGCGATCGCCCCAAGGAAACGCCACTTTCGCTGCTCAACACCGACACTGGGTGCAGTGCAGGCTTTGTGTGAGTCGCAGCGGCGGGTGACGAAGCGCTCAGAGGCGAAACAGTGTCGTCAGAACCGTCGTCAGCAGGTTCGTCCAGCACATCCAAAAAGTCAAACGCAGAGATGGCAGCGTCGCTCTCCTTCTGGCCGTTCAGATTGCGCAGCAAATTGCGAAAGTTTTTGCGCGCAATGTAGCCACGCACAATGGTTTGCACGGAGACCACATTGCGGCGAGTCGCCGCGTATCGGGAGCGCGCACGGTATGCGCGCCACCAGGTCTGGATGTGGATGGTGGCTTGGGTTCGAACTCGCAGCTTGTAAACGCGCACCCGCGCCAGCCGTCCACGCCACAGCCGCTGAAAGAGGACGGCAGCTTTGCGCTTTTGCAGGAAGGCGCGCCGGAAGACAGCAGCAAAGTACCAACGCTGAATGTCGCGCACCACTTGATCGAGGCGCAGTCCAACCATGCGCTGCAAAATCACATGGTGGTTTTCCTTCAGGAAGACCTTGGAGCTACCCACTTGGAAGAGCGGACCAACCGGCTCGGACGACGACGTGCCAAACTGAGTGAGCTCGTCAATGGAGACAGACTTTGGCAGGAGCATGCTGATGCGATTCGACGCCTTGGCAACGTTCGCCGAGGCAATGGAGGGCGAGAGCGAGCCTGTGCTGGTGGACAACGCCTTGTTGAGGTTGGTGGAAGAGCCGGAAAGCTCAGAAGAGGGCAGACCGAGGAGGGCGGCAGCCTTTCGCGAAACGGGTGCATTGGTGGCTGGAGACGAGGGCGCTGATCCAATCGTGTTCAATGCCGTTGAACTGTTCGATGCGCGCATCCGAGGCGGCGAAAGCTGCCCCGGCTCGTCCTGCATGCTGAGCAGCTGCTGGAGATGCAGGGCCTGATACTGCGTCGGAACCGTGCTCGTCAAGAATTCGTAGATGGCAACCCGCGTATCGGGACGCTTGATCTGGATTTTCGTCATCAGCACGTGGAAGCGTGTAAAGAATTCGGCGAACGTGTATCGGAACGAGTAGCCTGCACGACGGATGCGGATGGTTTCGAGCACGCCAGAGTAGCGCAGCTGGCGCAACACGAATTCGCTGTCAAACACGAGCGGCTTCTTGTCCGAGTTGGACTTGATGCATCGAACAAAGTAAGGGTTGGCCGACGACAAGGTCTGCAGCAAATCAGTCAGAGAGGCTTCAAACTGCCCGCCGACCGTGAGCGAACGGGAGGTGGCACCACGGTTGATGGCACCCGAGACGCCTGGCTTGGGACGCATCGTGTTGAACCTGAGTGTGAATGATCCACGACGGGGGCCAGACTCGTCAGACAGGTTCATGTTGAGCGCTGCCATGGAAGCGTTGCCGCCACCGGCCACCATTGTCGCGCGAGACGGTGGGGTACCGTTGGCTGTGGCACTGTTAACCGCAGCTGCAGTCGCAAGCGAGAAGCCCTTTGGAAGAGAGGCTTGGGTGTACCGGCCAGGAGACGCTGTAAAACTGGCAGACGGGGACATGTCGGGTCGCATCGCTCCTGCTTTCACAGCGCTGATGGCTTTCGCCCAGCCTTGACCAGAGGACGGGCTCGCGGTGGTCGGTGACAGCAGCGCAGGGGCGCTGGTTGCAGTCGGGGAGCCGGGCGGTGGGAGGCCTGAGAAATCCAGCAGCTGATTGCTGCGTTGGCGGTCGACGGCACGACGGGGCTGAACTGTGCCAGAACTTGATGCGGCGCAGACGCGGCGTAGCCAGTACGCCGTCAGCACAGTGTGTCGCGCGAGAGCCCACAGACGCTTTCCCGCAGTGTGCAGACCAGTGACGTTGCGCAAAAAGTCCGAGGACGTGGTGCGAAGCACAGAAACAATGTCTGCACGCAGCAAATCGCGATTCTTCTCCAAAAAGCCCTCAATTTCGTAGCGCACATGGCCAGCATAGTGCGCAATCGTAAAGTAAGTGTGCTTGAGCGTGGGCTTGTCGTAGTGCGTGTGGTTGGCGTGCTGCTTGTCGTACTTTTCCAGCAAGGTAAAGTCGGTGGCACGCGGAAAGTTGGTCTCCTCGTCCAGCAAAGGCAACAAGCCGGTCGGACGCTTTGAAATGAGCTCCAAGCAATCCATGTTGTCGACAAACTGGACATCACTCCACGGAATGCCCTCCTCGGTGTACACGCGCTGCTCGAGGCGGAAGACGTGCTGATTAAAGTACTGCTGGAGCTGTTCGTTGGCAAAGTTGATGCAGAATTGTTCGAACGAGTTGACCTGTTGGTGGGTGGGTTGGTGGGCGATGGAGGGTAGCAGCATTTTTGAGTGAGAAACAAGATTCAAACAAAAACAATGCAAGTTGGGTTGGTCCTCAAGGACAGCGCCAAATAACACGAATGAATGAAGAGCAACAACAAACCTGGAAGTCTTCGAATCCGAAAATGTCCAAGATGCCCAGGAAGGCATCGGAGGTGGACTTGGAGCTGAAAATCTGTCCATTGATCTCGGACACAATCCACTCAAACAAGCTGCCGTAGAGCGCTTTGGCGAGTGCGTCTCGCGAGCTTGTGGCCTATTAGGAAAGAATAAGGGAAATTTAAGAGACAAAATGCAACCTGTGACGCAAACAAAACAAAAAAAAAAAAAACAAGGATCGCCTGCTCACCTGGGGCAACGTGTACGGAGTGAAAAACTTTTCACCGCGCGTGTTGGTGGTCCGGAAGGTCAACGCTTGATTGAGGCCGGCGGGCTGCACTTGCAAGAGCTCTGCCACGACATCCAAGACTGATGCCAAACAAAAAAGAGAAAGGGAAAAAAAAAAAAAACAGGATTGGGTCAGCTTGGTCGTCGCTGGGTCCAGTGCCACAAAAAGTGCTCAAAATCATACCATCACGAGAGCCGACAGTGGCATGGTCTGACCCCTCGGGCGAGTTGAACTGAATGTTGCCCAAATGCAGCACAGCAGCCAGCAACTTGGAAATGTTCAGCTGAGTGTCGTCGGTAAAGTTCAAAACAGACATCGATTGCTACTCAACAAGCCGCGGAAAAGGAGAAAATCGGCGGAGGGGGGGGGCGAAATTAGTCAAAAACAACTCGAGATAACAGGACCCAAGACAGACCAAAATCCCCAAACTCACCTTCAGCCGATGATACTCGTCCACCTCATTCACATCGTCCAACGTGTAGCACTTGCTTCGGTTGAGGTAGGCAAATGTTTCGGGGGCAGCTAGCCGCAAGAGCTTGCGCTCGTCTGCGGGCGCGCCGGCAAGCAAGTAGTAAAAGACGTGATAGTTGCGCTCGTTGGGTGCTTGGCTGACAATGCGCGACATTTCGAGCAAATACTTGACAATGCGACCGCCAGAGACCGAGCCCGCTCGGGAAAACTTGAGCTCGATGAACTTGCCAAAGCGACTCGAGTTGTTGTTGCGGACGGTTTTGGCATTGCCAAAGGCCTCGAGCAAAGGGCCGGCACCCATGATTTGATTCTCCACGTTGGAATTGCCGCCCTTGGTGCTGAGGAAGGTGACGTGCTGCAGGATGAGCTTGGTGGACTCGGTCTTGCCAGAGCCACTCTCGCCGCTAATCACAATGCACTGACTCTGCTTGTTCTTCAGCAGGCTGTGGTAGGCGTCGTCCGCAATGGCGTACACGTGTGGTGGGAGATCGCCCAGCTTTCGGTTCTTGTACATTTGCATGTACTTTGGGTTGTAGATGGGCAGAAAGCGGAAGGGGTTGACGGCAACGAGGATGGAGCCGACGTACGTGTAAATCTTGTCGTGCTTGAAGCGAGCCGCGAGGGTTTGGAGCATGGACCCTTCGTCGAGCTCGGGCAGGTTGACCAAGTCCTCGAGGGCGACCAGCTGCTCTTCGCTCAGCGTGTGCATCGTGCCAGGTAGGAGCAGCGAAGACTGCGTGGGTGTGGGCGCAGGCGTGACTGTCATGATGACTCGCCCGCTCGCCGCCGTGCTTCCCGCGGCCGCGGACGCAGCTGCTGCAGCAGGCATGCTCTTCGTTTTGCGGAGCGGAGGAGGAGGAGGCTGGCCAGTTCGGGGTGACGGAGGGCTTTGCGGCAGAAACTGTCGAGGCACGAGCGTGCACGTGCGGCTTAACGGTAAAGCCGGGTCTGAAACGGCGCGCATATTCGAAAAGCAAGTGAAAGAGAGAAAGAGAGTCAGGGGGACAAGCAGACGAGAGATGAGTGGTTTGTTTCTTGTTTGTGACAGAATGCGTGTGAATAGGGGGGGGGAGAAGAAGAGTAGGAGAACTGAGTGTTGAGTGAGAGAGAGTAGGACGGAGGGGGCGAAAAGGTGTCAAGTGGTGGATTGTTTCAAGCGTTAAAGCTTTCAAAGCGAATTGAGATTGAACAAAAAGGAGTGGCGTTGTCGATTGTGATTTGTCGAACATAGTCATCAAAAAAGAGGGGGTTTTGGTGAAGTGAGAGAGTGTGTGTGTGTGAGGCGTTCCTACTGCAAAAGCCGAGTCAAAGCTGGCAGATTGCAACCAAAGCACTCGCATGAAACAGCACCCGTCCGCCACTCAACCCGGGAACGACATTCCAGTCCTGCGAGCGACTACGACAATCACTTGAATCAAGTCGACAGAGTGACGCGGGGTGACTCCCACTGACTGCCCCGTGTGATTGAGCGCTCAAATGGAATGCTCACACACAAAATCAACCAAAGTTCACAAGTCCAATGCCACGCGCACATGCGTAATATCATCATGCAATATAAGCGAAAAAGCAACATGATGATGAGGAGGAGGAGGAGGTTGAGCAAGAGGAACACTGCATGGACGGGTGTGCAAGCAGGAAGCGATTTGCGCCGGTTTTGACACTCGACCCCTCTGGGCATCGCCTTCAACTCCAATCTTAGACACATGCAGCAGCAGCAGCAGCAGCAGCAGCAGCAGCTCTTTCTCATCAACCACGGTGCAGTGCGAGCATCATGGAAGGCCAGCAGCCGATAATGTTGTGGCACAGAGAACTGTCTCCATCACTCTCGCGCATTGCTGCGACGCAATCCACTCGTCCAGCCACGCCATGCCTTCACACATACACATAGCTTGCTCCTAGAGTCACAATCAAGCCCAGAAGCACGCCCAGCAGCAGTCGCGAAAGACACCGACGAACCAAAGCTTTTTGCCGCTGATATCCGCTTGTCCGCCTATTTCCCCCCCCCCTGTTGGTTCGTCTCGCCTGGGCTCCTCCAGCAGCGGAGTGCTTGGCGTATGGTGTGTGATTGACTATCGCTTGTGCTGATGCCCAGGCGGGAATGCGTTGCCCCTCTTCCTCTTCTGCCCTATCATTCGGTAGGTCGGCCGAGGGCGTCTCTGGTTGATCTATTCGACCGAGCTCCAATTCCCCTCTCCCCGTCTCTTCTCAAACAGCGCTGCCTCGGTGTTGCTTGTGAGTTTGTCCCACTAACTTGGCGTTTGATGAACGCAAATCGTCGAAAATCACCGCTTTTGCAAGTGCGATCAAAAGGAAGGAAAACAAAAAAAACAAAAAAAAAAAAAAACGGAAATAGCCAGAAATAAAAATAAATAAAACAAAAACCTTACTGACTTTAGAAGGAAGGTGAAGGGAAAAAAAAAAAAAAAAAAGAGTGAACTTTGAAACGGATTTATGTCTCAATCAGAAAGCGGATGATCGACGAACGATGGGATTGAAGGGTGCCACATGTTTGAAAGGGTAGCTGATGATGAGCGATAGGACTGAACCAGCGAAAAAGTAACAACCATCCTGGCTTGAGAAGAAGGCAGAAAGAAAGAAAGTTGTGAACTTTGAAACAGATTTTCGATTCTATGTCTCACTCAAACGATGGTGATGAGCAGTAGGATTGAACGGTGTCACATTTCAAAAGAGATAGATGATGATGAGCGATCTCATTGAATCAGCGCGGGGGTCTGACGTTGTGGGGGACGCGGGCGAGCACGGATTATGGTTGGAGTCAGGACGAGATTTGCCGTGTCATGTTTCAACACTCTAAGCCCATGATATAGCCAGTCAGCGAAGAGCAAGTTGTTGGAAATATCATTGTAAATACAATTACCAAGGGTGGAGGGGGTAGAGTAGCTCGATGTCATGATTATCAGCGAATAAATGGAAGCGCAGATAATCGGATTGATCCTGCGTGAGATGTAAGCACTCAGCCCCTTCCCATTCCCCATCAAATCATATAATGTACTGTATTTTATGCGATTTCGGTTCATTGATCTTGAATGCGCCTGTTTTTCGATGGGTTTTTCATCGCAATCAAACGATTTCCGAAAAGCACAAAAAGCGGCCTCGATAGCAATACCTGCAGCAACACAAAAAGCACCCACTCGTACACACAAAATCGAGATCTGCCCTTCTCTTCGACACGACAACTTACAACTCACACATTCCAGTATTTTCAATCAGATTTCGACAAGTCAAGTGCGGAAACTGAGGTCATAGACCAAGCGCATGTCAAATGTTCGGTGGAAATCGACGACAACCGAAGCTGCTTCGGTCCGCACATCCCAACTACAGCGTCATACATCCAGCAATATACTATACAAACAAACTCAATAGCAAATAACATCACGATTATGCTCGGGAAACGCATCCACTCTTCATTGCTTGCGATTCGCTCAGCGCACAAATGCGATTCAAGCGACCCATTCGGAGCCTGGTCTTGCTCGGGTTGGGCGCGCTGGCGCTCGCCTCACTGGTTTGGTGGAGTGGCAACTTGCCCATCGAGCAGCAGCCACGATGGCTTTCAGAGCAAGGGCCTGGGGGAGCAGGGGGAGCTGTTGACGTGGGAGGCAGCCACCACGACACTGCCGCGCTGCCCAACCTCAACCCGCTCATCCTCAATCACCACACCACCAATAACAACAACAACAACAACAACAATAATAACAACAATCGCAGGATCCAGGTGCCAAACATGAAGCGGACCAACCCGTTGCTCGCGTTGCCCGAACAAGCGCCAGCCAACAACGCCATCCCGCCAGCGAAGCAGGTCGAAGAGGACAACCACGGTGGCAGCAGCAGCCTGCAGGCATCGTCGTACCAGTTGCCAGAGCATCTGCGAGAGTGGGGCGATCCGGAGCGGCTCGGGTTTGACCTGGCGTCGTGGCTCGCGACTGGCAGCCAGCTTTATGGCGGACCCGGCTCGGACTACTATGGCCCAGCCGACTTTAACTACATGGACAACTTGCTGGCACCGATTCCCAATGCATTCATTAACACGCGCGTCCAGCGACTCATGAGGGACTGGATGGCGCTGAACGCGACCATGCGAACGGGCGTTGCCAGAAAGCGTATTCTCATGTTCCCGGGCCTGATCGAGGGCTACCACTTTGATGGCACTGGCAACGGCCCGAAGAGCGAGCTCGTGCAGTGGGGCGATCTGATCGGAGCTTGCTTGCGTGTCGGGCACCAGGTTCGCTTTGTCACAAACTTTGAGGAAGTTGCCTCCATTCTCCGAGGTCCGGAGGAGCTGACGTACGACATCTTTTACACGGACTATGCTGGGTCGCGCGCCTACTACACCATGAGCGATAAGCACTTGCTTCGCCACCCATGTCAGTACCGTGTGCTGGACTGCTACGGCACTGAGGAAAAGTGGAACGGCGGCAACAAGTTTGACTTTATCTGCTGCTTCCACCTCGATCTGCGCCAGTACTACACCTGGATTCCCGGCAAAATCCCCGACCGAGTCAACACGCTTCTCGGGTTTGCCGTCTTCACCAGCCCCAGCTTCATTGCAGCTGCCGCCAGCAAGCGCGTTCTTCGCGACAAGGTCGCCTTCCTGTGGGGCAAGGAGCTCAAGTACTTTCGATTGCCGGGTGTCCACGAGATGATTCTCGAGTTGTCGGCCCAGGGCTACGAGCTGCACACGACGCTGGCTCAGTACGATGGACAGCTGCTCCAGACACACTACAAGATCAACAACCATGGCGTCATGCCGTACGATGGGTACATTGAGCTGCTGTCGCGCTCGCGTCTCTATGTCGGACTGGGCGACCCGCTGATTGGCAGCTCGGCCCTCGAAGCTGTCGCCTACGGATGCATCTACATCAACCCAGTCTACGACCCCGTGCGCGGCGGTCTGGACAAGCCCAACGCGTTTACCTACTCTTCGCAAGTGCCCTACCTTGAAAAGTTTGGTGCGCCCAACGTGTACACTGTCGACATTCGCAAGATGGACAAGTTGCGCGCCGTGCTTGCCGAGATTGACAAGCTCGAGTACGTGCCACCGCTCGTCGCGCCGCCATACTCCCCGCAAGCGTTCATCGACCGTGTTACATCCCTGATTGATGTCGAGCACTTTTGCGATGCCAAGCCATCATCGTGAGGTCCGGGGGATGATGAATTTTGTGAATTTTGTGCTTGTTGTTTGTTTTGTCTGTTATTTGGTGTTGTTTTGATTGGTGCATAATTTTATATTTGAGATCAATCTGGAGGAATGTAAAGCAACTAGTTGCTGCTACCTTGCGCGGTGTCCACCTTGTGGATGCGGGCCAGCATCATGTGCTTATGTTTCCATAGATGTCGCACGGGGGAAAAGAAAAGAAAAGAAAAAGTTCCGCTTTGGCGTTTCGTCATGCGCATTTTTCGCATCGCGCTTGTTGGAGTTTTGCTAAGCAGCTGTGTCTCGACAACCCCATGCAAGCGATGTGGAGGGGTTTACAGGATGAGGCGAGTGCAGTGCGCAACTTGTGCGAGATGATGGGAAACTGAGACGTGGGTTGGAAAGCTTGGCGAAATCGTGGCAAACAGCACGAGGGCGGTGGTCCTCTCGGCCACAACTGTTCATTCCGCACACACTCTCTCTCTCGATCTGTCTACTCTGCCCTCGTTTCTCTACTCCGACACGGCAGCGTCAGCCGACAAAGCTTGAGAATGCCGTGGGATTGTGTGCAACCCTAAGCTGAAAGGGAGGGGCCTTCCAAATTAGTCGCGTTTCTCCACAAAATGCAACCACAGAGCGTAATTGCCCCTACCTGTTCGGGATTGTGGATTGTGGATGAGGAATACAAATGGTGCACTGACACACACACACACACACACACACAAAGACGCTGCAACCACGCCGTGGAGCTCCAGGCGCTGGTCGTCGTCGCGAATGCACAAATGTGACCGTTCTGATTCTCCACTTGCTGTTGACTCCAAACACAACAAGTCCCAACAAAAACACAACCCGAATGAAAAACGAACAAAAACACAAAAACCTGCATTGAAACGAATCCTTGCTTTTTTCGCCCACAGCGCAACCGCTCCATCATCAGCTGTGGGCTGGGTGACCGCGAACATGGGTCATGATGCCTTCCCCATTTTCGTCGCCCCTCCCGTGCTCTGTGAGCCGTTGCGCTATTGTTCCGCATTTCCCGGCATGACGACGTCACTACTTTATAAGGAGGGGGGGGGGTGGCGGGCCCCCGGGTGCGTGGCCGATCAAAATCCGCTCATTTTGCCGATCAATTACCTGTATAAAAAAAAAAAAAAAAGTCTCAAAAATCCAACAATCAAAAGTCGGAAGCCACCCCTCGCTTTGCATTTGCTTTTGCTTTACCCATTCCGCCTGCCCCCCTTCATGCCGCGCACAGAGACACCAAGGTGGGCATGGATGCGCATTTGTCTACTTTGCAATCCACACAACCTCGATAACCCGCAACATCTCTCTGAGGCACATGGCACGGAGGATCAAGTTGCGCCATTGCTGCTGCACCAAAAAATCCAATCGTGCCAAGCCAATCCAAACGCGATTAAATTTCCGTCTCGTTTCCTTTTTTTTTTTTTTTGGAATAAAACCGCACTTTGCAAGAAAAGTATTCTCACTCTTCATTTTTTTGGGCTTTTCACTTGGTTGTAATTCTCACTGTGAGTTTTTTTGTTTTGTTTTTTTGTAGTCGTTGTGGGATTTGGAATGGATGGAAGGTGGCCCCAGAAGCAGAGTGATTGAGTGGCTGAGTGGCTGAGTTGGTTGAATCGGTTTGGTTTCGCTTCTTCTGCTTTCTCTTTTGCTTTTTCGCTGTTGATTGATTGATGACTTGAATTTTTTTTTTTTTTTTTTTTTTTTTTTTTCGTGTTCCACTTTCGTTCCAAGCCACGCTGCATTGCCAATCAACGAGAATAAAAAGAAAAAAAAAGAAAAAAAAGAAAAAAAGGACGATTTTTCTTTTGCTTCTCTTCTCTTCTTCTCTTCTATTTGGGAGTATCCCATTTTACATCCACGCCGCTCTCTTTCTCTCTTTCTCTCTTTCGTTCTCTTCCCTCGTTTGCTGTTTTTTGCAAGATGGTCCCATTTTGTGTAGTGACACAATCAAAACCAAAAAAAAAAAAAAAAAAAAAAAGTCACGATGTTTTTTTTTATTGTATTTTATTTTATTTTATTTCAATTAATTCTTTTTTGGCTATTTTTTGGCTATTTTTTTTTCTCGTTTTCTGTTGCTGTCGTCCTTTCAAAATGTCATGTGAATTGCGTGTTGCGTATGAACATGACTCGGATTTGATCTTTATATTGGAGGTTGCAGGGATTTGGTGGGGGTTTGCGCAACGGGATTTTGACTGCCTCGACTAAATGCGAACCCTTGAACCCTTGTGCGCACTGAATGCCTTCGCAGACACCATCCCCCGCCACGTCACGTCGTCCTTCGTCGTCGCCGTCCTTCGTCTGCCAAACTTCAAATTCTCATCCGAATTGACCACATCTGTGTTCGAGTGCCCAAGCCCGCGGTCCAACCCCCCCTTCACAAGCACTACCATTCATTGTTTGATTGCCAAATCCGATTCCGCCAATTCCGCTCCAGCTCTTCTTCTTCAAGCCCCGCTTTGGAACAAGAACAACAACCAAAAGCCGCATTTTACTATTTACCAAGGACTCGAACCAAAAACAAATCATGACCATCCACGGCCACGCGAGCACACACACTGCAAACATGCCAAGTCTCGGAAGCAGTCAGCCGCCAAAGGTAAACCGACCCGCAACCAGCGTCTCGAGTCGCCAGGGCGTCTACATTGCGTGCACACCGTGCAGGCTGCGGCACAAGTCGTGCAATGGCGGCGCACCTTGCGCGCGCTGCTCGTCTAAAAATATTGGCAGCCAGTGCTTGTACCAGGAGGCGGGCAAGCGAGGCCGCAAGCCGCGTTCCATTGACGGCACGATTATCACCTCTGCCGCTTCTTTCCAAGCACACTACTACTACTGCTGCTGCTGCTTCTGCGTCACATCGCCAGCAGCCCACTCCCACAATTGCAACGGCAACCGCAGCAGCAGCAGCAGCAGCAGCGGCATCCATGTCAATGCAAGTGCCCTCAACACAATCACCCCACGCCGCCGCGCACTTGCACAACGTCGTGGTCGGCTCGGCAGAGCTCATGCCAAACCTTCCGCGCAGCTCTGGCGATGTCCAGATCATTCCCAAGCTCACTGCTGTAAATCCTATGCTGCCCATGCACGTCGGACTCCCCACTCTCGGCCTCTCCTCTGCCGCCGCCATGAGTCTGATGATGCCTGGCGTGCAGTCGTATGTCCAGCAACAGGCACTGTGGATGTTCTTTCTGCAACAACAACACCAGCAGCAACAGCAACAGCAACAGCAACAACAACAGCAGCAACAGTATTTTCAACTCCGGCACATTCAACAGCAGCTTTTTCTCAACCGACTCTCGTCCCACACAGCAACTGGAGCCGGAGTCGCCCCCGTCTTTGCTACAGGCGCAGCGGATCCCATCACCCCAGGCGTATTCGACGACCTGGACTCGTACGAGCTCCTCGGGAACGTCTCAGAACTGAGCACCGACCTTGCGGGCTTTGCGCACAATCCGTCGTCCTCGGACGCCAGCTCACCGACCGCGTCCTCGGTCTCGGAGCACCACGACTGGGACAGCCTCAGCACCTCAGCCTCCAACTCACCACTCTTGACTCCCAACATGCACTCGGCACAGCAAGTCCAATCGGATGCCGACATGTTGCAACTCAAAACTTTGCCGCTTGGACTTGCATCCAGCGCCGTTGCCATGTAAGCAACAAGCGCTCATGCCCGCCAATCGCGTCGCATCGTCTCATCATCATCATCATCATCATCACTGCGTATTTCTAGATTGTACGTTTTGCAGCTTTTTACAAGCTTGTACTTTTGGTTGATTTTTGTTTTCCCTCGTTTCCTTTTGCTATTTCCTCCATCCCTGCTTGGTTGTGGGTTTTCGTTTCATTACATCCGATATCAGTTCGAATACACTTGTACTTTTTTTTTGAGCAACATGGCCTGTAGGTTGAAACGAACAAAACAACAAAACAACAAACAAAAAGCAAAAAAAAAAGAAAAAAGCAAAGCTGATTTATGTGCAGAAGCCAAGAACAAACAAGACAACAAAGCATAGCCATCGTACAATACAGGGGGAAGTTGGGGGAAATTAGGGTGACAAAGCAGCAGTAGTAACAGAACGTTCCGAACAAAACGAAACGAGTTGAATCACAAAAACCAAAACAACAAGCTAACAAAATCAAAAAGGGTTGGAATAACGGGTTGCAGCAAAAGGTAGAGGAAAGAAGAAAACAAAGCCAGGAAAGAGGAAGCAAAAGAAAAAAAAAGGAAAGAAGAAGAAGAAGAACAAAACAGAGAAACCAAGCGTCTCAATCTTAAGACCCGTGGGGATTAAATCCGGGAAGCACCCTGGTCTGCGTGGAGCTGCGTCGCATTATGACGAGCAATCTGGTCAAAGACGGCCAAGTTGGCGCTGATCTTTGCCTGCCTCTGGGACTCGTGTTGAGCCTCCAGCTGACGCGCCTTTTCGAGCAGCTTTTCTTCTTGAGTCTTCGGGGTGACGGCAGCTGCCAGTGCCGGGTCCTGCAGCTGCTCCTCTTCGTTTTGAGTCAGCTTGCGGGCGGCGGCAGCGCGGCGTCGCTTCAAGACAACCAGTGCGACGATCACCGCCACAATCAAAAGCGCAATGACGATTCCAGCAATGGCTCCTGCACTAAGAGCAGCTCCGTCATCTGCAGCAACAGAGAGAAGAAAATGACAAGAACGCATTTCGTGAGGACATGCAAAATACGAAGAACTCGATACGACAGCAAAAAAAAAAAAAAAAAAAAAGTTTCAAGAAAAACATACCGCCAAAGACTTGCTGCTCAAGGGTTCCAAAGTTTGTCTCGTTGTGGGTGCGGTGGGTTGCCAATGCACAGAGCACAGCGCTACGCGATGTTTCCGGGTAAGTCGTCAAGAATCGCTCCACCAGCGCAGGCTGGACAGCGAATCCGGTGCAGCTGTAGTAGCCATCGCGATTTTCGCAGGTGAGCTCGGAGCAGCAAGGGCCGTTGTCGGTACGCAGGCATTCGTCCACATCTGACGTTGATCCACGGCAACAACAAAACTCAGTATTTTTGGCCAACGCACACGCAAAAATTCTACAATTCGATCGCTCTTCTGTTTGCGCATTGAACGCAAATCAACTACGTACCAACACATGCACGGGTGCAAAACTTGACTCCGCCAACAAGACCGCATTGATCACTGGAGGAACTGACTTGGAAGCCAACTTGGCATTTGTTGCAGCTCACGCGGTTTCGCGGCGCGATGCACTCGATGCTTTCTCCAACAGGAATCAGCGAGCAAGTCAGGCCATCGCCCACATAGCCTTCTGTACAAACGCAACTGCTGCGCCCGGGTCCAGCCTTCTGACAAATGGCGTTCGCGCCACAGTTTCCGGCCGCAGGGAGCAAACACGGATTGACGTCTACAAGAAAACATGATGGCATTCGCATGAAGGCAAAGCAGACAAAAAAATGAGCCACCAAAAAAGCCACAAACGAGATTCAGATGAGTTTTTCCATCACAAGTCAACTCCGCGATGCAACATTCACCCCGCTCCCTTCGACAGATTGTTGTTTTCTTGCTTACCAATCACACCAATGGTCAGGTTGAATGGGAGTTCCGCCGGCGGCCAACCGTCGTCGATCGAGCTAATCATGCAGGAGACGCTCGGTTGAAGATCGAAATTCAACGGCTGCGCCAGACGGAGGTTGCTCGAGTCCGGGCCAAAGGCCGTGATGGTGAAGGGGCAGTTGGGCGAGGTGATGGCATAGGTGTGGCTCTGGCTCGTCTCGGGGTCGTCGAGAGTGCTGAGCACAGCAACCACGTCGCCAATGGACAGCGTCTCCAACACGGCTGTCGGGTTGGGCAGGATGGACAGACCGGCTTCGTTCACGTCGCGAACGCTCAGGACGAGCGTCTGAGGAGTCGCGAAGCCCAGACCTTCGTTGTCTGTGCACATCAGCTTGACCGAGTGCGTCGGGGCGGCCTCGTAATCAATGGTCGCCACAGAGGCGATATACAGATCATTGTTCACGAGCGAGAATGTGCCAGAGTCATTATCCACCAGCGTGCAAGTGTGGTTTTGGCCAGCGTCCATGTCGGCAACGATGAGCGTGCCGACATACGTGCCTACGGCGATCGTTTCGGAAAACTCGCCGACCGTGATGGACACACCGGTTGGCGGAAGGTTGACGTAGGTGAGAGCGAGGTCAAAGTTCAATGTGCGGAACAGGCCGCCCGAGTCGGTGGCGCGAATGGTGACGCGAGCAGAGCGGTCGCGGGCGGCAGTCAAGAGCGTTGCGTTCACAACAAGATTGGTCACAATCCCGCCAGGTCCCGTCGCATTCTCAAGCCGGAAGCGACCGTTGGCACTGGCCATCAACTCAATGATGAAGGTGTCGCCGACGTCTGGATCATCCACCGTCACCTTGCCAACCACCGTTCCAACCGCGGCCGTTTCGGGAATGGACATGTTGGAAAGAAGAATGTTTGCAGGCTGTTCATTCACGTTGGTGACGTTCAGATTCACAGTCTGGCTGATGGCAAGCGGAGGCGTGCCGCTGTCCGTGCACTGGAATTGCACGGCAACGAAAGGATTCAGCTCGTAATCGACCTGGTACTTGATTTGCACCTTGTTCGTATCCACAATGACAAAGTACGAGTCGGTGCCTGGGTTGACAATGATGGAGAACTTGAACGTCTGGCCGCGGTCGGGGTCCAGGCACGTCAAGTTGCCGATGATCGTGTTGACTTCGTTTTCGCGGAGGGGCACGAAAGGAGTAAAGAGCACACCGGTTGGCGCTTCGTTGACATCGGTAATGGCAATCGTGAAGATGCGCTCGACAGAGAGCGGCGGGGTGCCAGAGTCCGTGGAGCGCACAGCAAATACGCAGGACGTGTCCGGGTAGTGTGCCTCATAGTCAATGGTCGCGTTGGGGCGGACGATGAGCGCACTGCCACTAATCGCAAACGCATTGCAAGTGTCGTTGATGAGCGTGTAAGTGTGGGTATCTTCCGGATCCAGGTCGGACGTTGAGAACGTGTTGATGAGGTAATTTGCAGGAGCGTTTTCGGGCACCGAGCTGGCCGAGAAGCTGATGCGTGTCGGCGCATCGTTGACGTTGATGATGGTAATGACAAAGCTCGTAATAAAGGTAATCACGGGCGAGCCGCTGTCAGTGACGGAAATTTGAACCGTAATCTGCGAATTGGCGTAGCCGGACGCACTGATGCCCGCACGAGCGACGAGCAGTTTGCCATCCGTCGTGACCGTGAACGCGCCGGTAGACTGATCATTGAGAAGGGCAAAGGTGTGGGTCTGGGTCACGGTGCGCGCATTGTCCGGGTCGTTGGCAGAAAAGACACCGACTTCGGTGCCGACGGGCGAACGCTCATTCACACTATTGACGCTCAAGGTGGGCGCAGGCTGCTCATTCACATTGAGAATGGTGATGACAAACTGACGGACGACAGACAAGCCGCCGGGAGCTCCGCCCAAGTCGGTCGCGCGGAGCGTAATCGTCATGCTCGTGTTGCGCTCATAGTCCAGGCCGGCCTTGGCAACGCGAAGCACGTTGCTGGCCATGGTGAAGAAGCCTTCCGCAGAGTCATCGAGCGCAAACAAAAACACGGACGGACGGTCGGGATCGATCGCTTGGAACGTGGCCACCTCCACACCCTGGGCAGAGTTTTCCGAGACGGATCCACCACTGACCCTGACAATGTCGGTGGGGGCTTCGTTGACATTGGTCACGGTAATGGTGAATGTGCTGACGGCGGACAGCGTGCCATCGCTCACTCGGACGCTCACTTGGTACGACGAGTACATTTCAAAGTCGAGACCACCTCCCGTGACGATGAGCTGGTTGCCAGAGCAGCCAAACACGGTGCTCGAGTTGCCAACACCCACGACCGAGTAGGTGAGGACGGCGCCAGCATCGGGATCGTCCGAGCTCAACGTGCCGACGACAGTGTTTGAGGGGGAGTTTTCGGCGACGGTGGTCGAGGTCAGGTAGACATTTTGTGGCGACTCGTTCTGGTTGGTCAGGGCAATGTCAAAGAACGCATCGAACGAGTACGGAGGGGTGCCACTGTCGGTGGTTTTGACAGCGATGCGGTAGGACGCGACACTCTCAAAGTTGAGCACGGCCAAGTTGACTTGCAGCTGATCGCCGACGATTCTAAACACATTCGAGGCGCTATCCAGCAGAGTATAGGCATAGGTCTGCGTGCGATTATCTCGGTCGACAGTGGAGAGCGTGCCAATCACAGTCCCGACGGGGCTGTTTTCCTGAACCGTGTTGGCAGAAAGCAAAATGCCCGTGGGAATATTGTTGCTCTCCGTCACGTACACGGTCACGAGTTGGGTGAGCGAAAGGCCTTCAGCATCCGTCGTGGTGACTTGCAGGGTGTAGTTGGGTTTGGTGATAAAGTCAAAGTTGGCGTACTGCGAGAGAACCTGACTTCCAGACAGAGAAAAGTATGCATAGTCGAACGTGTTCAAGAGGGTGTAGGTCCAGCTGTCACCAAAGTCTGGGTCAATGGTCGAGAGGGTGCCCACAAGGGCGCTGATACCAGTCGTCCTGGTGACGGAGAGACCGCTTGTGGTGATGAACGTCGGGGCCTCGTTGACGTTCGAGAGCTCAATGTCAAGCGCGAATGGCGTTGGTGTGCCGGACGCATCCGTCACGAGCACAGTCACCGAAAGGTCTCCGGCGCCCGACTCGTAGTCAAAGCGATTGGCACTGGCTGTGACAATGCTCGAGACGCAAATCTGGTTTCCGTTGCAGAGCACAAAGCGGTTGCTGGAGGCGACAGTGTCGAGAGCATAGGTCAGGGCGTCACCATCAGGGTCGACGCACGATATGGTGCCGACAACGTACGCCGCGATCTTGTCCTCTGGAAGAAGGTAGGGCGACAATGTGCACGATGTAGGCAGACGATTGACAAACACGACATCAAAGTTGACAGTCTGGGTTGCCGGCTGCGACGACAGCGAGTCCACGCATCGGACTGTCAACGAGTAGTTGCCAGGTGCCACAGGCTGCTGGAAGTAGAGAAGATTCTGAATGGCAGTCACACTGTTGGAGGTGGCGCTCGTGATGCGGTTGAGCACTTCCACCACAGTGTAACTAATGTACTCGTTTTCGGGGTCGCGACACAGCGCCACACCGAGCTGCGTTGGGGGAAGGGCCTCCGAGTCGGTGAACACGCCGCCAGTTCCGTTCAGGGTGATGGCAACGGGGATGACGGGTTCGTTCACATTGTTCACGGTGATGATCACCGGAAAGTCGACCGAGGTCGGTCCCGAATCCGTCACGGTGATGCGAAGGTAGTAGACGGACTTTGTCTCGTAATCAAAGCTGGCAGACGCAGCGGTGCGTAGCTCGACGCTGTTTGTGATGACAAAGTTGGCAGTGTCATTCACAGCAAAGACGATTGTGTCGCCAACGTCAGGATCGACTGCCGAAAGAATTGCAACCAAGGTATTGCCCGGCACGTTTTCATCAAAGCTGGTCGCCGAGAGCACGACGTTTGACGGCGGCTCGTTCACGTTTTGCAGAATAAACGACATGATAAAGTTGTTGTTTCCGCCGCCTGCGTCTGAAACCTGCACCGACACGTTCACAACGGGCGTCGTCTCGAAATCCAATGTCGCGTTGATGCAAAGTTGGCGAGAAGGGGTGGTAGTGGTGTAGAATCTGTCCGGGTCATCGACAATCAGCTGGAACGAGTTGCTGCAAAACGGGTAAGTGCCACTATTGCAGCGGTTGGAAGGGTCTCCACTCGCCAAGTTCACGTCAGGGTCGACAATGTCAAGGTTGTGGCAGCCTTTGAGATTTTCAAGGACATTGATCGTGGTCCGAGCGCTGGGGTTTCCAGATGTGAAACGAAGCGCGCTTGGCGCCTCATTGACGTTTGTGACGAAAAAGGTAAACGGACTAGCTCCAACGGGAAGCGTTCGACTGCCGCTATCGACGCATGTGACTGCCATGCTCCAAGAGTAAGGGGAGCTCGTTTCGAAATCGTACTCGACAGCGGTCAGTTTGTTGAGGTAATAGCGGTACGGCGACCCGACCGCTGCAGTCGAGTTGACGACGAGCGCAATGTTCGCATCGGTAGGGAAACCAGTCGCGGTCAGGGTTGCATCCTTCTCGTCATCATCGCAAGTGACGTAGCCAATCATGCCCATCGTGGCCGAATTCTCAGGAAGCGTGCCGGAGACCAAGATGCCGCGCGGTGCCTCAGGCACGTCGAGAACATTGATTTTGAAAAGCCGTTGGATGCTCAGTCCGCCCTGTGTCGCCTGGACACAAACAGTAAAGGTTCGGCCAACGTCAATGAGCTTTTCCGACTCGTAGTTGATCAGGCGCGAGCTGATGGCGCTAGCGCTCGGTTGCAATCGGTTGTCGACTGTAATGTCAAACAAAAGGTGGCTGCAGTTGCCGAAAGCTTCAGAGATGGTGCAATCGGTCTGTCCGGCGAGGGGCAGCAGTGTGTACGTGACTGTGCCTGCCTCTTGGGTGACTGCCGTGAACTGGGCGGAGGCCGTCGTCAACTCTTCATTCATGTTGATGGAGGTGACGGAATCAACGATCGTCACGCCGTCCACCTTGATGCCGGTCGGGGGTTCGACGACATTATTGAGGGTCACATTGATGGTGCGTTCGACCAGCACGCAGTTTGTGCCCGTGACGTTGACAGACACTGTCCCGTACTTGATGGTTTCATAGTCGAGCAAGGCAGCGTTGTTCACCTGGAGCTTGTCGCCAGTGATTTTGAACAAGCCGCTGGTCGATTGGGAAATGATTGAAAAGCCGGGACTGGTGCAACTGGTCGTGAGGGTGGCCACATTCGTGTTTGCAGCAGTGTTTTCATCAATCGTGGCCGTCGAAGGCGAGAAGGTTGCCGACGTGAAGTCGGATATGGTAAGGGTGAATGTTGTCGTGGCATCCGAGCACGGCTTGACCGTCACCGTGTAAGTGCCTTGAGCATTGCGGAATCGGAAAATGTTTAGCAAGCGAATCTCGCTCGTCTTGGCGTTTCCACCAGCAACAGGAGACAGCTCGTCCTTCAGGGCGCTGGTGAACGACGGGTTGCCGCCAGTAACGTTCGTGACAACGTACGGATTGCTGCCAGGGCAGCTTGTACCCGACCCGGTAAACGAGCATGTTGCGATGAGCGATCCGTACACGTTCGCGTTGGTCACCGTGGCCGGTGAGGGACTGCAGGTGTTGGCGAGCGCTGTATTGGGGCGAAGATGAGATGAGGAAGGTGAGCGACCATGGTCCAATGACACGTTTTCAAGCCGAGGCAGAAAAAGAAGAGAGAGAGAGAGAGAGAGATGACCACAGAAGGTTGGCAGCAAGCGACAGGGATGGGAGAGGAGTGGAGGAAGAAGAAGGGCGAGAATGAACGACCCGCGTTTAGACGAGGAATGTTATACTAAAGTCAACCATCCAAACTACCAAACCCTAAATCCAAACAAAAACCAAAAAAAAAAAAAAAGAAAAAAAGCCGCAAAAAATCCAAAAAAAGTGCTCTTTCGTTCGCCTGTTTCCCACTCACACTTCCCCCCAAAGCTCAAAATGCACTCTGAGTTGTCTGTAAAAGTGAATCATGAGGTGGTGAGCGGTGAGTGGTGGATAGTGATGAGAGTGAGTGAGCGGAATCCAATCACATAAAAACCCACTCTCCACTCCACTCCACTTCACTCTTCGTCCATTGACTCGACTTTTGCTCACAAACCCCACAAAGTCAAGAGGCATGGAAAGCGCACAGACGCACAGTGGTATTGGCGGGGAGTGAGTGAGAGAGAGAGAGGGGCAGAGAGAGAAGAGCGGTAAATAAGGCGAGCTATTAAAGCTCTTTGCTTACCAGAGGGAGTCGCAGCGAGGCAGACAACCACCGCGACAAGCACAGCTTGCAAGAGTGGCAAAGAGCGACGCGGCACGCAGACCGACACCGAATGGCGCGTCGGCGGAGACCGCGGCTGCATTGGGAGAAAAAACAAAAAGAAAGAAAGAAAGAGTAATGGAAGAACAATGAAATGAAATGAAGATGGGTTTTTGTAAGGATTTTTGCAAGGATTTTTGTATGGATTGTTCGAAGATTTTGGACAAAAAGTCAAACTCATTCACTAACTCATTCACTCAAGAAAGCAAAAAAGGAATTGACACCACAAACAACAGCGAAAAAAGCAGCCGAGCTTGCTTGGATTTTTGTTTCCGCTTGTTTGATGTTTGATCGTCGCAATGTTACTTTTCACTCGCCGTTGCCAAAACCATCCCAGAACTCATCAGCCGTCTCGCCTTTGCGCCAGAAGCCCTTGCCAGGGAAGAGACGCAGCCCACGATCGAGAGACTGGAGGGTGGCAATGTCACTCGCATCCAACTTGACGTCCTTCGAGTTGAAGTTGGCTTGGATGCGCTCGGGGTTGGTCGACTTGGGAATCACCGAGCAGTTGTTGACGTATGCGCACCAGTTGATCATCACCTGAGCAGCCGACACGTTATGCTGGCACAAGAGCAAAAAGAAGCAACAGAAAATATGTGAATATCAAAGCATGTCACAACACACCAATTTCGGCTTACCTTGGCAGCAATCTGGCCAATGATAGGGTCATCCAGAGCACGCGGGGTCTGACCCGAGCCAAGGGTTGCATAGCCAGTCACATGGATGCCCTTGCCTTCGCAGTACCTGGGAAAGTGGAAATTGTTGTACGCGGAACGATGAGCGGAACCTGTTGTTGCCAACAATTCCTCCTCGCGCACGCCAAGACTTACGCGACAAGTTTGCGCTGCTGCAGGTAGGGAGAAATCTCCACTTGATTGACAACGGGAGCGACGCGAGCCGTGGTCAGCAGCTTGTCAATCTTGACGCTGGTAAAGTTGGACACTCCGATGGCCTTGACAAGCCCCTCGTCGTACAGTTGTTCCATTGCGCGCCAAGTCTATTTTGCAAAGCAATGCGAGGTGAGAGTTCTCGAGCGCCCCATCCTTCAAAGCAACAACACAAATCAAAACTACCTACATCGGCGAGCGGAATTGGGAGATCCAGCAGGTTGCCGTCAGCATCGCGAATGGCGCCACGTTGGAGCGCAACCGGCCAGTGCATGAGATACAAGTCGAGGTAGTCCAACTGCAAGTCCGCCAGCGTCTTGATCAGAGCGGGGCGAACGTCCTTGGGATCGTGTTCCGTGCTGCGCTCCAACCCAGTCAGCACAGCAGTCAATACGGTTTTCTTCTGGGATGGGCGCTTTTGACCTGCAATTTTCTACTTGTTTGCCTTGCTCTTTATTGTCTTACTTCCAGAGCTTGCTTGTGACAAAGACGTCTTTGCGAGCAATCTTGCCGGATTGGAAGAGCGGGGCGAACGCCGTGGCTCCGATTTCCGCCTCGTTTCCGTCTAAAACCACGCACAAAAAGAATTTCGTTCATAGCAGAGCCATTGATCAGAATCCATCAGACATGATGAGGTGTAACCGTGCCAACGTGGTGAAAACCAATGACCAGAACAATGACTCTCGCAGTGGGAACGACCACACAGCACACCAACAGCAACAACCGCAACAACAGCAACAACAGTTCAAACACAACAACTCACAGAACGCAGCGCAGTCAATGTGGCGGTAGCCTGCCTCGAGCGCGCGCTTGACTGCTTCGCCTGCCTCGCCCGGCGATGCGCGCTGTGTTTGACCCGTTACACAACCAGTGAGACATGCAGTACAACATTCAACAAACACCTGCTCCCATTCTCGTATTGCTTGTAGTTGTTGCAAATAGAGACGAGAGAGGGCTGCTGCTTATTTGTTACCCAGGTGCCAAAGCCGATTGCTGGGATTGTCGCTCCGGTGCTCAGAATGAACTGTTTCACAGCAGACATTTGTCAAATCAAAAAAAAAAAAACGAGGACTGAATGAATGTCAGTTCTTATTTTGTTTGAAAGCAACAACAAAACTCAGAGTGATGAACATTGACGAGTTGGCGCAGCTCGCTCAGCGCGCGTTGAACTGGTGCAGACTGTAAGTTTGATACCTGATTTGCGTTGAATTAGTCAGAATGTGGTAACTCCAAGTCATTTTTTAATCAAATTGAACTCTTACTAAACCTTCACTGCTTTTCTGTCTGCTTTGATGCCTGCAGGTACGTCCACGGCTGGTCCAATCTCACGCCCGAGCAGTTCGAGTTCTCTCCCATCAAGTAATACACACCATACTATGGAATCGCAGCGGTGATGCTGCCAATGGCTATTTTACTTTGACTGATGCGAGCAAATGGCGTCGATACCCTGGCTGTCTCGCTCGCGCTACTCTGCGCTCTGTGGTTGCTGTGATGGTCGCACACATACTGACATGTGCTTGGAACTTGTTGCAACACAGAGGCGGATTGTCAAACCAGCTGTATCGCTGCGTCAATCGCAACCGAGTGGGAGTGCCTGCGACAGCGTCAGCCTCCGACGACCAGGAGGTTCCGTCCTGCGTCCTGCTGCGGCTGTATGGCGGTGGTAAGGCAAATTCGAAAGGATGGTTGAGTGGCGGGGATGATTGAACGGCGGGACGAACGCGATTGTGATTGGTTCCACACTGAAATGTTGGTACCTGTACTGTACTCGGTTCAACAGACAGTGCATTCGTCTCCCGAGAACATGACAACATTATCTTTGCCATTCTGGCTGAGCGGCGAGTAGGGCCCGAGCTCCACGGCATCTTCACGGAAGGCCGCATCGAAGGTACGCCAAAATCCTGACACGCTCGGCTGTTTTCTCTACTACGTTCTGCACCACTCAAGTACAAACCAACGCTCTTGAACTACCCGACTTCCAAACGCTAGAATTCATCGAGTCACGAACGCTGCAGCGGAAAGACCTCGCGATTGCCGACCTGTCGCGCAACATTGCTCGTCGACTCGCCGCGTTTCATTCGTTCCCTCTCCCGCTGTCGAAGCAGCCGTGCCTGTTTGTCTACATTGAGCGGTGGCAAGCCATGGCGGCCGAGGTGTTGAGAGTGTCGATGGCAGAGGCTCAACCAGCACTGGCCAGCTCGCAGCTGGCCGTTCCACCGGCGCAGCCGTCCCGATCGCGCAGCAATTCCGACCTCAACGACGGTCTAGCACGCATTCGTTCGACTCACTCTGGTACAAATATTCCCGATCGCGTCGGTCGCACCGCCACGCGCGAGTCTCCCATCAACGTGACGCGCCCTCTGTCCGCCAACGATCTGAAGCTCTTGTTGGATTTGACCACGACCGATTTTGGCACTGCAGAGGCTCAGTGGCTCAAGGCGTTTTTGCTTCGGGTTCCGTCTCCTGTTGTATTTTGCCACAACGACCTTCAGGTAGGTCCGCTGTTATTCGCTTTGTTCGGAGCGTGTTTCGTAGTGCAGCCCTGAAGATGTTGCACTTTGGGCAGTTGCGCGCCAAATACTCAAGTGCTGAACCCCCCCCCCAATCCTCCCCTTCTGCTTGTTTTCCATCTCGCAATTTTCGTTCCGCCATCACACACAGGAGGGAAACATTCTCGAACCAAGCTCTGCTCGCGACACAAGCTTCCGCCGCCGGCCACTGCGATTCATCGACTACGAGTACGGCGCGTACAACTACCGCGCCTTTGACATTGCCAACCATTTTTGCGAATGGAGCATTGACTATAACGTGGACGCGGCGCCGTACTTTTCCATCACTGGGAAGGACTTTCCAACGCGTGCGCAGCAAGAGATTTTCATCCAAAGCTATCTCAGTGCGTGGGAATGCGTCGACGATCGCGTCGCAGCCTCCTTGTTTGAAGGCGATGACGATGACAGCGATCGACCAACAGCGACTGCAACAACAACAACAGCCGCCGCGTCTGCCGCTCCCCAGGTCCGACGCGCAGCATCCATTCGCACCTCTCCAATCACGCCGGACGAGGTTGCTCGCGTGGTCCGTGAGGTCAACGCCTACGTCTTGGCGTCGCATTTCATGTGGTCGGTGTGGTCGATTGTTCAGGCCGCGACCTCCGACATTGCCTTTGGCTATGTCGAGTACGCCGTGCAGCGTCTTGAGGTGTATTTTGCGCTCAAAGCGCAGCTCCTTGCGTCTGGGGAGTATTCCGACGACCAGTCGCACTGAGGCGTTTTTGCTCCCTTTCGGGGTGTCCGCGCTTTTCGTTCTCCGGTTTTCAGGGTTTTCAGTTGTTGCTCTGTTTTGTGTTGTCTTTCTCGGCGTGTGTGTGTGTTCGTACTCCAATTCACTTGGCCGTCTCTTATTCACCATCGTCCTCTTTGCTTTTTCGCACATGGTGTGATTGCGCTTTCCTAACAACGACAATTTCGCCGTTTTTGACACTTTTTTTTTCTTTTTTTCTTTTTTTTTTTCTTTTTTTTTTTGTCTCTTCCGCCCTCAGCAACGCAGCTTCGTTTCCTAGTCGTTTTCTTCCATTATTTTTTCCCCGTGTTCATCATCATCTCTCTCACTTTGCTCTGATAAAGCGAGGCTCCCCCTGCTCGCTTCCCCTCTCTCTCTTCAAACAGCTTCCCTTCGGTGTTTTTGACTCTATTCGCCCTTTCAGATCCTCAATGATTTTTCGCTGATTTTTTCTCCTTCTCCTTTTTTCCTTTTTCTCATTCCATCGTTGGATTGGCATTGTGTTCCTCCTTTTTTCAATACTCTGCTCTTCTGCTTTTTTTCGTTGCTGACACACGCATATTTTGTTTCGTTGAATGGTAAAAGCGTCGATAGCAAAGAAGGCGGGACAAAAAAGCAGAGAGCAAAGAATGCGTGCAACAGTCTTTTTTTTTTTTTTCTTTTTTTTTTCTCCATTTCATTTTCCGCTCACTTCATTTCATTGCACACACACACACGCACGCACACGCACACACAATGGCCAACGACTCGCCGCCAAAGCCACGGTCGCCGGACGTGGACTCGCCAGCGCCGCAGATCATCATGCCTGGGATGAAGAGCAGTGCCGAGAGTGCCAGCTTGAGCAACCTCACATCGCAACCGACGTCGCCGAGCGGCCCCCTGTCGTACAGCAATCTGACCCAGGGGTCGACACGCGGCACTCCGCGGGGCTGGTTTGACGTCCAGTCCTCTGTCATTGAGAAGATGCTCGCACAAGAGCTCGACCGCTTCAAGGTGTGTGGTGGAAAACCCAGCGACAGCAGGAGGACCAGAAGCAGCGTGAATGAGAGAGCGAGAGAGCGAAAAAGCGAGAGAGCGAGTGATGGAACAGTGTCAAGCAAGCCCCCTTTGCTCTGTCATCATCAGCGACTTTGATCGCTGGCTTCAGAAGCGAGAGTGAGAGTGAGAGAGTGAGAGTGAGAGAGTGAGCGAGGTTTGCATTGTACATTTTTTTTTTTCATTTCCAAGGCGTGAGTGTTGATCACGCAGCTGCTGACGCATTGTCCGAGCAGACCAAGCCCATCCCATCACCCTTCACGATGGTGGTGGCTGGACTTTACTATGATAATACCACGCATCGAGCGCGCGACGGAAGAGGGGGGGGAGATTGGCTGATCGTCATTGACTGAGACGCAAGAATGCCAGTGCTCAAACAGCTCAAACAGCTCAAACCGCATCGATCTCCAACCCCTCCATTCCCTCTCTAGTGTGCGACATGAACCACTCACGCTGGGTCTCAAGCTCACAGGAAAACAAAGCAGAATAAGGATAGAGCAGGAGGAGTCAGTCGGGAAGTTGTGCCTGCAGCCATCTTTGGAACTGAAACCGCATCCATCTCCGCATTCTCCACCCATCTCTGTCTCTCTGCCTCTCTCTGCCTCTATCGCTTGTGCCAACCATGAGAAACTCACTCTGATGCCGTCCTCTTCCTCTTTCCTCTTGGCAGACAATGGAGCGCACTCGCGCAAACAACAAGGGCGCTGTATCAGAAAAGGTGTGTTTGACATTGTTGTTTTTGCTTGTTTGGTCTAAATTCCAAGCAAACAAGCCCCCTTTGTGATTGTGTTGCAAATGAACGGTGAAAAGAAGCCTATTTTGGCGCAGCAAAGGGGGTGGTGGTGGTGTCAAATTTGTTGAGTCGCCGACTTGTTTGTCGTTTTTTGTTTTTGTGGTAAAGTGCTCGCTCACCGTTCGCTTGCTTCCTTCACATCATCAATCACGCAGAGGATTGAGGCCCAAAAGCAAGTCGTCATCTCACTCCAAACACAGTACGCACAGCTGCGCGAGCAGTTTGACAAGCGACGCACTTCCGTGTTCCGATACGCCGAAGACCAGCAGGACGCGCTGCAACAGGCAATCGCCACCGGCAACATCTCGCTCCTCGGCGCAGGCGGCTCCATGACGCTGGGGCGCCGTTCCAACGTTCGCCGAAGTCAGCTGCCGTCCTCCTTTTACGAAGCAGATGCCAGTGATGCGGCGATGACAACGGGCCGGACTGCCTCCGCGAACGACTTGAGCAGCAAGTCCCAACCAATGACTCGCGTTTCAACGGCCGCAGTACTGATGACGTCGAGCAGCGAGGAGCTTCGCGGCAAGCGAGCCAGCCTCAATCCCCAGCCAGCACGTGTAGCATCGGCGGCGAGCACCAACCGACTCGACGATTCTGACGATGACGGGTCGGATTCGGATGTGCAAGCGCGGCCCGCCGTGCCACGAACGTCCGAGTTGGACGTCCAATACGACGTTGCCGACCCGAACGTTCTGGAAGAGTCTCTGTACGGTGGCCAAATTGGACGGCAGTCACTGGACTTGTCCATCGAAAAGGACTATGACAGCTTTGAGAGCGAGATTGTCTTTGACAAAGCCAACAAGTCAGTCGTTGTTGCGGGCACGCTCGACGGTTTGCTGGCACATTTGGTGCCTACGCCTGACTCGCGGCCTGACGCCACCTACACGATGGGCTTTTTATTTGCCTACCGTATTTTCATTTCGCCTGTTGTAAGTTTCGGAATCAAAAAGAGAAAAACAGAAAAACAAACAAGCAGGGTCCAGGCTCCAGTCGTGTTGTCTGCGGAATGCATTTACTTGTTGCTTGATGGTTGTGCTTTGCACTCACGACGTTTTGCCCCATGTTTTTTTCTTTCTTTCTGTTGTCTGTTCGTTGTGCGTGTGCTCGCAGCAACTGCTGGACAAAATTTCGGAACACTACATGGCCTTGCTGGACGCCGTGTTGGAGTCTAGTTACATGGACGGCGCGGTGCGCACGACACGCATCATGCTGCTGCGCTATTTGATGCTCTTCCGAATTTGGGTGCAGCAGTTTGGGCGAGATTTCCGTGATCCCGAAGTCGCAAACAAGATGAAAAAGCTGATTGATGCGACAGAGATGCTGCACACTGCGCACACGACGCCATTCAACCAACTCATCAACGGCATCAACAAGATTAACGGCTATTTGCGTTCCAATTCATCATCGGCGATGGTTATCCCACAGGAGGTCTTGGCACTAGCGCAATCCGACGGAGCCACGTCGTCGGTGACTCGCAATGGAACAAACCACAGCTCACCCGTGCTTTCTCGCAGCAATACGTCTGGTGAAAGTTCGCCCGACTTCCAGGTGGATCACACCCGGTCGCCCAGCTTCTCTTCTCGTAATATTCTCATCAGCCAGCTCAAGCGCGCCTCTGCCACCGGCAATACTCCACCCGGCACACCGCCGCTAGGCCGCGACCGAAGCGGCCTCCTTCCTGCATCGCGCAAATCCAGCGGTGCCTTCCCCACCCCGCCACCGACAGCCGCTGGCTCGTCTCCTGCACCGCCTCTTGTTGATCAGCCCATTTTCACCAAAGAAGAGGCTGCCACGGTCAAGGACCTTGTGACTGAGCTGCGACATCAACTGAACGAGCGGGTAAGTGAAGGAGTGGGGGGAGCTGCTTCACGATGGTTGGGGTGGCGGCGCATCTCGCAAACTCTCACTCACTCATACTATTCCAACCTGCTTGCGTAGATTCCTCAATTGGCCAGTCGCGATGCCAGCCAACTGGCTGAAAAGATGTACTCGGGAGCCACCGCACCACAACTCATCCAAGGTCGCCGCGGCAGCATGCCAAATCTCGCGCTGCTCACCAAGGCAGATACCTCGTTTGCCAACCACAACATTTTGAACATTTCGAAAAGTCTTGACAAGATTGCCGCAAATCTCGTGTGGCGCGACTACCATGTAAGCACTTGTTTTGTGTTTGTTTGTTTCTTGTTTTTTTGTTTTGTTTGTTGCTTTTGTGGTGCTGGCTTGGTCAGTTGAGACTGACTTGTGAACGGGATGCAGCTTTTTGCCGCCGTGCAGCCGGAAGAGTTTGTGATGCATCTGCAACACCACACAGTGACTACCCAGGACGAGTTGAGCACCCTCAATCTGAATGCATACGTGACGTGGTTTAATACGCTGTCGTACTGGGTTGCGACCCAGGCATGTCTCGGACAGGTGAGTGCATGCATGCCTTTTGTTGAACCTGCTACGTTGAGGCAGCGTTGAGGGTTGAGGGGGGGGTTGTCCAACAAAGACTGATGATATTTTGTCATGATAGAACGCCGTGGAGCGTTGCAAGGCGATTGAAAAGTTCATCAAGATTGCCCGCCAGTGCCTCAAGTACAATAGCTTTAACTGCTTGATGGCTATTCTGTCGGGGTTGAACAACTCGTCCGTGCAGCGACTCAAGAATTCATGGGCAATCGTCCGCTCCAAGCGCCGAAGCGAGTTCCTCGCGCTCGAGGAGCTCATGCGCCCCGGCTCAAACTTTGCCCAGTATCGCGAGCTGTTTGACCGCCAGCTGCGCCGCAATCTCGAGAAGGCGTCGCTGGCGCAGAAGCAGGCACAAAAGGCTGGCGCGCGCAGGTCTGTCACACCCTCAACACCAACACCCGCGAACGGTCTCGCGAACGAAGAGGCCTCGATGAAGCTGATTGATGGCGGCGCCGACGCTGGCAGTGGCCACTCGAACGACTTTTTCGTGCCCTTCTTCACGCTGGCCATCAAGGATCTCTATGTGCTGAACGATGCCAACCCGAACGTGCTGAGCAACGGCCTCATCAATTTCCACAAACTGAGCACGATTGCCGAGCGCATTACGCACATCATCTCCTTCCGCCGAGCACCTCCTGCCATCCAAGCCGGTAAGAATAGGAAGTGGTTTGATGTTTCCAAAAGTTGCGGTTGGTGGATGAGCACTAACACGCTGGTCGGTCACAGATTTTGCCAAAATGCAGCCGTATGTGTCTGCTCTGCAGTTCATGCAAGACGATGCACTGTACGCGCTAAGTCTGCAACGAGAGCCTCGCACTTCGCTGAGCTCATTTTCAAACTCGGCGGATCTCAAGAAAAAGTCCTTCACTCAGAGCGAGCCCAGCCTCGACAAGATTGGCAAACGATAAAGCATTGTTTGTCAGCGTCTGTTGTGACTGTACTTTTGGTATTCGTGTGGAGTGCAGACAGTGACAGTGGTTGTCTCGTCTGCTCTTGGCGTTTTTTTTTGTTTTTTTGGTTGTCGTCCTTCTGTGCGACGATTGTTTCAATACATTGCTATTTCCCCCATCTCGACTGGCGTTTCTGGGGGGTTTATGTTGCCAATAATGAGTGTATTTTGTGTGTCAGTAGCCCTTGTTCCCTCGAATTCGATTCCGCATATCGATCTGGAATGGGAAGTCGGAGCAATCCGACGAGAATCAAAAAAACAGTCAGTCAAAACCGACCCCCTTCCCTCTGCCCAACGCAAGCCGAACCACACGATGGTAGTAGCGTCGACTCTCTCTGTCTCCTTTGAATCGCACCGACTTTGGATGTCTGATGACCTAGCGGCAACCTTACCATTCCACGCTTGCAGTCAAAGAGCAGTTGCTGGAGCTGTCTGCAGTAGTCTGGGACGCGATCTTGGTTCTCCTTACTATTGGTGTTGCAACGTGTGTTGTTGATGTTTTGTTTAGCATGAACCAGCCAAACGTGGCGGAAGAGGGGGGGGGCAGAAAGGGGAGAAAGAGTGAGTAAAGCAGTGTTCATAGGTTCGGCACTGTCACTCGCTCGCTCGCCCGCCCTGTCTGTCTGCTTGTCTGTCGCGATTGGCAAAGTGATTGAAAACAAGCCGTCTTACGCAAGGCATTCGCGGAATGAGCGCTTGTCTTCTTGGATGCACGGCGATGACAGCACGCAGTCAATGAAATCCTGCCTCGTTCCAGAGCACGACGACGACATGTCAACGAAAGACTAAGCCGCAGGTAAGGTGTATGTATGCAGATGCAGATGGATGATCAGAGACATAGATTCAAAAGCGGTGTGAAATACACGCTCAATAGCGGGAAGGTTGTCAAATGCTCGTTCAGCAATCGGCGTTGGAGGGGTAATTCGGATCCGAAAGGCTCAGACAACCTGACTTTCGTATCCATACCTTTGGCTTTCAACTTTTGCTTCATTCTTCAAGCTCTCCAAGTCCTGGATTTGACCTTCTTTTGAGTCATTCTTCCTATTTTCATCTCCCGGTCATGACACACAAGCTGGGCCTGCTCGTCCTGCTCTTGTCGCTGGCGTGCGCCGTTGCACCCGCCGCTGCGCTCGTCTACGAAGCGTGGGCCGTCGACCCCGTCTCCGTCGAGAACCTTGCCTTCATTGTGTCCGACCAGAAGCCCCTCGCGCCCGGCGGCGTGAGCGTCGACTCTCCCGTCGCCGTCATCAATGTCACGAGCTTTGAGGGCGGCTCCAACCAGACCAAGTGCACGGGTGCCCAGCTCAGCACTGGCATCACTGTGGCCATGAAGCGTAGGTCGTAGTGGTCTCCCGAGAGAGTGGATGCCACAGCAGTGTGGTCGAAATTGGCGGAATGGATGAACGTCGGAGTTACCAAAGTCACGCCACAGTTGGGCCAGCACTTGAGCACCACACAGACGCGTTCGATCAGAACACCGCTGCGTAGAGTTGCGTACAGCACTGCTCAGAGACATGGGGTGGTAGGGGTGTCGATGGACGCGTGGCGGGCCGGATCTGAGAGATTCAGTGTTTGAAACATTGCTTTCAACACTCAGCAATCCCGACACAAACCAAGCCAGCCATGATATCGGATCAATGAAACACAGTGCTACAACAAAAACGGCGACGAACATGTCTTGTGAATTTTGCACCCGAATCGCATTTGCTTGTTCACTACTAACGTCTCGCTCGAATTTTGCAATTGAAATTTTGGTCTCACTACACGCTCTCGTCAGCTACCGCGACTGCGTTCTCGCCATTGCTGCGCATTCAAAGCCACGATGATTCTGGATTCCATACCCTGAGCGTTGGCCTGCTCGGCATTAACATTCCGCTGAACTTTTCGCTTCAGCAGTTGTCACCTTCTGCGCCAGCCATCTTCTACCCTGGCCAGACGTACAATGTCAATCTGAGCTTTGAGTGAGTTTGCGCGTTACTTTCAGTTGCGGATTCAGTCCTGTCGGCCGGTGCCCGTCTGTCCGATATGATTTGATCTTTGGGTGCTGGTGACTAACGTGATGTTCATGTCCACTCTCAACTCAGAAACACCCCGATCGACACCCCTGTTGGCGTCAAGCCCGTGTGTGTCAACCTCAACGAGCACCAGATTGTGGCCAAAGTCACATCGCTCCAAGTCGGCTGGCTGTACTTTGACATGGTGCAGACACTCAACACGCCCTTCTATCTGAACGTGATTCAGCCTGGCGCGACCGAGGCGCAGGATGTGGTGGTTGCTTCGATCAAAATCTGCATGGTTGCCAACCAGTGCTCTTGAAGTGTGTTGAAGCGCGTTGGCGTGATTATTAAAGCAGCAGCTCTTTCTTCTGTGAAATTGTTTCACAAACAATCCACCAAGGGCCAGAGAGGGCCAGGGAAAGAAGTAAAGTGAGCGCAAGGCTGCGAGCTCGCGAGGATTTGCATGTCGCCCGGAATTTGCGGTTGAACGAGCCGGTGCAACAGTAGGAGCAAGACCGAATGTCCATCCCCCCGGCTTTCAAAGCGGAAGAAACGCAGGCCCCCGCAGAGGAGTTCGCGGCGTTCTCACGCGTCACATCTGCCGCGATTTCCGACCTTGTTGGCGACACGCAAAAAGGATGTCGAGGCACTTCACTCAACTACAGCGGCCAGATCGATAGCCTAGATGCAGTAATCTATGACTGGGTCGAGCAGTTGTCCAAGAGACAAGATACGAACTGACGCGTATATTATGTGTGAATGCGTGTGCGTGTGTGTGTGTGTGCATGAGAAAAAGTTCTACACAATGATCTAATCCCTGTTTGCTTGAGCCTGACATGAGTGGAATGGAGAGCAACTGAACTGGACGCCGCATGAAGTTTTACCCATCCTCTCTCCTCGTTTGACTGAGGATACATGTCAGGTGAGAATGACTTGCGCGATCTGACTTGATGCGCATCCGTGTAGCTTGAGTCTGGCACCACGGATGCGGAAACATTTGGGTTTGCTTTGTTCAAAGTTCGCGACGGTTGATCGCAGAGTAGGCAGACACACAGAGACTTGCACACTGTCCTGTTGCTTGCAAACGATCAACACTGTTTCTTGCACCTCGGTGGGCAGTTGTTGGACAGGGCGATAGGGTGGTGCGTCGCTTTTCGAAATCATGAGAACCAATTGGACGCACCAATTCTCAGCGTGATCTGTCGCGTGCCGCTCCCTCGTTTCGCACGTCGGCTTGTCTCATCGCCTCTTCCATGCCGCTGTTCGCTGCAGCGCTTGTCGTGATGACTTGATGCAATCATTAACTTCTGTTCTGCTATTTTGTTTTTGTTTCTTCTTTCCCACTTCTTGGTTTGTTGTGGCTTCACTTTTCCTTTTTCTTTCCGTTTGTTTTTGTTTTATTGGTGAGTACTTAAATTTTAATTTGGATTGTTTTGCCACCACACCAGCGTCCACGCTCTATTTCTGCCATGCAGTGATTCATCAAGCAACCTGTGTCCTTATGCTTTTTTTTGTATTAAGTTTATTGGGAGGAGAGAGTGGAAAAGCATCAAAATGCTCAAAAACCACGGAGAAAGGAGCGGGAGCATGGACATGGGTGTAAGGAGCTTGGAGACACAAAATTGGCAGAGAGCCATGTCTGGTCATATGACATAGCATTAGCGAGCCTGTATGCTCGTGCACTACAGGCCTTGGGAAATTTATATCCATTGAAGAAGGGCGGGAGGAGACAGGGAAGCGACGATGTCGGTTTGTGGTTAGTTCGGTTCTCCAGCGGTTTCAAAGTTGGTTCCGCGAACGGCTGACGCGCCGAGGCGCGTCTAGAAATGCCTGTGGGTCGCAACTAGCAACCTGAAATAGCCAAACCAACAACATGACATAGCGAGTGTGTCGCGGCGGGGAGGGGATCAGTGTGAAGCATAAAGCTTCGTCCGAAAGTCAATTCGAGTTGCGGTTCCAGTGATTCGCGAGGGTTCCATGAAGCGGACAAACGCAACTGCGTGTCCAGAAGGTGCTTGTGGGACGCGCAGCATGAACCAAGCTGTAACAGACAACAGCAAATGACTCGTCATCGAAATGACGCGGAGAGGAGGGGGGGGGGAGAAATGTTGGTGAAGAGGGCTGGAAGGTATTACCAGGAGTCGTCCCAAATTGCAATGCAATTTTTCAACCAACAAAAGAAGACTGTGTGTCCTTATGCTTATACCCACGTTTGGTCAAAGTGGAGACAAGCGAACCTGGATGGGGGGGGGGGAAGGGTTAGGGTGTAGCCATGCATTCGGGTGTAGCCATGCATTCGTGACATTGCGTTTGTTTTGACATTCAGATCAATTTCCATTTTCCCAGCACTGGTTACCACTTCCTGCAACCCACTACGCCCGATCCCCTTTATCAGAAAATTCATGATATTGACTGATCTCATGGATCGTCACCCTGGCGAAAGTGCACCGCGTGCTTGAGATTGGCACGATGCATTCCTTGGTGCAACTTTTGCCGAGTTTGTTGAATTCGCATGCGCGAATTTCTTGTCGTGATGAGTGGTGTTCGGGTTGTCTCACACCCAACCGTCAATGCTAATTCACAGTTCCGTTTTGCGATGGGGTTGGCTCTGCTCTGCGACGCAAATTTTGTGGGGCATTGCGGTTGAGGCCGGGCAAGGAAGCGAGGAGGGGGGGTAGATCAGTTTTTCGTGTCGGTTAAAGCTCCACCTTTGGTTCCGTCTCCGACCTGCCCTGATATTTTCCGCCTGGCTTCAACCTCAAAGCCAATCCAGCATGTCTACTTGCAAATATTCAAATTTGATTTATTTTTGCCGACCGTGCTTTGCCGGGAGGGGTGATGCACGCTTTGCTGGTTGGTTGCGAATTGGTGTCGGTTTTGATCTATTTTGGTTGGGTTGATTGTTTTGTTTGTTTTCTTTTATTGTTGTTGTTGTTGTTGTTGTTGTCGTTGTTTGGGGGTTTTCGCATGTTCTCACAATTGTGATCTACGCTTACTCGTGGTTGTTGGGATTTTACTTGCCAATCCGTTTGTTGTTTCGGTCAAAGAATGTCTTCAACATCTTTCAAATCAAAGTTCAACCTTGTCGCCTCAGCCTTGGCAGCGCTGGTCTTGCTTAGTCTTATGAGCGAGGTCAAGGCGGTGTGCCCATCAGGCTGTTCGTGCACCTCAGGCGAGACTTCCGTCAGCTGTACCAACGTCTTCCCATCAACCATGCCCAGCACCGTCAGAAAATGGTAAGAGGCTCTGCAACCCGCACACCCAACCTTAAAATGTAATCTAACATGGTTGAAAATTGGTTACAGCATTGTCCAAGACGCCCTGGACACGCAGTTCCCCAACGCTGCTGTCTTTAACAATTTGCCGGATCTCGTGCAGCTGTGCGTTTTTGCCATCATTTTCGTGTCGACTGTACCAAAGACCCAACTGACTCAATTTGTTCACGCTCGTGGCACAGCACTCTCAAGAACTTGACACGACTGAACGCGCTGCCCAACGCTTTCCTGGGTGGTTCGGACAACCTAAAGCTTCTGTCAGTACCCAAGCTTTGTATTGGTCGTGCAAATGTCCGTGACAACTCAACGTGAACGATCGTGCTTGCAGTGTCATCCAAGACGTTGGCTTTGCGCAACTGGGCGCTCTGGCTTTCAGTCATGCAGCAAGCTTGACTTCAGTGTAGGTGGCTTTCAGGATGAAGGAGGCTGGAACAAAGCGTTTGGTTTACGAAATTGTCGAATTTATCCCTATTGTGTGTTTGATCAGGACGCTGTCTTCCTCCCCGATGACCTCAATCGCAAGTGGGGCGTTCAGTGACCTTACCGCTTTGAATGAGTTGTAAGTTTGTCCAATCCAAGCTTTCAAGGCGAAAATCGATGCACTTGCGCTCATCATTGCGTAAAAACCAGGTATCTGTCCAGTCATTCCAAGCTCAATGCCCTCCCGGATTACATTTTCCAAGCCCAAACCAGTCTCAAAGTTCTGTACGAGATCGTCCGGTGTCTTGCGACGCGAGTTTGTCTACAGAAAGAGTTTCTCATCTTTGATCATTTGCGCTTATTTTTGTTGCACTTAGTGACCTCTCCATCACAAAACTGACCCAGCTCTCATCAAACACACTTGCCGGCCTATCATCTCTGAGAAACTTGTAAATTGTGGCGGATTCACGGCATTGCATTGGCTTGTTATGGTGGCAGCATAACTGATCGCCCCGCTTTTGCTTGCAGACAAATCGCCAAGACATCCATCTCCCAGGTTAACGATGGGGCCTTTCACCATCTCCACCAATCGCTTCAAACCTTGTATGTTCGCTTTGCCTTGTCGATGCTGAGCCTCTCCTGGCTTGTTTTTCTGATCGCCAGTTGACATTGCCACAGAAACTTTCACTCTCACCAAATGACTACCATTCCAGACGAGTTCAATACGTTGGCTGCCCTGCAATGGCTGTAAGACTGTCGCTAGGAGCAACTGCGCACTGAGCTTGGCGTATCCATCCATCCGTTCTTACTGGTCTTCATGCAGAGATCTGGGGTCGGGCAGGATCACATCGATTGTGAACTCGCCATTTTCTGTGATGGGCCAATTGCAGCACTTGTACGATGCCAGCTTGTCTTGCTTTGGTGCTGTCGTGTGATTATTCTCTCACATGCGTTTGTTGCTGTTTCCATGTGTGCGTGTGTGGGTGAATGTGGGTTCGCCATGAAGCGGCTTGTCGGGCTGTAACATCACCTCCGTGTCGGTGAATGCTTTCTATGGCTTGAGTTCTTTGACACTCCTGTAAGTTGGACACGGCAAGAGTTGAATGCGTTGCTGTTCTTGTCCTGTTACGTGCTCTGACACACAGGCCACGCTCTTTTTTTTTTCCCTCCTCGCCTCCTCCTTCTTGCAGCGATCTTAGTAACAACCCGATCAGCACCATCCCCAGTGGCATCTTTAACCACCTCCAGACACTGACCAACCTGTGAGTAGAGTCTTCTATTCCGTTGAGTCCGCTGCGATTGATACCAAATCCTCTCATTCCTCAATACTCTCGACATTTCCAGCGATCTTTCCTTCTGCCTGCTCACCACCGTCCCGACCAGCCTATTCAAACAACTAGATAACTTGGTTACACTGTACGTTGTGTTGTGTCTCTTTATCCATTGTGTGATCTTTTTTTGTTTGGTCTCAATTCGCAGTGTTTCGGGACGAATTTGTCCAGGGAAATGCGGTACAACGCTCTTGCCACGCTACCGCCCGGTACGTTTCAAGGTCTCCAGTTTCTTACCTCAACGAATCCTGTGAACTCTAACTTGTTCCAGACGACGGCCCCTCCGAGCACTTATGGTCCTCCCATCAATCCGACTGGTAAGCTGTCGCGCTCGCTTGATGGAAGAGTTCCAAACAAAGTATCACGCTTGCTGACCCTCATTGTGTTTCATATGCTCCCTATCCCAATTGTCCGCGGCGTTTTGGGTGTAGCTTGCCACTGGACATGCGCAACCTGCTATACCGGCGGATCGAGTGGTTGCTGCAGCGCAGGCTGCTTGACCTGCACGGCTACAAACGCTTGCGCCTCGTGCTACAGTGGGTATGTCCCCCTGAACGGAGTGTGTGTGCCCCCGGCTGCCTCTGTTGCCTCTGTTGCATCAGCTGCCTCCGCTTCCGCTACCTCCGCTGCTTCTATTGCCTCGGCTGCTTCTGCCGCCTCGGGTGCTTCTGTCGCCTCGCTTGCCTCTGTTGCCTCGGCTGCCTCTGTTGCCTCGGCGACTTCTGCTGCTTTCGCGGCGTCTACTGCCGCGGCTTCGATGGCTTCCATCGCTTCTGCTTCTGCTGCCTCCTCTGCGTCCGCAGCCATTGCTTCTGCCGCCTCTGCCGCGTCTGGTGCCACGGGAGCGCCTGCAAACGACAGTGGAAGCTCGAGCGCCCTTGCCGCCATTCTCGGAGGCGTTCTCGGTGGCCTGATTTTGCTGCTGCTCCTTGTTTTGCTGGCTCTTGCTCGTACCCGCCGTCGCAACCCCAAGCCAGCTCAGCCTCTTCCGATGCAGTCACTGAAAGGCAGTGCCGTCCCTGTTGTCTACAGCAATTCGCGTTTGCTCCCGGGGAACGAAACTGTGGATCCGGAATCGATGTACGCCTCGATCGGCGACACCAAGGCGGCCGAACCAATCTACGCTGACGAGCAGATCCACAACGCTCTAGCCGGCCCCGAGTATGGAAACATTGGTCAGCATACCAACGAGGCTTTCATTCCCAAATCTACCGCCTAATGCGTCAGTGTGTGTCGTTCAAACAGTGGTTGGTTGTGCTTTTCAAGATGGTAGTGTGAATTTTACATTCATCATCTTGTGTTTTGGTGTGCTTGTGTAGTTGGTTGGTTTGTTGCTGTGCTTTGTTGAGTTCTGTGTGCTTTGTTGATGGGAATATACAACCACGTTTGCATGCCCAGCACCTCTGCCATCTGAAGAGCAAAGAGCACATTGGAGTGACTTCACTTTGAATGCAAGCATCTAGGGGGGTACCGCAATATTTCGAGAGCAACAAACGACGTATGAAAAAAAAACAACAAACCACCATCAAATAATGAACATGTACATAGCAAGGGACAGGAACAAGCACAAAACCACAACATCCAATCACACTACTGGCAACTTATCAAAGCTCGAGACGAGCCACCCGAGAAAAGTTAGGAGGACAAGGTCAGCTTGGCCTTGTTGGCAGCATCAAGCGAGGTGAGCAGCGATTGTAGTCCTTCCTTGGACGTTTCAAAGACTACTTCGCGCAGCGTGCCATCGGGATTGCGAAGACGAAGATTGAGCACAAGCACCGGCTGACGAATACTGGCGAGTTTGTCGCTCGACATGACGATCGATGCCTTCCAATCAAAGTCCACCAGCTGCGCCAGGGAAATGCTGCTCGAACTGCTCACAAGCGCCGCACGAATGTCTGCCGCCCGCGTGTCGAATGCCTCCACCAACGCAGTGCTGGCGTTCGACGGGGTGCCGATCGCAGCGAGCGATTCAGCAAACTGCCAGAGAGCGCCAAAAGCAAACACAACCAGAATCCGAGGTTAGGAACGTAAGTTTCCACCGACTCTGCGTCTTGTTTCGCTTCAACACCGTCAAAGCTCTCAGCAGCAACAACAACAACAACAACAACAACAACATCAACATTAACAACACCACAAAACGGAAGATGAAGGGGACAGACCTCTTGTTTGCTCTGGCTGGAGGCTCCCGCCTTACGGAAGACGCTCGTGAGCTCGGCCAGCGCGTGCAGCGCCTTGTCTTGGCTGGGCCAGATGTCTGCAAACCGCGACGCCAGCGGTGCATCGCCGTTGATGCTGTCGATCGCAGCGTGAATGACCTGAGCCCAATGCCAAAGTCAGTCAGTCAGTCAGTCAGTCATTGTCTCTCTCCGTCGCTCCGTCTCGCTGCTTCCGCGGCGTTGATCGAGAGTGAAGGTGACAGTCTTCACGAGTCGTAATCAGCGTGAGTGGGGTGAAGTCAGGACGTTGGCTGCAAGTCTTGCTGCCGTCCGTCGAGATCACTTGACAAAGCACTGCTGAAGCTGAAATCGCGCGCACGCGGCTCAACAAGGGGGTGCATCATCATCACATTGTTAAAGTGGGGCTCCAAATGCAACAAAAACACTCACCACGTCGAGACGCTCGGCGGGCACTGTGGCGAGGAAGGCAAGCGGTCCGTCTCCAGCCATTGAATCTTTGTATGAGAAACGGGCAAAAAAAGAGTGGTGCTCGGATTCTCAGACATGAAGCGAAATAACATGCGGAAAATGGTTGGTTTCATGAACTCATCAGCTATCAAATCGACGCTGAGCATGATGGGGGACAGAAGAATGGAAATCAACGGCCAACAATTTCGGAATAGTGAGAACGATAGTATCGTACTAATTCGAGTAATAACAAGCTAAATTACGATCCGCTCTCCATTCAATCCTAGGAAATCCCAGTCTCGTTTTTTTTTTTTTTTTTGTTTCTTCTTTCGCAATCTTAATTCTCGACCATGGACGACGCCAGCAGCCAGTCGCTGGACGACAGCCAGGGTGGCCATGCTGCTGGGATTGTGCACGAGCTGGTCGTCCGCAAGCGGGTCCGTGATCTCGCAGACGAGGCGAACGAGGCCAGCACAACAACGACCAGTGGAGCAAGCGCAGACCCGCACGCGCTGATGCAGGAGCTGATCGCCCCGCGTAAGCTGCCACGCACGTTCGTTGGACCTGCAGATGTCGACGCTGCGTCGCGATGGCGCGCTGAGGTTGCCATCCGCGCTGCTGAAGCCCAGGCGCGCGCAGTTGAAGAGCAGCAAGCGAGTATTCCAAGCCAGTCCCAGCATCTTGTCTTCTACAACCAAAGCGCCCAGGTACAGACGAAGCGAGAGAGAAAGAGGAAGAGAAAGAGAGAGAAAGAGAACGAGAGAATAGAGGCGTAAATCTGAGACTTACCTGCGTTTTGGTTTTGTTGTTGTTTGTTTATTTTGTTTGCGAAACTTGTTTGCGAAACTCAGAAAACTCAAAGAAAGCATCAGCAAGCAACTTTGCTGTCGTTCTCGTCGACATGCCAAAGCTTGTTCAGACAAAGGGCCTTGGGCTGGATCCTTCCATGGTACATCCGTCGTTTGGATTTTGGTTTTGAGTCGATTGGCGCGATCGATTTGCTGTTTGCTCACCGTTGCCTCCATTGTTGTCACACTTCTCCATTCTCAACACATGCACAACTAATGCTCAGCGCTCGCAATTACACCCAGCAACGTCCTTGAGCGGCGCCGCACCATTCACCATCGGCAATGTGTGCTCCGGACCTGGCTATGGCGTCGTGCTGGCGTCCAACAACCCCCACTTTTTGAAGCACGACTGGGTGTCGTCCGCATCCTGGCCGTGGCAAACGGTGGCTGCCTTCCGCTCGACTTCCAGCTTGGCACCCGTCGATCCGATGAACGGCGTGGCCCTCGCTGAAATCCCGCTCCTTACCGCCTATCTTGCCGTGAAACAGCTGGGGACGTTGGAACCCGGAAGCACCGTGGCAGTGACAGACGCACACGGTCCTCTGGCCACTCTGATTTGCCAGTTTGCACGTTTGCTCCTCCGCGCTCGTATTATCGTGCTGACCAACTCGGACGCCAAGTGCCGCGTCTTTCGGGAAGATTCGGATGTCGCCGGTGTCGTCAACTGCGCCTATTACTTGGATTCGACCACGGGTTCTAATGCTCACCCTGTTAGCCAAAACTCTTCTTCGGCATCATCGTCCCCTGATGCCCTCGGCGCTTTGACCACGGCGGTGCATCTCCACTGTCCATCTGAGATTCATGCGCTGATTGATACCGTGGGCGGACCAGTGCTTCTCGCTGCCGCTCGGCTGATCAAAGCGGGCGGCAAGATTGTCACCTGCGAGCAACCTCACGGCCTGCTTGACGATCGTGCACGAAGCTGCAGCAACAGTCTTGTCAACTCGAGCAAACCACCACCTCTTCCACTGCTGGTTCTCAAGCGTCTCAGTGCCCGTCGTATCACCCGTCACCACCTTCTACTTGCAAACCATGTCGCCGAGTTGCCAACGTTGCTCCAGACCATCCAGCAACTCGTGGCGACCGATCAACTGCACTTGCGCAAGACCATCTTCGACGGGATTGACAGCATTCCGGCCGCCTTTGAGACAATGTTGGATACACGGCCATCGTCGTGTGGGATTTTGCAGGTGCGGATATAACAATGTTCATATCATCTTCATTCAAAGTTATAAACCAAACCAAACAGGACACGAGGTTCATCCATGTGCAAAAAAATAATTCAACCAACCAACAACTACAGCAATCACTCAAACACGGACACAAAAGCAAAACGAGAATTGTAACCGAAATTTCAATCCAGTCGGCCACTCGAATTTAATAATGACGAGCAAGATCGCTCGAAGTCACCACGGGGACAACTGCGGGCTGGTTGATCAGCAATTCGGAGGCCACATCCAGCGGATTGCCATCGCGGTAGCAGGTATCGCAAACACGCACGGGAACAATGTAGCCAATCTGCGGGAGGCACATTTGGGACTTCGAGCACGAGCTGCAATACAAGCCACCACATCTGGGGAGGTGCAAGCGAAAAGTAGACGAGGCGCGCGCGTTGTTGCGTGAGGCCAAACTGATTGCGATTCCAACACTCAGCTCCCTCAGATAAAACTTACCTTCGGCAATGGTGTCGTCGGCGGAAGAGGAAGAACGACCGAGTACATGACTGGCACTCCTTGACTTCGAAATCAGGCACCCATCGCATGCGGCGCATCTCGCTCGCGGTCGTGGTGCGTGATGTGATTGAGTACGAGTCGCTGCGGTCGATGCCTGCCGCATTGATGCCTGCAGCATTCATGTACGGTTGCAACTGACGAAAAAAGCATGGTAATGCGCACAACAAATAAACGTTAGCAACTTCAAAAAATGAAGAAAAGGGACGACTCGCTGACCATTGCAAAGGAAAAAGCAACATACCTTGATATTGGGCGAATGGACTTCAGCACGCGCCTCCTCCGTGGCGTGGTTCTGGTTGAGACGCTCTGCCGCATCCATATCGGCACGGGCACTCATTGATCCGTACGACTTGACAGCTTGGGGCGATCCGACCAGGTTGGCGGAGGCCGAATAGGTTCGGGACGGACTGTAGGGCGCTGCGTGAAGTGGCGCGCTTTGTTGTCGACCGACCATGGCTGGGTTGGCGCGAATCGGCGTGGAAAGCAGGGCAGCATCGTCCGCTGCATGAACGTCTCCGAGATTGTCGCTACTGAGCTGTTTCTTGCCCTTGCCGGCTTTGGTGGGCGTTGCCGTCGGCGAGGCCACAGCCGACCCGACCGAATTGTTGTAGAAGGCGCCTTGCTGCGGGACAGGCTGGCGCTTGGAAGCCGAGACAAGACCCGTGCGAGCATCGACCGCTTGGTTTGCGGTGGCCACGTTGGCCAAAAGCAACGGGCTGCCATTCACCTCGACCAGGGTACCGCCCGAGGCGGCAGCGGCTGCCTCTGCGCCTGCCAGCAAGCTCGACTGATACGCATGCTCGAGCTCGCCTTGCAGACTAGACTGAGGGCCATTGTCGCTGTCTGCTCGGCCTCGTCCTGCCAAGCCAGTTGGCGAAGAGGGCTTTCGAGGTGTGCTCGTCGCCTCCATGAGCTGCGTACTCGCGCTTGGGCTGGCGGTGGCCAAAATGGCGCGCACTTCAGCAACCTGTTGCGAAACAGCCTGCATTTGCTGCTGCTGAACCAACTGCTGCTGCTGAGACACGACAGAGATGTTTTCTTGCTGTGTCCGGGTCTCCATCGTTGCGGCCACCTGACGTTCGAGTTCTTGCCGGATGGCGTCAGTGTGTTGCTGTTGCGATGCCAACCCGGTCGCAAGGTCCTTCATTTCGGTCTCGTGGCGAGCGAGGGTCTGAGTTCAGAAAAACAACCAACCAAACGAACAAACAAACAAAAGCAAGCAAGTCAGTGTTTGGTGATGATCTATTGAATGCACAACCACGGTCGCGTGCATTACAAACCTTTTGGAGTGAGAGATACTCGGTCAGGCGCCCATCAGTCTTGGTCAGAACGGCTCGATTCGACTCGAAATCTTCCTCGATTTGGCGAATGCGTTTTCGCATGACTAGATTCTCCTCCTCGAGTTTTCGAAGCTGATGCGAGAGGTTGCGTTCCCGTTCCTGTAGTTGCAATGGACGGATGAATGATTTTTGAAGGCATGAGTGTTTGCAGAGACAGAGCACAAAACGACGCGATGTTGGCCACACTCACCTCCCACACGGCCTTCTCAGATTCGAGCAACTCGATTTCACGGGTCAGTCGGTTGGTTTCGTCTTGCACGGGTTGCAAGCGAGAGAGCTGATTGTTCAGTCGTTCGTTCACACCGACAACTTGTTGCAATTCGCTCTCCAATCGGTGTTGGTGGCTGTCTGCGCGATCAAGCTGCGCCTCAAAGTATTCCTTCATGCGCTGTGTCTGCAGAGCCAGCCGTTGCTTGGCATCGTGGTCTGTTTCGGACTGCGTGTGTATGTTTGAAGGGTGTCAGTTCGGTTGAGTTTGCATGGTAGACACAATGCAGGAGAAAAAAAAAAAAAAGACCAACATACTCGTTCGCGTGTCATGGGAGCTGTCAGGTTGTCGATACGTTCGCTGCCGCCGGCGGGCGCTGCCAGAGGCGTGTGGGCATCCTCTGTTTGATGGCGATGCATTTTCGAGTGAGTGCTGTTTTGTAAAGAGCGACCGCCAAATTGCAGCCAAACGCCTTTACCTGGAGACAGATCGCTTGCGACAGAGGTTGTGCGATTGCGTTTGGCGCTGGACAGCCATGCCTACCAACGGTAATTAATCACACACAAACAATGGTCAGCTCCAATCAAAGCACAGAGGCAGGCCAAAACCAAAATTCAAAACGCTGTACCTGCATGCCCAGTGAGAACTCGTCTTGAGTGACAACGCCGTCGCGGTTTGTATCAAGCACATCGAACAACTCCTGAAGGCCTTCTGGTGTGATGCTGATGCCGAGCGTGGTAGTGACTTGTCGGAGGTCGTTGAGATCAATGACGCTGGTTTGTTCAAGAGCACAGCAGACAGTGAGCAAACCATTGATTGGCACGGAGCATCAAAGACCATGCTTTTCCCCCAACGTCATGACCATGGTGAGCTTGAGTTTGTTCCATCCCCCATCCTTGACATACCCGTTGTTGTCCAAATCGCAGCTCGCAAAGAGGTCTTTGAGGTCCATTGCGGTGGTTTCGGCTTCCTCTTCCGCGTCCTCCTCTGTGCCGTCGTGCTCATCGCCATCATGTCCTTGGTCCTGCCTCGCTGCATTGCGCTTGACCTTGTCCTGAGTCGTGTGATTGCCGTTGCCATTCGCATTGCCATTCGCAGTGGTGCCTGCGTCGCCGTTGCTGCCCGGTCGCTCTGCCGTCTCTTCCATCTCCTGTTCCCAAAACCCCCAGGTTTTGAACCAACGTGTTCACAAAAACAAGTGCGGAAGCAAAAAAACAAAAACAAAGTGAGTCAAAATGCAAAATGCAATACAAAATCCAATGCAAACGCCATACAAAATTCAAAACACGAGTTGTTGAACTTTTTTTTTTTTTTTTTTTTTTTTGTGAGGTTTAACGTTGCTAGTTTGCAGTTCTGATTCAACGTTGCAACACTGGCAGATTGCAAGAGTGCAATTGGCAGAGCGAATGGCGAGCGAATGGGTGTATGGCGAGGAGAGGGAGTGAGCGAGGCTGACGCGCTTGGCGTCGGAGCTGGGTTTCGAGTAGAATGCAGGAAGCCCCCCGGATGAACGAACGCTCCAAGGGCGGATGGGTCGACTGTGGGTGGACTGTGGATGGATTCTAGTCGAGATAGATTGGATGGAGAGATGGGGGAAGTGTGGACAGAGGAGAGAGAGAGGAAGGGAACAAGACTCTTACACTGTGTGCAGAATAGAATGCTTGAAATTGAAGATAGACTGCATGAGCATTGCAATGAATAGTACAGTAGATCGACATCGCATTGCATTGATATCCTGATAGTGTACATTAAAGTCGGCAGCGATGCGGGGCGGTAGGGGGCGACGGCTTGAAAAATCAGCTCCCTTCACCCTTCACCCTTCACCCTTCATCCTTCACGGCTCAAGCTCAATGTGCATTTCAGCTGGCTCACCTTGCCTCCAACAGAGCTGTTATCTGTTATTTGTTTTGGCATCCATCTTGCTCATCCGTCCTCAATTCTGACACGGTCAATTTTTTCTCAGCTTCACTCTTTCTTCTCCATTTGCCTTTTTATTTCGTTTCCTTTACTCGACCTGCTAACTAAATTTACCGGCGACTCTTCTTTTTCTTCACTACACTCCTACTCTCTCTCTCCCTCTGTTTTCCGCTCTCTCTCTCTCTCTCACTCTCCCCCACCTCCGCTCTCATTTCCAAGCTATGGCAACGCTGTCGCAGCAGCAACAAGTGCCGCCGTCGTCGCCGGGTGGGATGCTGAAGGGCCTCGCGTCAACCTCGTCGCTGGCCTCGATCAGCTCCGCAGCCCCAGCCCCAGCCCCAGCCTCGGCCTCTGCAACGGCCTCTGCAACGGCAACTGCGTCGGCCTCGTCCCCACTGGCAGCAGCAGAGTCTGCGCTCGTGCTGGGCGCCTGGCACCGTCCCGCCGCCCCGCCGTCTGCCCTCGGCTCCGCTTCCGAGTCCGCCGTCTTCCTCCTGCAGAGCCCAGCCGGCACGCTCCTCCTGCCGTGGAAGCGAACAATGCTGAAGCACCTCGTCGAGCGCAACGGCGCGCAGTGCGACAGTTTCGCCTCGCTCATCGACCACCGTAAGTTGAGAGATTGTAGCCAATCCCCATTTCAACTCGAAGCGTTTGACCAGTCGGCTCGAAACCAACTGCAGTATCACAAGGATGAACAAGAAGCTCATACACGGGAACGCGCTGAACAAGAATTGGGGGAGGGGAGAATGGAGCAGCGAGCTGTAAACACTCATACGTCATCATCGACGCGTCTGAGAACTCGTTTCACACACATACACCATCACTTTATCGCTTTGTGGAAGCATCCAGCTCACTCACTCAGGAGACCTCCGTGAACTGACATGACACCAATTCTTTTACATTTGCTTGCTTTTTCGCTGACCATGTGTGGTTTTTGGAACAGACATCAAGCAGATGGACGTGCTGGACGAGCACCAAGCGAAAATGACATCGGCAACGCGAGAACTAGCGTCGCTGCAGCAGGAAAACAGAGAGCTCAAGCACCAGCTGGCCATGTCAAAAGACCACAGCGAAATGTCGAGCGCGCTCGCGGTGCGCGACAAGGTGTCGGCGTTGGAAGAAAAGCTCCAGCGAACGCAGGAAGAGCTGACGGAATCGTACAAGCTGAAGGGCCAAAACGCCCAAATGTTGCTGGATCTCTCGCAGCAAATCAAAGTCAAGGACGAAGAGCTCCGACAGCGCCAAACAGAGCACAAGGAGCTGCTAGCTCGCATTGCTACGAGCGAGAAGGCGTGCGAGGACGTTACGGCGCGGTTTAACGAGTCGATGGTCGCCATTCAAATCCTCCAAGACGAGCTCCAAGCCCTGCAGCTTGAGCTCTTGAAAGTCGAAGAGCGCAACAAGATTCTCGAGGTCGAAAACACGAGTTTGGTCGAGCGCTGGCTGCGCAAGATGAACGAAGAAGCGCTCAAGATGAACGAAGCCAACATGTTCTACGAATCTGTCGTTGACATGAAGAAGCGCGAGGCTCTCATGGATGCGGCGCAAGACAAGCTCTCGTTGATTCGCCAGGCTGATTAGACGAGAATGCTATCCTGCGGAAGGGCGCTGTTGCTGGGATTGCCATTCCAGCGGCCGTTGCTTTTAAAATTTCAGCGCATGAATCGGACGTCAACGATGTAAGCAGAGAGTTGCGGGTTGGGTTGCGGGAAGCCGATGGCTCGAGGCAAAGAAGGAGGAGGAGGAGGAGGAGGAGGAGGAGGAGGAGGAGGAGGAGGAGGAGGAGGAGGAGGAGGAGGAGGACTGACGATTCTCATTTATTGGTGATTTTCCAACTTGTCGTTGTTGTTCTGATTGTTCCTATGGCAACTTGCACGCCCGGGGCGGTCAACGACACAGCTGTGCTTTAATTCGAGTGGAAGTCACTTTGTGACTGCCAGTTCGGACAAGACTGTCAAGATTTGGGATGCAAAGAGTGGCAAGAGCACTCTGACGCTCTCTGGCGCCATGCAGGGCATCATGTGCGTTTCCTTCAACACCAAGGATGACTTGATTGTGGCAGGGTCCAACGACAACGCCACGCGTGTCTGGAGCTCTCAAACAGGCCGACTTCGGGTACGGATGGGGTTTGATGTTCCATTGCATTGCATTGGTTTCGCTGGCGCCCTTGCTGAATGGCTCACACATGGTTTTCCACCGTAGCACACACTCACTGGACACTTGTCCAAAATCTTTGCTACCCGATTCGTTGGTGACTCGAGCAAAGTTGTACGTTTTCGTGGTTGAATTGTCTCTGTTTGTCAACTTGCTTTTGATTGTCGACTGGTTCTCAACTGATTTTCTCCCTCTCCCTACTTGCTCGACACCTTGTAGATTAGCGGCAGTCATGACCGAACCATCAAAATTTGGGATTTGGCGAAAGGCTATTGTATGTTCCCACCCGAACGGACGAGAGTTTTTTTTTCTGCAACCTGGACTAACATCCTCTCACTTGCCAATTGTGCAGGCATCAAAACCATCTTTTCCTTCTCGAGCTGCAACGACGTCATTCTGGGTGATGACAGCGGGTATGTTCTCATCAACCATCGGAGTCTGTTGGCCTGAACAACAACTCATTTTTCGGTTGGTCGCTTTTCTTCTTTTTTGTTGTTGTTGTTCTTCCAACCACCCCCCTCTGGTAGCACGGCGCTCGTGAGTGGCCATGTAGACAATCACATTCGATTCTGGGACAGCCGTACTGGCGACTGCACCAGCGAAATCACTGGCATCCACACCGGCCAAATCACTTCGCTCGCAGTTTCTACCGATCGTCGAGTCGTGCTCAGCAACTCTCGTGACAACACCATGAAACTCATCGATGTTCGAATGCTTCAGGTGGTGAACACATTATTGTAAGTCGAGCCCTAGTTGCTGCGATGGCAATTGCGTTGGAGTGTCGACTTTTTTTTGGTGCTGTTTGTTTGTTTGTTTGTTTGGTTTCTGCATACTCTCACACTTCTGCCCTCAAATGCATCTTGATGCGACTTTTGTCACTCTTCACAGCCACGACAGCTATCGACCGGGTGTCAACTGGTCGAAGGCTTGCTTCAGTCCCGATGGGCGGTACGTTGCCGCGGCAAACGGCGACGGTTCCGTTCTCTTCTGGAATTTGACCACTGGAAAAATGGAAAAGACCTTCAAGGAGCACCCGTATGTGAACGAATGCGAGTGTTTCTTCTGATTTGTGTACGGAGGGTGTGTTTCGCTCACTTTTTTTTTTTCGATTGCTCGAACTTGTTGTACAGCAACAATTGTAATGCGGTGGCATGGCATCCTGCAGGGCATCAAGTCATTAGCTGCGACAAGGACAAGAACGTTGTTGTCTATGAGTAGTTTGTTTTGGCACTGTTTATTTTGTACTTTTGTCATCCATATTCACCAACAAGCCGATCCATGCATCTCTGTGTTGTCAGTTCAGTCACGACTGTTTCGTAAATTGAGTTAACTTGTATGCTCCTCCTTTGGGGGGGGGGCGCCAATGGGGAACAACTGTTGGATGAGAGAGAGAGAGAGAGAGAGAGAGGCTCCCTCGCGAAGAACCTTGTCGAAACCCATTGTTATTGGAGAAAGAGATTGTCTTTTTCGTTTTGTGAAACAATAAGCAATCATGTCGTGTTTGAATGGTATTGTACACCGAGCATGCAACATCCAAAACCCCCGCCCCCTTTACTTTTCAGTTCCGCCGAGAATTTTGGCCTTCCAGTCGAGATAATCGCGATTCGTTTTGGCGGAAGGAGTAAATGTTGTATCTTTTGTCGGGTCAGGTCGACGAGACTTGACGGGAGCTGGTTTGGAAACTGAAACGGAAGAAGGAGCTGTCTGGACGGGACGAGCTGCCGCATTCGGTAGTTCAGGCTCGGGCAGATCGTCCAAGACAGGCTCTGCTGGTGCTCGGGTGGCTTTAAACAGTCGAGCAGGAGATTTGTCCCAATACGTTCGTTTTGTGGTGGTATCTTGAACCAATAGTGACGCCACGGTGCCGGGTCTTGGCGGCATCTCGCAAGCAGCGGCCATTCGTTCGCCTCTTTTCGAGGAGGAGGAGCTTTGCAAAGCTGCAGCAGCACTCGAGTCGGCAACGTCCAGTCTTGATGCTTTTCGTGAGCTGCTTGCATTGTTGTTATCGCCATTGTCGCTGTCCGAACCACTATCATCCTCATCTTGGGCACTTTGTCTTCGTTTTCTCCCACGAGGGTTTCCGCTCGTATCTGTTGACTCTTCGTCGCTGCTGCCGTGTTTTTCCGTATCGCCTACACCAATAACCGACTCCACCTGTGGTTCAAAGAGGAGAAATGCCTGTCAGCGTGGTCAAGATCTGTCGACATGGGGGGTTTGGTTGGTGCACAGTACCTTGGCCAGCACATTACGAAACTCTGTCTCGCCAATGTCACACGCGTGGATAATCTTTCTTCGACTGACGCGAAATTTCATCACGCGGCAACCGGCGTAAAAGACTGCAGCGAGAACGGCAGGTTTGCTCATGGCCGTTTCAAAGAGATCACTGGGATTGGCTGAGGCAACTGGTTGTTCTTCTACCAGCGCTTCACGGTACCTGTTAGGGTTGAGTCGATCAGCGTGAAGCAACGTGAGCAACGTGTGCAGGACGTCAAAACGTCCACTTGCGCTCATTACCGATTGGCAAACTCCTTCAACTGTGGTAGCAAATCCGTGCAATTCATCTGGATGGCGAGGTCCCGCAGATCGATGCGATGCCGAACATCGAGCACCCCTTGAATGGTGTTGAGAACGAGCGTGTATGTCTTTGCGTTTGTTCCGGATAGTTTGATTGCCATTTTCTGTGCAGAGAACGCCAACAACACAAGTGAGAGTGCATGCAGCGCAACCTTTTTTTTTTGCTCTCTTGAACGAGTGTTTCATCGTTTTGCTTTCTTTTTGCTTTCTTTTTGCTTTTGAGAAAGTGAAACAAGGACGAAGCGAGAAAGTGAAACAGCACTCGTCAATGTTGGCTGCTGGCTTTTTCCTCACCCGATCGAACGGCTCCTTGTGCATACGGCATGCAGTGTCCAACGCGACTGCTGGTCTGCACACGACTTCAAACCCAGGAGCGGACGGCGCACTGTCGACGAGACGAGTCAGAGTCAGAGTCAGAGAGCGAGTGAACAGGGCCGCCTTGGTCAGCCTCCAAACCTCCCAATCAGCAAGTGCCAATGCACATCAAAGGGCAAGACCAGAGCGAGAACCAGAGCGAGATCTGAGCGAGAGTGCGTCTCGTGCTTACTTGATGGCTGCGAGGCGGACGAGCTCGGCGGCCTTGGCGCGCACACGCGGCGACTCGATGCCCATGCGATCCGCAATGTGAGTCACCGTGTTCATTATTGGAAGAAGCGACGAGAGCTTGAAGCTGCGTTTTGAGCTGTGCTGATCGGGACCGAGTTGGGTGAGATTGAGACGAAACGACAGTAACTCCAGACAGAGAGAGGACTGAAATCCCCGCGTTTCTGAGATTTCTGAGATATTCAAAAGTTCAAAAGTTGGGGGAAATAAAAACTTGCTCAGTTTACAATTTTTTGTCTGAGCGTCTTTTTTTTTTTTTTTTTTTTTTTTGCGTTTTGGCGCCAAAAAATCCCGTTTCATCTCGTTCCGTTTGAATGTTGCACAGCAGCGGGTCGTCCTATGCGCCGGGCGGAGTGCCGCTTGGCCAGAGTGCGTCGGACGGCATTGGCTACACGCCTGCTGTATCGTCAGCGCCGCATCAGCCGCATCAGCCGCATCAGCAGCAGCAGTCGGCGTATGGCTACGTGTTTGAAGGTCAAGCTCAGTCGCAGCGGCAGCAGCAGCAAGACTTTTACATCCAACCTCACCAGTCGCATCAAATGCACCAACAACTCTATCCGTCACAGGCTCATCAGGCGCATCAGGGGCCTCAGGGGCCTCAGGGGCTGCCGTCGACCGCGAGCTACTTTGGCGCTCCCACTGCTACTACTACTGCTGCTGCTGCTGCTGCTGCTGCTCCTGCTGCTGCGTTCCAGCCTCAGGCAACCGCGTTGCAGTACCACACCCATACCCCAGTCGCATCCAGTCTAGCGCCCGCATCGGGGCAGCACCAGTACCAGACTCCTGCTCCGCCTGCGAATGCCGCATTCACTGGCGCCGGATCCACGACCCCGCTCACTGCAGCGTCCCTCACGGCTGCCATCAATAGTGCTGCAGCTGCGGCGAGCGAAGGCGCCACCGCGTTCAATGCAACGTATGGGACGCCCGTGAGTCAATTGCAGCCGCAATCCGCCCACCACGCCGATCCAAGCCGCACTCCTGCCAGCTCGGCCACGCCATTGACATACTCTACTCAGACACAGGCTGGTCTGCCAAGCCAAGCAAGGGTGGCGGCGTATTCGACCCCATTGCCGCCGAGATCGCTCAGTGACCACGCTCCTCCTCCTTCTCAGCCGGGTCAACCCCAGAGTGGATCACCGGCTTCGGCCAATGCAGCAATCCACACATTTGCAGGAACAATGTCAACGCCACAGCAAGACCGAAGCAGCAGCACGCCGTATCGGGACCAAGCGACCCTTTCGTCCAACACTTCAACCAGTTCACGGGCTGGTGCGAGCCTCCTGGGCACACCTGCAATGCAGCAGCCATCACATCCAGGAGCTGCATATTCTAATTTGCCCACACAGCAGCATGCACAGCCGACCGGCGCATTGGCATCCGGGGCAGCAGCAGCAGCAGCAGCTCCTTCGCAGCAGTCAGCACCAGCCAACAACAATGTGCCGCCGTCGGTCATGCAACTCTTGAGCGAGCACGTTCTCAAGGAGGCCGGATTGATATCGGCAAATGAGCGCCTGGAATCCCTGCTTGGCGAGGAGCGTTTGGAGCGTCAGTCCTTTGAGCGACGGACGCGAGAACTCGCAGAGAGCAAGGATCGTCGCATTCGCGATCTCGAGACCCAACTCGAGACGCTACGGCCGCTGCAGACAGCGTCCAACTTTGTAGACCAGCGCGTGCTCGTGTCTCAGCTCGAACAGGAGCTCGATCGGGTCCTTGCACTGCTGGAGCGCGAGCGCTCACAATGGCAGCAGCAGCGCGAGTCCGACAGCGCCGAGTCAAATCGTCGCTTTGCGGCTTTGGAGGCGGACGCGGCTGCGGAAAGGCGCGCGGCCGAGCGTGCGCAGTCTGAGCGCGCAAATCTGGAGGTGACGGTGAATGGTCTCCGGCAGGAATGGCAGTCGGCGCAATCCGATCTCACCAACCAACTGCATTCGGCCCAAGCGAACGTGGCACAGCTGACCGCCTCCCTCCAAGGAGCCAATTCGCGCTTGGCCGCGGCTGTGCGCGATGCTGAGCAAGTACGCGGCGCGCTGCAAACCAGCACAACCGAAAATACACGACTTTCGCAGCAGCTCATGTCGTGCGAGTCGGCACTGCGGCAAGCGCAGAGCGACTTGCAGGCATTGGAAAGCGACCGCACGGTTCAACTGCAGCACTTGCGCGATCGGTTCAAGCAGCAGTTTGACAGTGCTCTGGACGTCGTGAGCGATGCCATTCAGTCCACGCCCGGCTCGTCGTACTCTTCGAGATCGAGTTATCTTGGAGCCGCACTTCCCGCAGCATCCAGCAACGGTCGAACTGTTGGCGCAGAGCTGTTTCCGCCCCTAACCCCTGCTGCTACAACCACAGGTTCGGCGGCAATCACCCCAAGCAGTTTTGCGCGACAAAACGGTGGTGTTGTGGCAGGTTCTGGCATTGCAACAGGGCCGACTCCAGTCCCTCAGCAACCGCCGTGCCGACTCCAGTCCCTCAGCAACCGCCGTATCAACAACAGCCGTCTCAGCAGCCATCGCAACCACACTCGGTGGGCATGTTGCACCCGACATTGACATCATCATCATCACAGCAATTGTCATCTTCGCAGGCTGTGTCACAACCACAGCAGCAGCACAACTCACACGGCATGCATTCCAATCCTCTGCCCGCTTCCCAGTCGTCGCCTGCAGCCATATTTCAGCCCTATGGATCCCATCACATGACAATTCAAGCTTCTCCGCGCAGGAAAAGCACGGGCGCAACGCCTCCAGTATCGGACGGTCGACCCCACGACTCGTTTGTCCGCTTCGATGCCAACGAGCATGTCATTCTGGACGGTGAAGTGACAGACTCGGACGATGATGCAGAAGACCCTGTGGCAGAACCGCTGCAGTTTTCCATTAGCCACGATCTTTCCACCTCGTCAAACAACGTGACGCCTGCGGAGGCCTTCTTTGACACGTCACAGTCCTTGAATGCCAGTCTAGCGTCGAACGCAAGCTACAGCTCCCCACAAGCGAGCCTTCAGGCGAACCGCACTCTTGCGCAGCTTGGACAAGTGTCTCAACAGCAGGGCCAGCCACGGCAGGTCTTCCAGCAGCCACAACGTCACCAACAGCAACCGCAACAGCAACACCAACAGCAACCGCAACAGCAACACCAACAGCAACACATACAGCAACACCAGCAGCACCACCAGCAGGAACACGCGCTCCCACAGCAACCTCCACGTCAACCGCAACAGCAAAGGGTCTCGCAACCCACCCAACTCGACACTTCCTCAACCACCCTGTCAGCGCCCGACCAAGGCAGAGAGCTCGAACTACTTGCTTCTGCACCGGCACTACAGGAGGAGCTGCAGAGCTTGCGCGCCCTCCGAGAAAGCGTTTTGCGCGAGGCTTCTGCCCTGCTGGGAGTTGGCACTGCGGACGATTTGATCAAAAAGACATCTCCGCCTGGCCTGCGACAGGGCTTGCCAACCTCGTCCACTCATTTGAGGCCTGCGCTGAAGGTGCCTTCTACTCCCTTGACGGCAAACAGCGCCAGGCTCCCTGCAACCGCAGCGGCAGCTGCCGGAGGCTCACCCTCAGGAGCAGTCCGGAGCGCTGGGGGCATGGCTGCCGCAAGCACGCCTGCTCAAACGCGCACCGCGATTCCAAGCTCCCTGACAGCGACCCCGATGCGATCTGCTGCTGCACTCCGTGCCCCCACGCCAGCCAGCGGTGCTACGCCGTCGACTGCTCGCGTCTCGTTCCAGACCCAATCTCCGCCCCAAGCGCGATAGAGAGCGTTCACAGGATTGTTTTATTTTTGTTTTTTGTTGAAAGGTTTGAAGGTGTACACAAACGAGTCATTGCAACAACCAGTAATTCAATGAATTTGAAGACAGCAAATACACACAAAAAATACACATGGACACACAACAACCTACATCCCTCGAAAACACGACAGACAGACGCGCAGGCAACGAAAGGACAGACATACAACGAAAAGGCAAAATGCAAAACTATCACCTCGCCCTTCAAAAAAACAAACGGAAAGACGAGGATGAAAATGAATGCCGCATTACAAGGCGTCGTTCGCGTCCAGAGGTGCTGCATTCTTTGCGTGGGCAAAGTCAGACTCGGTGTCAGAATTGTCCTCGACATCGTCAAAGGGAAGAGGCTCGCCGTTCGCGCTGAGCTTGCCATAGTTGCGGCCTCGGCGAATGTTGAAGGCGTCGCTGGTGTCGTCGACGACATCCGAAATGGTGAAAATGTCAAAGAACGTGTACTTGAAGGGCAGACGCGACGTGTTCATCATGGATTCGTACTCCTTGTAAGGGAAGGCGTATGCATGCAGGATGGCCGCGCCCAACATTTCAATGCAAATGAGAAAGTCCTGCGCGCCCGTGGCGACATTCTCGGCCGTGTACTGCCCGAAATCGTGAATGACCGAAATGGCAACAAGGCCCGAAATGGCGACAGATTGCCAGAAGGAGAAGAAGATGACGAGCTTGACACACAAGAACTTGAAGAAGGGCTTGAACGGCTTGAGCTCCTCGCCCAGCGCCGAGTAAAAGACGACAAGCGCGTAGAAGGCGATCGTGATGGAGAGGTTGTCGAAAAAGCAAATGTACGGGTAGCCGCGATTCATCACCCAGTGACCTTCGTCAAGCAACCCGAATGGCTCGAGAGCAATAGAAATCAGGGCAAGCAGCGGCTTGATGATGACAAACTGCAAAAGAGCTTGCTTCAATCGCGTAAAGAATTGCGGATGTGAGACGAGCATCGGAGGTAGGCAGTACTTCATCGGCCTGTCATCATGTCATGGTATTGAAGCAATGTTGAATAGCACGTTTGTTGTCGTCAGTAGAGTGGCAACAGGCGAGCTGGGAAAGCAGCCAAGTGCAAGAAGGGGGGGGGAGAGAAAAGAAAAAAAAATTACCATGGATGGTTCAACGGTGGCTTGCTGCCGAGAATTCGCACCAGCTCTTGCTCGCCATGCAGGAACGAAGCCAGCAGCAGGAAGAATTGGTACAGGACGTAGGCTTCGTATACATCACGCAATGTGTTGAGGTAGATTGAGGCGCTGGAAAATCGCAGCGAAAACCAAGAGTCTGTCATGTGCAGAGTCGTACAATCGTGTGTACCGACGAGTCACGCAAACAAGAGCATTGAGTACATGAGAGCAAGAAAAAGCAGAGAACATGTGCAGACAATGCAAAAGGCACCAAAGAATAAAACGAGCAAAAACGGATAGGAAAACGTTACCGATGGCATAAATCGGAACCATCAGCAAAATGCGAACAATGCGCCGCTGCAAATCCGGCCGACGATAGTTGGTCATGTGTTTGTACACGCTATGCAGCGAGAGGATGGTGGCTACGATCGCGAACGCTCCAGCAATCCAGAATGCAGCGAGTCGGACCTAGGGCGCGAACAGGTGAGCAACAACAACCAAAATCGTAGTGCAGGACGAGTTGAACACCTGCTTCTAGGATGGGAGGTCTGTGAGGTCTGTGAGGTCTGGGAATACATACATCGTCGTACTTGGATTCGTTGCCATTGTCGGTCGAGTTGCCCAGCGAGGAGGACGACGACGCAAGTGCCGCGAGCTGCCTCAAGTCGATCTGATCCAGCAACTGCAACCCACCGTCCAGCTGTTGTTGTTCTTGTTGTTCTTGTTGTTGTTGTTGTTGCTCTGCGACTCGAATTCCGGCTCGGTCTTGATTGGATCCGAGCGCATAGACGAGCGCAGTTGTCAGTGTGCTCCGCATTCCCAGTTTCAGTCAGTCGGTCGGTCGGTCGGTCGGTCAGTCAGTCAGTCGGTGCGTTTCCGAGCGAAATGGAGACGAGTGAAACAAAACAAAAACCCAAACCAGAAGTGGAAGGTCGCCGGGGGAAAGAGTGGAAGAGTGGGTTGAAAGCGATGGTGACGTGCTACACTGGTTTTTTCTTGGTTCGAACACTGGAGTGAAATGCAAGGCCAGGCCAGCAGCGGTTGGAAGTGAAGGGGCGGCAGCAAGAAGGGAGAGAGCCTGGTTGACGTGTGCGAAGGAGGGGAGGAGGGGGTAGGGGGAGGGGTTAGGGGGAATGAGAAAGAGCGAAGAGAGATACGTGTAGGAAAAAAAAATTCGAAAGGACTGGATTTCAAAAAAAAAACAATGAGAAAATAGACAAAAAGGATCAGAAATGAATGCAAACCACAATCAATCGCTCGATACAGCAAGCAAAATGGGTGCATACATGATACTCAGAAACTGAAGAAACTGAGGGTGGAATCTTACGAACGAAAAAAAAAAAAAAAAAAAAAGAGCGGGTTTGACAAGCTCAAACCGCCGAGAAAACATGAAAGACAGCAACTTCCAAAAAAAAAAAAAAACCCCAACAAAATGACCAGACTGGTGATTGGGTCTCACTGAGAACAAACATTGTATTCGAGTTCACTGGAGCAACGACAAAAAAAGGGGACGAGGAGAAAAGCGGGGGACGGAGAAGAGGGAGGTGCTCAAAGGCAACAAATACAGTTGCATACAAATCATCACGGCTCACATTCGTCTTGGCCTCAGAAACAAAACGCTCAATCGCGCTTGGAAGCGCGCTTGCGGGTCTTCTTTTTGGTCTCGCCAAACAACGGCGAGTCCTCAGAAGATTCGCCATAGTCACCTTCGGCGGCTTCTTCCGCAGAAGCGTCTGTGGGCGCCTCGTGCGACATGCCTTTCGTGCTGCGGTCGAGCTCGGTCTGGAGCGACTTCATGTTCTTTTTCATGACATGCTCGAAACGGCTAATGACATCGAGCGTGCGCTCGTAGTATGTCTCGCTCGACTGGCCCGAGGTGGAGCCCTGGACGCCAAACATCATGTTCTTGAGCTCGTCGTCACGGTAGTACATTCCAATGATTTCGGCCAGGTACGAGCTCAGACGATCGTTCATCTGGAGTCGCTGCTGTCGGTACGAAGCACGCTCCAAAAAGTCGGGGTGCGCAATGTTGATGGTAATCACCTTGTCCAGGCGTTGGCAGCGACGCTGCGTTCCGTCCTCTGCAGGAGGGAGCTGCATGAACTGAATGGCAAACGGAGGAGGGGCACCGCGCGACTGTGCCTTTTCCTTCGGCACGACATCGGCCAGCTTTTCCGACTCGGACTTTGGCGGCGTCTCGGGCGCCTGCTCCTTCTCGGGAGTCTCGGGCAGCGGCTCGGGCGCCTTGTCTTCCGCTTCTGGCTGCTCTACAGACGTCTCCTCGCCTGCGACCACCGCTTGTTCGACGACCGGAGCGAGTTGGTCGGCCTTGTTATCAGCCGCAGTCTGCGTGCTGTCAAGGTCAAAGTCGACATCGGGCCCGGCGCCTGTCACCATCTTTTGCTTGATCTTGGAAGCGCGCGCATCTCCTCGGTGCAGACGCGAGAGGATTTGTCCCAGCACACCCTCGAGGCGTCCGAGAGTGACCACTCGCTGCTTGTCCATTTCGGCATCAAGAGCAGCCTTGAGCTCGGGCTCGAGCTTGATCAGGGCAGAGTACATGCCCGAGCGCACGGCCGACTGCAAAAATTCGTCGCGTGTGATGACGGTGCTCAGCTCATTGGGCACGGCATGTATCCGAGCAGCTGAGGATGG